ATTGGTATCGATCCTTTAAGCTATTCAAGTATTCGTCTTTCCATATCTCCCAAAATGTTTTCAATGTTTCTAGGGTATTCGACCAGTGTTGAAGTAACCTTTCTTGTGTGGTTAGACTATAAGGTGAGAATTCGTCTTCTCTGTCGTTATTGCTATTCAGTATAGACAAAGAAGCATTGGGAATGATGAAGTCTATTGGTCGCAAAATAATTGAGTCGTCGAAATTTACGTAAGTTAAGGGGCAAGTATTAAGAATGCTTTCCACTTCGATAATCAGTGTGATTAGTTCCCCTTCCTTAAGCAGTCGTCTACCGATAGCTCTTCTTAAACTCCTTTTTGTTAGCCCGATTAATCTTTCGTAGATTCCGCCGCTCCATGGTGCTCTCGGTGTTATAGTCTTACATTTGATTCCTTTCTCAGCAAGGAAATTAGAGAGTTGTGATTCTTGCGTTTTTATGGCTTGAAAAACTGCCTGAAATTGGGTGGCATTGTCCGAAAGAATGAGTTCGGGATAGCCGCGTCGCGCAACAAATCTTCTTAATGCAGTTAGGAAACTTTCCGCTGATAGATCGTCCACCATTTCCAAATGTACCGCTCTGGTGGTGAAGCATGTGAACAAGGCGATCCATCGCTTTGCTTTTTCCAATTGTATCTTCACAGTAATCGGCCCCAAATAGTCGAGGCCAATTCGTCCAAACGTTCTTGATTCAGTGATCCGCTCTTGCGGATAATTTGGCATAGGTGGCAATTTGAATGGCTTGGCTTTCCAGCGTTTGCAACTCATACAGCGGTTTAACACCTTCTTGACTTCAGCCCTTCCTTTCGGAATCCAGTAAAGCTTTCTTATTCTGGAAATAGTTTGAGGGATACCTCCATGATGCGTCGTTTCGTGGTGGTGTTGAATAATTAGTTCTATTATTCGATTGTGTCTGGGGAGATATATTGTTTGGGATGAGTATTCCCTGTCGTTCGGCAATTGTAGTCTGCTTTGGAATCTCCAGTACCTGTCTGCATAGTGCAGATTGTACTTTTCCACTTCTTCTGCTGTTATACCTTCCGATTGGGATTGTTTTATTAGTAGTTCCGCAACGAGATTGTAATCCTCGGGTGTAATCGGATTCCTTTCTGATACGCTGCTTAACCAGGTTAATTTTCCTTTAGATAATTTTTTGAGAAATTTTAGTACTCTTACTGTTGTTCTTATCATCTTTGTCCATTTACTGAATCGTTTTGCCTCCAGGAGATTGATTCGATTTGTATTGATGATTTCTTCTGTGGTTGTTGTTGCTACTATATTCTTATCTTCTTCGTTATCCTCTTCTTGTGGAACGTCGTATTCCCAATGAGGCCAATTCGGTTCATTACCATTGATCCATGTGGGCCCGCTCCACCAAGGCTCGTAACTTATTAGACGAGTCGGAAAGGTTCCTCTGGTAGCAATGTCTGCTGGATTGTGTTCGCTTGGGATATACCGATATGCGAATTTCGCCATTTGTATTTCTTCCACACGATTCTGTATAAATTTTGGTAGGAGGCGAGAATTGTTTTGTATCCAATGTAGTGCACAGCGAGAGTCCGACCATACCACTACCTTTGGATTTTCTAATTCCATTTGTTTGATGACAAACTGAGCTGCGCGTACACCGATGAGAATAGCTAGTAATTCTAGCTTTGGTATCGTCATTCCTTTAATAGGTGCTAATCGTGATTTAGCGAAGAGTAACGACGTATGCGTATTTTGATGGGCGTATACTACTGCAGCATATGCCACTGTAGATGCATCGGTGAAAACATGAAAGGTAATTTATTGTGATAAATCGATTGTGAATCGCGGGATTTCCTTGATATGAGTTGGGCATTCTACCACAAGATTGTTCCAGGTTTCAATCAATTGATTGTCGAGGGGTTGATCCCAATGTATGTTTTTTCTCCAGAGTTCTTGGAGAAATATCTTGAACGGTACTATCAGTGGTACTAGGAATCCAAGTGGGTCGTATTGTGAGGCGATGAACCGTAGAATAGTTCTTTTTGTTGTTGTTTGTTCGGTCCATGGATTTAGTGTTATTTGGATATGATCCTTGTGTGGATTCCACTTAATCCCTAATATTTTCTTTATTTGACTCATTCATGCTCGGTCCGACTTGGGTAGTTGCTCATTGAATGTCTGGTCATTTGAGAGGAATTCTCGCACGTTCATTGACGCATCCTTGAAAATTGATTTTGTTTCTTCATATTTATTCAAGGCTTCCTTTTCATGGCTCGCTGATAAGATGATATTGTCGACGTAGAGATTCTTCTTGATTTCACGTGCAGTTTCAGTCTCATAATGTTGCAAATGATAATTGAGAGTTGCTGATAATAAAAAGGGTGACGATATCACTCCAAAGGGAACCCTTTTGAATCGATAGCATATTAAATTATCTCTGTCCACCTGTTTCTGAATATCTTTTACCCATAGAAAGCGCGTGCAGTCCCGTTCCCTTGGCAGCAACTCTAACTGTAGGAAGGCCTTTTCGACGTTAGCTATTATGATGATTTTCATTGTTCTTAGTCGAATTAATATTTCAGCTAAATCGGGAAGGGTGATAGGGCCTCGATACAAGACATCGTTTAAGCTTTTCCTGCCTCTGAGGTGAGCGGAAGCGTCATAAACTATTCTGACCTTTGTCGTGGTGTTATCTGATTTTACCACTTCATGATGGGGCAAGTAATGGATAATACCTTGATGGTTTGTGAAATGACTTACCCTTTCGATGACATTGGATCTTAACTGTTCATTGATTGTTTCATTGTATGTGGTAAGTAGATGTTGGTTGCGGTGAAGTCGCTTGATTAACGACTGTAAGCGTCCGAGACATAATTCGAAATTGTCGCTTAATTTGGAACTGGTATCTTTCCATGGCCATGCGACCTGGTATAGTCCATCGGATTTTCTAATCGTTTTCTTAAATTGTTTTAAGGCTTCTTCATCGTCATTGATCTCGGGTTTGTCTTGTATGCCTATTAGTTCCAGTTTCCAGAATTGATCTAAATCTGGAACGTTGATCGTGTTAGCGGCGTAAACTATTTGTGAGGACATTCGTGAATTGGGAGAAATTTTCTTTGTATAGCCAGACCCAGCCAGGATCGGGCCCATTTTAGTGTGGAGCAGTGTGAATCCCGATTGCAGATTCTCTGCTTTGTCGAAATTGATGAATTGAAAGAAGTGGTTGGCTCCTATTAATATATCCGGTTGCTTCCATTCACTGTGGAAATCAATTGTTGGACTTCCTTTGAGGGATCGTATGTCGCTTTCACTTAAGTTGATTACTTGTAGTTTGTTTGTTAAATAGTCCACGGTGTTCGCTTCGAGCAACACTGTACGGTCCTTATCGATTTTTATCCCTATTTCAATTCTGGTTGTAAGGTGCGTGTTCGGGTCCTTTTTGCCGAATGAAGCGATGTTTAATTTCCCTTCATCTGTTTCGTTAAGCATTAGTTGTTTGGCTAAGTTCTTTGAAACAAAGGATAATTGTGATCCAACGTCGAATAGGGCTAAAGCCCTTTGTTGAGTATTTGGATTAGTTGGGTTGAACACATTTATCTGCTTGCATAAGAGTAGGATGCGCTTGTCACGTTTCTTCTCTTTTTCGACTATTATATTTGTCGTGGTAGTGGAGTCTGGATCCTCTGGTTTACTGGGCATTTCTTTGAATTTGTTAGGGTACAGCGCGGAATTGTGTTGACCCTTGCAGTGGAAGCAATTCCGTTTCTTGTTTTTGCATCTGGCTACCATATGTCCGATCTTGAAGCAGTTGAGGCAAGCGTTTAGTTTCTTCAGACGTTGCAGCCTTTGTTTGAGAGTGGGATAAATCTGGCACTCTTCATCCCAGTGATTCTTGTTGCATAGTGCACAAGGTCTTGATAGGGCTTTGATGATGGGTTTCTCCGGAACAGAGGTTGTTAAGGCTGAAGTCTCATTGGGATTGTGTCGTGGTCTTGGCTTGCCTTTTATTGGAGATTGATTCTCCATATTCCCTTTAAACCATAGGGACTGGCTTTGTACTACTTCTTCGTTCACAGATGCAAGCTCCGTGAGGAAGTTTCGGAGTTTGGTGACAGACCACGATTCCTGCCTCTTTCTTCTGTAAACCTGTTCTAGGATCCAGGTTGGCAATTTCCCTTCCACAGCTATTTCGATACCGGACTGCTCTAAATTCTCACCGATGGCCTCCAATTGTCGAAGTGTTCGCTCAATGGCCTCAAGCGTTGCTTTCCACTCTCTATCGTTCTTTTTGATGGAGTATAATTCGGTGAACAAGGCTCGTTTGATGGCGTAAGGCTGCCCAAACTTTTCGACGAGGACATTTCTTACGATACTGTAATTCTCCGGAGTTATGTCATAACCTCTGATAGCTTGGAGGGCGTCTCCTTTGAGACATGCGATGAGATAGTTTAGTTTATGGATATCGGGAATTGCTTGTTGATGTATAGCTGTATCAAAGCTATTCCAAAATTCCCTCCAGCGTCTTGGATTCCCACTGAATGTGGGCAGTGGTAGTTGTGGGAGATTTACTGTAGGGTATTTACCCGCTTGTGTGGGTTCCTTGGGTTGAGTTGTTTCCTCCCTTACCATAGACTGATTTAACCGTTGTAATATGAACTCCGAATCATTTTGATACATTTTTAAAATGACTACAGTTTGTTTTGCTTGTAAAATTAAGTTGGTAATACCTGATTCATCATCGTTTATCTGAAGGTATCGATCTTCTTCTTCTTTTCTTTTGGTTGAGACTGAAATCTGCTGGATGAATTGTTTCCACTCTGTATTGACCGATTCCAACGCCTCTATGTATATTTGTATATGCATGATTTTTTCTTAGGTGATCCTTCTCCGTTCCTGATGAAGACGGATTGTTTCGTCGGTTGTTGTCATTTGGTCGACCGAATCCAAGTTCAGACGCTTGATTTCGTTGAGGACTTCACACAATCTTCGTTTTGTTTGGTCTGCGGTTCTGATGATGATGGATGACATGTTCCCGGCTCGTGGCACCATAAAATTTGTTGTGATTGTATTGGATTGGATTGGTGTTGTGAATGGATTGAATTGGGTTGTTTTACTTGCACAATTGAGTCGAGTGCTTTATCTTGGGTAATTAAACCAAACAAGCAATAAGTAGTTTGACAATTTAGTGAGGAGGATGAGCTAAGCAACGGGGAGACTTCTGGAACAATCCCCCGGTTGAGTGGTAATTGCCCTTATATAGCATGATTTGAGGGTGGAGAGATAAAGCGATTGATACAATGGAAGCTAGGAGGAAGGCTATGGGAAAGATAGTTTTTGTAAACGGAATTAGATAACAAACAAAGGATTGGAAAGATGTGCATTAGATAATATGACAGATTAGCACGGGAATTTGTTAACACATTACCATCTATGAGTCATTAAAGAATTTGAATTACAATAAAACTTACAATAAATGATTAACATGATTTGCTTAAATATAAATACATTGATTTAAATTTGACCCTTTGCTAAATTCGATTGTTCGGTACAAAGATTATTTCTAGTGGAATTTCGAGCTTGTTCTCGACAATAACCATCAAATAACACAAATGCTATATGAGTTTCTTGACAAAATTTTTAAATAGCAGCTGTTCTAATTCCTTTCATATTGAATGAAAATCCACCGAAAAAGACTATGGAAGCTTTTTTTTTTCCTTTGTAGCTCGCAATGTGCTATGTGCTTACTGTTTTCATCAAGCAAAGTAATGCTGTAATCCATGTTATTTTGGTATAGCAACCTGACTATCGTTTACTTGACACTCAAGTAACCGATTAGATCTGCAATTTCCTGCGGATTGAAAATATCTGCAAATGTCATATGCATGCCTTTTATATAGGCTTTTGAACTCTTTAAGAAGGCAAATAATTCTTCATATCTCTCTCCACTTTTGATTCTTTTAAAGCATTGCTTTTGAGTAATAATCTACCGTTGCTATTTCCCACCAAGTTGCAAATACACCAAGAAGAATAGCAGCACTTGCGGTTGCAGCAAGACAAACTCATAGCAACACTTGCTGATGACATAGAGATCATCAGTACTGCTGCTGCTGCTGCTATTACTTAAGTCTTTCCTTCCCTTTTTTTTCGTTAATGTCATTGCGATAGCAGCAATCCTATAGCTACAAGCGCTAGCAAAGCTGGAACCCACAATTCTACCTACTACTAAAAGTGACAGAGCTATAAAATTGAACCCTAACCCTACAATAGCCTACCCTATTGTACTGTCCATTCCTACAACTGCCCTCGCACCCTACTGAAATTCATAAGAATGATTGATCTATTTACTCATTAAGACCATACTTATAATTTTTTTTTCTCATTCAACCTCTCTAATGCTTCGCAAAAAAGTTTATCATAGTATTTTTATGTTTAATTTGCAAGTTATTTACTGGAATTACGCTGACCTTCAAAAAAATGGTAAATTGTAATTGTAGAACAAACTAAATTTTGGTAAAATAGTTTTATTTGCGAAATATGCTACTTGGTTATTGAAAAACACAGCATAACAAATGCACTATGGATGTTACAAGAAGTACATCAAAGGAACTGTCAAATCCTGATGCAAGAATTGTTGGATAGGGTTATTTAAGAAATTTTGACAGCTTTTTAAAGTTTTTATAAATTAAATGTTGAAAAAGTTTTAATTTTTCTTAATTCTGTTTCAATTAACTTCTACCAATGCTGAAAAATATAATTCATTTAAAAATAAATATTTTTTGAACTTAATTGATTACTTTTATTTGCCTTACACTTGATCTGCTTATATTTTGACAGTGATTTTTGACATTCATGCGAAAAAAAAGTTTTAAATATTAACTTTAAAGGAAACTTTCAATGCAGAAATTAAATAAATTTGCAATTAGAAATGATTTCAATTTTTTTTTAAATGTTGAAATTAATTTTAGCTAATTTAATTAAAGAGTCAATAATAATAACTTATCAATAAAAAAACAGTAAGCAACAAGAATTCGATCAATAGAAAATATAAATGATCAACAACAGAAAGAGCAGAGAGCATTTCTTCTGTTTAAATGTGCGCTTTCAAGCCGTGTTTACTCTGAAAATATTTACTGCACATAGTATGCAAAATATAAAAAAAATTGTGCATAAAAAAATTTTACTGCACATAGTGTGCAAAAAAAGTTTACACTGTGCAAAATTTTATTTCTCAAGGTATTGCAACATTATGTTACATTTTGTTAACTTTAAATGGACTTACGGTAGTTTGAATATTTGCTCACTTGGAAGACGAAAAAGAAATATATCAAATGCATGTCACTGAAAATATTTTCTTGCCAAATCTGGAAAACATTCAAATTTGACAAATACACACAGGGAAAATTTCTTCAAGCAAATACTTTTCTAAATTATTATCATCGAGCCCCAAAATCTCATAAGTTAAAATTCTGAAAAGAGGTACCATCCTCTGCCGAAATAAATGAATGAAAATTGTGAAAGAGAGTTTAACAGAGGCCGATCACATCCGATCATTTTTTTAGGTATTGCTAGATAATTGCATCTATAAATGCTTATTCAAATGGGGGTGCAAACTCTTACGTCCATGTATAACAAACAATATAGGGTATAATAATAATAATAGTAGAATATGAAATATTACACATAATGATATGAATAGCAATCATTGTTTAATCCTTTACACTAAATAAGTTTTCTTCCAGCTGCTATATCATACTGTTGAAAATAATTTATGCAAAGCATTGGTGGCATTTTTTAAAATTTTATTTCATTTCGCACTATTTTCTCCATATTTTCCAATCTTTGGAAATGTTAATGAGAGAGGGAAACTAGATGCTGCGTTTCTTATAATTAATGATATGATAATAGCATATTAAAATATTGGTGATATTGATTTATAATGTTAAATGTTTCATCAAATATTTTGTTTGGACTTCATTTTTAAACTTAATTTTCAATTTTGCTTTGTGTTATGTGTGTAAATACAGTCATTGTGTATAACACCACGTGATGAAAATAGCTGCCAAATGAATACCAATTAATGATTTCTAATAGACATCAACTTTTCAAATTCCAGGCATAATAAAAGTAGAAAAGAGAAAAAAGATGGTAAAGTCCAAACTACTGATAGTGATCAGCAACGTTGGTTCCTTCCGATAAATGTTGTACCATATCTGTTAGTACACATGAAATGCTGGACCGGAAGTTATCGGTTCGACATCTATGCTTATGTAACCATTAAAGTTGCCTAATGGTTATACTTGCACAAGGTTGCGAGAAGCTATGATCGATGTTATTGCTTACTCTAATGGATGACAGAATATTACAATCTTTATGTTTCCAATAGGAATAAATTACAAAATTGAAATTGGCAATTATCATCAATTTTTCAATTCCAATTTTTCACATATTTTCAGTGTTAGATGCCATCTGCACACATCTAGAAATTTAAAGCCAGCGAAATGACGACAACAAAAAATAGTAACTTCAAAATTTCTGCTGATTTAAGTCAAACCAATTAAATTGTTAATTTGTACAAAAAATTCCAAAACACATTTCATATACTTTCTCTAAAAAAAAAAAAAAAAGCTTCTTTCGAAAGGAAAGGCTGCAGTGAAGCGAATTATATTTTCATGTATGGTTTGCAGACGTTGGAATGTTAAAATATTTAAAATGCCAGCAATGCCAAATCTATCAAACAAATGGAATTTCATTGTTAATCTCTTCTTTGAAAAGTCAGTTACAACTACGTGAGATTTTTTTTTGAGAGGTTGTTAATGTCAGGAGCAAACAAGAAATTGAAAAGCTTGTATGAGTGTAATATAAGCAGTTCAAGAGATGTAGTAATAATGACAAACTTTTCTCATTTGAGTAAGTTTTTCTCTCACCCCTCCAGTTTCATCCATTCCGAAATGAGCTTTTTCATCGTCTTTTTGTTTTTTTTTTTTTTTGGAATAGATTTTAAGATCTTAAATGTTTGCTCATTAGGCATTAAGTGATGGTTGGATTAATTCATTCTTTTTTTGCTAAATCGTCTGTTTAGTTGATGGAATGAAATATCATTTTAAGTCATTAACTTATTTAGTCATTGATAACGAATAGTTCGTTATTTGAATCTGTAAAGAAACTTTCCCTATATGTCGAAGAAAGAGGATGAAAGACGAACCTTTATCTTCCATGTTTGGATGATGGATGATAACTTCCTGTATTTAACATATATCGATTGGAACAATGTTAAATCACGGCTGATACTTGGAATAAACTACTGTTCACATTTGACTTATTCTTTTTTGCCTGTTATTTGAATCTGTTTAAAATTCAATTAAAGAAAGCCACGAGGACTTATGCAAACATGTACAAATTAGATTCTTGTTTATAAGAACAAAATGAAGCCTGCCCTTAAATTTAACGGTGTGGAATTGCAGATAGTTCCAGTCCGAGCTTGTTGCTTGGAGCCATTAGGCATCTCTATTAGCTACATAGCCATGGATGGCGAACTGATAACTTCCGGTTCAGCATTTCAAGTGATGCTAATCAGACACAATGCAGTAATTGATAGAACTTTACCACCGTCTTTTTTTCCTTTTCAGTTTCATTATGATTGGCATTTAAAAGGTTCATAAGTATTAGGAATTATCAATTGGTACTCGTTTGACAGCTAACTTCAGCAAATCATATTAGATATGATTATTGATACAAAGAAAATTTGAAAATTTAAAATCCAAACGAAAGATTTGGTGAAATCATTTATCATTTATAAATTAATATTATCAATTATAAGAGATGCAGCAATGTAATTTTCTCCTTTCGTTAATAATCCAAAAGACTTGGATGCATGGAAAAATCGAAGCGAAATGAAATAAAATTACAAAAAATGTCACAACTGCTTTGCATAAAATTATTTTCAACAATGCAATGTAGCATTTGAAATGAAATAATTTGATGTAAAGGATTAAACAATGATTGCTATTTCGTATTATTATGCGCAAATATTTTATATTCTATATTATCAGTACACGTAGTTTGCCACTCCCATTTGAATAAGCATTTATACATACAATTCTCCAACCATAATTAACAGAATTGATCGGCTGATCTCTGTCAGACTTCCTTCTACAAATTCCATTCAGTAAGTTTTGCTTTATTTATTTCGAAAGAGGATGTAACCTCTTTTCAAATTTTTGAATTATAAGGAAGATTTTCGGAATTGATGATAAATTTGTAAATAATCTAATATAATTAAAAAAAAAAAAACATTTCTTGGAGAAACCCTTTGCTCATTTATCAATGAGCATTTGAATGCTTTTCAGAATTTACAAGAAATTATTTTCATGGACATGCATTTCATCTATTTGTTTTTCGTCTTCCAATTGAGCAATGTTCAAACTACCGTAAGTCCACTTAAAGTTAACAAAATATAACATATCGTTCAATATCTTGAAGACTTGTAATCTTGCATAGTGTGATTTAATTTCATATGATTTGAGACAGCGCAAACGGATCAGACAGAACCGTTGGATTTATCAATATCAAAAGTGAGAGATGATGGGGATGGATCACAATGCTTATCAGTGGAAAGAAAAGATGAAGGAGAGGTTGGTTTGCAAATGCTTCAAATAAAACCCCTAAATTCACCAGTTCCAAAAGTGAAACAGGAAGGAAATAATTCGCAAGGCTTATCAGTGGAGGGAGTGAGTGATGAAAGAATTAAACTTCGGCGACAATTCGTTCCAATCGAAACACCGGTGGAAGTGATCGAGCTATCAAGGCAAGAAAAAAGGACGATAAAAAAGCAGCGTTGTGACATATGTCGAAAGGAAGTGGCAAAAATAAAAGAACATATGACGACTCATACCGGTGAGAAGCCGTTTAGTTGTTCGATATGCAAAAAGGATTTCAGTCGCTCTTCGTATGTGAAAGGACACATGAGGACTCATACCGGTGAAAAGCCGTACAGTTGTCCGATATGTAAAAAGAATTTTACTCAGTCCCAAAGTATGAAAGCACACATGATGATTCATACCGGTCAAAAGCCGTACAGTTGTTCAATATGCAAAAAGAATTTTAGTCTCTCTGCGCATATGAAAGGACATATGATGACTCATACCGGTGAAAAGCCGTACAGTTGTTCGACATGCAAAAAAATTTTCAATGATTACTCGAATATGAAGAAACATATGATGACTCATACCGGTGAAAAGCCGTACTGTTGTTCGATATGCAAACAGAATTTCACTCACTCCCAAAGTATGAAAAAACATATGATGATTCATACCGGTGAGAAACCGTACAGTTGTCCGAGATGCGGAAAAAGTTTCATTGTGTCCGGTAACATGAAAAGGCATATGATGACTCATACCGGTGAGAAGCCGTACAGTTGTTCGAAATGCGGAAAAAGTTACACCCGAAAACACAGTTTGCAGTCTCACATGGTAACTCATGTCATAAATAAACCTATGCATTGTATTCAGTAAAGATTTTTGAATTAAACAGAGCTTGAAATTGCATATGCGGATTCACTGAAGCTTACGCTTTACTTTTTACTTTAAATTTGAAGAAATACATTGCATTGCTATTTCCGTTATTATTGATTATTTATGTTTTCCATCAGTCAGTTCTTCTGTCATTTGTTTTTAAAATAACACTCTCTCACTGTTATGTGTTATATTCTTCGCACTTTTTTATTTGTTTTGTTATAAATTGCCTAGCGATGCCTACACAACGAGCCAGTAACTTCTTGCATGCTACTGAATACTATGCATGAAGAATTTGCAAATTAATATCGCTGTTGTTAAACTACTAATGAAATGAAATTGTTCACTCGATTATTGCATAAATAACATGAATTTCATAAGGTCATATAACAACGAAATTCATTCATTTCATTTGTCGATTCACATTTGGAATTTTGTTTCAGTTGTTCTATTTGCATTCAAAATTCCATTCACTCAAAACATTTGACAATCTAACTCAACAGTAAATCCATCAATGAATGACAGCATTAGCTAACTTCCCATCATGAAATGAGTAGACCTGCCTACCACTTCACTGTATGCAATAAAGATTTTTGGATTAAACCCGACTTGAAATCACATATGCAGAATCATTAAAGCACGTAAGTTAAACAGAAATAAGCTCTGAAATTTCTGTTGTTAAGTGACTGCAATCAATAAAATTATCGAATGAACAATGGATTTGAAGATTTATATGAAAAAGCATGGATGGCATTTGTCATCTGGGAGTATTGCGCCACATATCGAATATCGAATAGCACTGATGAAACAGAAAATGATCAAAACAGAAGAAGTGAAATTCTAATAATGATGCGATCAGGAAGGTTAAATAATGATCAGGAAGATTAAATAATGATCAGGAAGGTTAAATAATGATCAGGAAGGTTAAATAATGGTCAGGAAGATTAAATAATGATCAGGAAGGTTAAATAATGATCAGGAAGGTTAAATAATGATCAGGAAGATTAAATAATGATCAGGAAGGTTAAATAATGATCAGGAAGATTAAATAATGATCAGGAAGGTTAAATAATGATCAGGAAGGTTAAATAATGATCAGGAAGATTAAATAATGATCAGGAAGATTAAATAATTGCGACTGAAACAGAGTGCAATTATCCTTTCATTTCACTAAAACTGCACGTACATTTAGAGCGTCTCTTTATATTAAAGCTCGAGGCGCAAACTGGATATTAGTTTCATCCCTTACAAGTCGAGCATACTTCCTCTCATGCGTATGTCAAGTACCGCCCTTCTTCCAACAGGCAAAAGGAGCGCACTTATTCTTTCATCTCACGAAAACTTCATGTACGATCGCATTAAGGCATTCATGCATAGTCTCAAGAAGTGTTCGAGCACGGCGAGGATTTGACTATTAGTGCTATTCGCGAACATTTTAATATTATCGTTTGAGATGCAAACTGGGTAATAGCTCCCTGTGAACAATTCACTTCCCTTCTAATGTGTTAAGTACCGCTCTTCTCTCAGTTCTATACCTTTTATATTGCAGTAAATTCTCATTCTGCTTTCTGCAAGCAAATGGCTGGGGCAAATGGGTTTCTTATAGCTTTCCATGTGTGTTTGATATTTACATGCTTCAATTGAGTTGTCGTATCTTCTCTGAAGCAGTGAAACTGTGGAATATTCTGAATTATGTTGCCTTCTTCAAAGGTATTTCCACCTATAGCTATAGTTCAGTGTGTGAAAACTTAAAATTTTGAAAAAGAGCTATTGCTGTTATTTTCATTGTTTACTTTGCATTTAATTTTTATTTATGAGTAATATCAATTAATTGCAATGGCTCTTTTTTTTTACTTAGTGATTGATTATGATATAAAGCAAGAGACAAAAATCTTTTCTCACAGTAAATAAGCCAAGTTGAACTTATGTAAATGGAGTATAAATGATATAATGAAGTGAATGGGAAAAACAAAACTGACATACCTTGCCTTGGGTTTGTCAGCTTTCTGAGGCTTTGGCAATTCATAAATTTTTAAAAGCGTAAGTAAGAAATTTTGTTAGTCTTAATTAAAAAAGCAGTAAATAGATTACTGATAATAGTAATAATAATAATAATAATAATAATAATAATAATAATAATAATAATAATAATAATAATAATAATAATAATAATAATAATAATAATAATAATAATAATAGCAAGTAAATGAATGAATTGCTCGAATTTTTAAACATTATTATCAATTAAAGTATTTGGTAATATCAATATTAAGAAATTTTTTTTCTTTTGTATCCATACATGCTCAAAATTACAGGTGTATCTTCTGTTGCACAGCTCATTACCGTTTACATGCAAAATTGATTTGCTTGCTAAATTAAAAAATACTGCAAAAAAAATAATACTGTGGTCAATTGTCCAATTGTCCACTATTTTTTCAACAGCTTCAATTATTACGTTCTGTTCTTGACCGATTTTTCATGATGGCTTTGACTGTTGTGATGAACAATGATTGCTAATCAGTTCAGTGATCACTAGATCATTATAAATTACGAGGAAATTAAATAGATTACTTCATTCATTTCATATATGAGTACCCGCAGAAGGGATCAGAAATCAATCATTTGATATCAGTACATCGCATTCATTTCTTTTATTTTCTTCATTGCAGTTACATAGCCATTATTATTCCATGTAACTTTTGATCAATGCCAATAATTTTAATCTATTTCAATCAAACTAACCTTCTATATAAAAAAATCTAATAAATATGTAGATATAAATCTAATAAATACAAAATATAAATAAATCAAATAAATACAAAATGTAGAACGAGACATTGAACCTGTCTGAAAAAAAAAATTTAAGGAAGAAATGGCCAATCTTAAAACTTCTGCTTTATTAAATTACTTGCGTAGCAGCCTTCTGAGATTTCAGACTGACAAGGAAAATAATATGAATGTTTTTTTTTGTATTGTTACAGCTGCGAAAGGTTTTTCAATTTATCGCAAAGAACCGATTAACAAAATTTAATATCAATATGACCAGTTAAACTATAAATATATCTTGTTTCACTCCGCTCAAATTTTCCGATTTTTTGGAAATAAAAATTTTTTTTAAAAAATTTGAAATTTAAAACAAAGCAAATCTGAAAATTTACAGACGTCGTTCAAACGAAATATTAGATGAAGTCATTTAGCATGCGCAAATTATCTATATCAATTGCAAGCAATGTAATTATGTATTTTCCCTTCTAACCAATATTGCAAAGATTTGAAAATTTATAAAAATTGAATCGAAAAGAAATAAAATTGTGCAAAAAACGTTGCAACTGCTTTGCATAAATTATTTCCAACAATGTAATATAGCAACTAAAATGAAACAATTCAATGCAAAGGATTAAACACTGACTGTTTTTATTATACTAATATAAATTCTATTATTACTTATATTATTATACGTGGACATAAGTTCATCAATATACGTAGTTTGCCACTCCCATCTGAATGAGCATTTATACATACAATTCTCCAATAATCTTCAACAAATTTCATTCAGTAAGTTTTTATTTATTATTTCATTTATTTCGACAGAGGATGTTATCTTTTTCGGAAGTTTCGAGTTATGAGAAAGATTTCGGAACTCAATGATTAATTTGTAAATAATCCATTATATTTAGAAAAACATTTCTACTTTGCGCATTTGTCAAACAGCAGCGGTGAACACCGTCCAGTAAATTTGAATGTTTTTTCAGAATTGGCAACAAATTATTCTCATTGACATGCATTTCATCTATTTCTTCTGCTTCTTCTTCCAGTTCATCAATACTCAAACCATCGTAAGTCCATTTAAAGTTTAAAAAATACAACAACGCTGCAATATTTTGAAATTTTTAAAATTTACACAGTGTAATCTTTGAGGCAGCGCAAACGGACCAAACAGAACCGTTGGATTTATCAATATCAAAAGTGAGAGATGACGGACATGGATCACAAGGCTTATCAATGGGCGGAGAGGATGAGGAAAGGATTGGTTTGCAAGTGCTTCAAACAAAAACTCTGGATTTATCGGCTCCAAAACTGAAAAAGGAAGGGAATAAATCGCAAGGCTTATCAGTGGATGGAGTGAGTGATGAAGGAATTAAATCGCGACAACAACTCGTTCCAATCGAAACACCGGTGGAAGTGATCGAGCTATCAAGGCAAGAAAAAAGGACGATAAAAAAGCAGCGTTGTGACATATGTCGAAAGGAAGTGGCAAAAATAAAAGAACATATGATGACTCATACCGGTGAGAAGCCGTACAGTTGTTCAATATGCAAAAAGAATTTTAGTCTCTCTGCGCATATGAAAGGACATATGATAACTCATACCGGTGAAAAGCCGTACAGTTGTCCGACATGCAAAAAATTTTTCAATAATTTCTCGAATATGAAAAAGCATATGATGACTCATACTGGAGAGAAGCCGTACAGTTGTCCGATATGCAAAAAGAATTTCAGTTGCTCTTCGTATGTGAAAGAACATATGATAACTCATACTGGAGAGAAGCCGTACAGTTGTCCGATATGCAAAAAGAATTTCAGTCGCTCTTCGCATGTGAAAGAACATATGATAACTCATACTGGAGAGAAGTCGTACAGTTGTCCGATATGTAAAAAGAATTTTACTCAGTCCCAAAGTATGAAAGCACACATGATGATTCATACCGGTCAAAAGCCGTACAGTTGTTCAATATGCAAAAAGAATTTTAGTCGCTATTCGCATGTGAAAGGACATATGATAACTCATACCGGTGAGAAGCCTCACAGTTGTCCAGTATGCGGGAAAAGTTACGTACGAAAGAGCGATTTGCACATTCACACGGCAATTCATGGCATGAATAGTAGACCAGTCTACCACTGCACTATTTGCAGTAAAGACTTTCAGAGTAAACTAGGCTTGAAATTACACATGAAGAAACATTAAAGCTTTCGCACTTTGAAGAGAAGAAATTTATATTTTCTGTTGGTCAAATTCTTTGTTACTTATTCCTTTTTTTATTGATAAATTATTATTTGTATCTTTGATCTTATGTGCATATTAGATTCATATTCTTCACTCTTTTGTCATCTTTGTTACCCGTGCAATGCATTTCTCAGTATTAAATTCATCCGCGAATTTCATTTGCATGTAACCTTGCGTGCTATGCACGAAGGAGTTGTCGCGGATTTTAATATCGCGATCTAAAAATATGAGTTGCAAATTGTAGTAAAGATATCTACGTAATTTCCGCAAATAATGCTTATACTTCGGACTCTTTGTTTCCAAATTTATGCTTCTACATATTGAAACAATTTACATCGTTCTTTGTTAGCAATCCTTACAATCATGAGGATATCTACATTGTTCTTTGTTAGCTATCATAATCATGCGGTTATCTAATAAGCTCTTTATTAGCAACTGGTGCCCATGCAAGCACCTCCTCTCCTTTGTTTCGATCATTGTCTAACATCAATGTAGATTTATAACCATACTATTGTCAATTAGATCAGTTTTTAAATCATCCAATCCTCCGAATCAGTTTATTCAATTGTTGCCCAGATATTTAGCTGGCATCCAACACATCTCCCTGACATCAAACTTCTCCCCCGAATAACAATTTAACCAAATCATAAAGGTTTGTTTCCAAAAACATTTTTTTGCTTCCACTACAATTTTGGTGCCACGAGCCGGGACATGTCCGACAGTATAAGAAAAGGAAGCGAATTATCGAAGTCGAGAACTCTAGAACTTCTTAAAGAAGCAAGTGAACTCGATCTGACCTCCCCGTCTCAAACACTATCACGAGGGGAACTTCAGCATCAATACGAAATTAAATTGCGAATCGTCAAGGAGAAGATCGCACATCTCGAATATTATGCTGGGTTACTCGAAACAGCTAATCAAAATTGGCTGGATAATATTCAGAGCTTGACAATAGCAACGAGGAGAAAGGAAGAGGAGACGAAATACGCCAATATGGTTGACGATCCACAAGGTATTTTAAGTTTAATCACTAGAACAAGAGAAACTATTATTACCCTTAAAATACATACTGATGAATATTGCTCGGTACTACAACATTTAAAACAAGAAGAGGTCAAAGAATCATTTCCAAAGAATAGTATGATTCACACAAATCAAGCAGAAATAAAACTTCCTCAATTACCACTAATAACGTTTAGTGGGGATCCAAAATTGTGGAGGCAATTTTGGTGTAGTTTCAAGGCAGCAGTCCATGAGCAAAGCATCCCAGATATTCAAAAGTTAAACTATCTGATATCATGTCTTAAAGGAGATGCTTTGTTATCTGTAAGAGGTTATGATATAGCGCCAGAAAACTACGATGTTATAATAGGTTTACTAAAAGAGAAATATGGTAAACCTTTCCTCATAAAGAAATCACTCTACAACGAGTTGAATACCATCAAAAAAAATGACCGAGAGTGGAAAGCAACCATAGAAGCCATGGAGAGAACATTTCGACAACTGGAAGCTATAGGTGAAAATTTAGAGCATTCAAGCATCGAAATTACAATTGAAAATAAACTACCAGCGTGGATAATTGATAAATTATACCAATTGAAAGAGGATTCGACGAGTTGGTCAGTTAAGGATATCCGGCAGTACCTGACAAAACTAGTTCTAAGAAATGAAGAAGTTGCTAGAAGTCAAGCAGACACAAGGGAGAAGAAAACAAACAAAAATAATGTTAGAGGCGAAACGTCAGCTTTCGCCACAATCAACCAAACAAAGGGAGATAATACAATCAAATCAAAAAAGGTTCCAGGAAAAATTTCTATAAATGGGAAAAGGAAACCATGCGTATTTTGCAATAAGGACCACTGGAACAATGAATGTAACATCTATCCCACTCTCAAACTCCGGATGGAACGTTTGAGAGAAATCACTGCATGTTTCAAATGTTTACGAAAAGGACATGCAACAAGTGATTGTAAAAAAGGGAAACCTTTGTGTTTCCATTGTAAAAGTCCACACAATACAGCACTGTGTCCCAACAACTACAAGGAACTCACGCAAGCAGTGGATTCCAACAAAGAAAGATTGGGTTCAGTCACAATCGCTAACTCCATTACCGAAAAAGGAAATCAATGGAAAAAGCGAACCTTACTGTTATGTAAGGAAATAAATGTAACCAATCCAAATCGCCCAAAAATCCAACAAAAGGCTTTAATTCTATTCGATATTGGTTCTCAATTATCGTTCATATCAAAGGATTTGGCTTATCGATTGAATCTACAAGAAACTAACGAGATGGAAATAAAAATTGCTTCATTTGGGGATAAGACGCCAAAAACGTGTATCACTACTAAAACTGAAATCGGAGTAAAAATTGGAAATAAAGAAATAATCCGATTAGATGTAATAACAGTTAACCACTTGACGAATGAATTGCAAGTAGTTAATCTAAACAAAAAGGAATTGTTGATGATAGACAAACGAAATCAGTTTAGTAATTTCAAAAACAAATGGAAACAACCGGACATACTCATAGGTGCGGATCACTTCTTCAAGTTTATCCAGTTTGACCAAGCAGAGAACTTAAAATCAGGATTTTCATTGATCCATACAAAGGTTGGACCTATAATAGCTGGAAGTGGGTATATAAATGAAATACACGACAGTATTTCAGAAACCACATCAGTAAGTCCGATTTCTCAAGTCAATGCCGTCAATATTCCAGACTTAGATCACTTTTGGAAACTGGAATTAATGGGTATACAAGACAAAATAAACTCTGACAATGATGAAAAAGCATTGCAGCAATTTAAACAAACTATCACTAGGGACAAGGGAAGATATCAAGTTTGTTGGCCTTGGAAAGATTCAAAGAACAAACTAAGCGATAATTTCGGACTTTGCCTTGGAAGATTAAAGTCGTTAATTAGGAGGCTTCAAATGAAACCTCAATTACTAAGTCGATACAATCAAACTATTGAAGAACAACTCAATTCCAATATAATTGAGAAAGTGTCATCGGAAATGAATGAAGTTGGTATTATTCATTATCTGCCTCATCACGAAGTGATAACACCAAATAAAACCACGACAAATCTGAGGATAGTTTATGATGCATCAGCTCATTGTAAAGGAATGAAAAGTTTAAATGATGTTTTATATCGGGGACCAATAACACTCCCTGATTTGGTTGGAGTTTTGCTACGTTTCCGTACAATGAAAAATGTAATAATAGCAGACGTAGAAAAGGCGTTCTTGCAAATAGAATTGCATCCAACAGATAGAAACTGCACTCGATTTCTTTGGTTGAAAGACATTCGAAGTCCAGTTAACGAAGAAAACGTAAGTTGTTACCGTTTCCAACGAGTTCCATTTGGAATTGTATCATCTCCATTTTTATTGTCCGCTACACTCAATTATCATTTGGAAACTTGTAAAAGCAAAATCGCACTCGAGTTAAGGAAAAATCTCTATGTCGATAACATTATAATACCAACCAAAGGAACCAACGAAGCTCTTTCCAATTATAAGGAAATTAAAATTATATTCAATGAAGCATCAATGAATGTACGGGAATTTCTCTCTAACGATCAAGAAGTCAATGAAAAACTTCCGGTACAAGATCGAGCAGAGGTAAGTTCAATTAAAAAAATTCTAGGTCTCAATTGGTACCACAAACAAGATATCATTCAAGTAACGTTAAAACCATGGTTTGGTAAGAAATTAACTAAAAGAATTATATTGCAATTCGTAGCCTCACAATATGACCCACTAGGATTCATAGTTCCTATACTGATAAGATTCAAATTGTTTCTCCAAACTTTGTGGAAAAAGAACCTTTCATGGGATCAAACTATAAGTGAGGAAGATGAAACCACGTGGAAATTACTCACGAACGAATGGCCAAAGAAACTAAAGGATCTACCAAGATTCACAACAAATTGTTCCAAGCAAGTACAATTTCATGTTTTTACTGACGCATCAACTGCTGCATACTCAGCAGCTTTATACATTCGAACTCAAGAAAGAGAAGTATTCTTAGTGTTTGCTAAATCCCGAATTGCGCCAATTAAAGGAATGTCAATACCTCGATTAGAATTACTGGCAATACTCATCGGAGTGAGAATGGTACAATTCGTATTAAAACAAAAAGAGCTTGAGGACGTGATAACAATTTTATGGTCCGATTCTCAATGTGCGCTTCATTGGGTTCACAATAGTTCCCGTTTACTACCAACGTTCATACAAAATAGGGTAGAAGAAATACGAAAGGCGAAAATCCATTTTAGATATATCCCAAGTGAACAAAACCCAGCTGATATAGCTACAAAAGGAATCTCTCCGAATAAACTAAAAGGATATGATCTTTGGTGGAAAGGACCAAAGTGGTTAACAGAAAACGAATCAAAATGGCCACAGTGGAAATACAATTACAATGAGGATTACCAGGATGAAGAAATTGTGGCCCACATCACAGAACCAATTATCATAAACAAACATTTCGGAATCTTAGATGCTAGTCGTTTTAGCAAATGGTCAAGATTAATAAGAACAACTGGTTGGGTTCTGAAATTCATAAGATTAACAATGAAAAGGGAAATTCCTTGGCTAAAGATGGCAACGAAAGAAAAGAATATATTGACAACACAGGATTACGAGTTGTCAGAAATTGTGCTATTCAAACAAGCACAGTCAGAAGGAGTTACCAAAGATGAAATAATCAAATGGAATTTGTTCTATGATAACGAACTATGGAGATACAAAAGCCGCGTAGTTAACTCTGAAATGAAAGAGAGTAACTTACACCCAATATATCTCCCGAGACACAACACCATAACTGAACTCTTTATTCAGCAACGACATGAACAACTGTATCATGCTGGAATTGCTCATACACTCTCAAATCTGAGATCGACGATATGGATCCCAAAAGGTAGAACGGAAGTCAAACGAATCTTGAATAAGTGCATGAAGTGCAGACGCTGGACAACTAAACCATTCAAATTACCAACTATGGCTGATCTTCCAGCATCTCGGACCACAAGATCAAGACCCTTTGCGCGAGTAGGACTAGACTATTTAGGTCCTGTGAATATCAGGAGTGATAATGGGCTAACAAAAAGATGGGTAGCACTATTCACATGTTTCACAACAAGAGCTGTACATCTAGAAGTAGTAGAAACTCTTTCAGCCGAAAGCTTTTTACATGTTTTCAGAAGATTTACAGCAAGACGAGGCTTTCCAGAATTAATCTTAAGCGACAACGCTGGTCAATTCCAGTTAATTTTTAAAATCATTGTGAAACAACAATTAAATGAATTCCTAGCGGAAAGGAAAATGATCTGGAAAAATATAATACCAAAGGCGCCTTGGAACGGAGGAGTATATGAGCGACTTATTGGGTTAACAAAAAGGGCAATGAAAAGAGCCATCGGCAGAAAGTTATTATGGGAACGGGAATTGATTACGCTAGTAGCGGAAGTGGAAAGTATTTTGAATACTCGACCACTAACTTACGTAAATTTTGATGATTGTATCATATTGCGTCCAATTGACTTTATACTACCGAATGCGCATCTAATCATGCCTGCTAAAAACAAGAATGAAATGGATGATTTTATCCCTCATAAATTGGATTCGAGAGAAAAACTCATTCAATACTGGTCAAATACACTAAAGGCCCTCGATGCCTTCTGGGAAATATGGAAAGAGGAATATTTAAATACTCTTAAAGAAAGAGCACAAAGGGAACACTCTTCTCCGAGAGATGTAGTAAAAAGAACTCCCCACGAGGGAGAGATTGTGTTACTAAATGAACCAGAAATTCCCCGTGGCATGTGGAAACTAGCCAGAATAAGAGAAATCAAAACAGGAAAGGATGGAGAAGTGAGAAGTGTCTCGATAGAATTACCGAAAGGAAAAATACTCAACAGACCGGTGAATATGTTATACCCACTGGAAGTCAAAGGTGAGGAAATTGACCCTCAACCAACAATGTTTAACAAATCAGTGCAAAATGTCAATGAACAAGAACCAATTGCTCTACGAACTAGAAGCGCTATAAGGCGAAGCAATCAACCAAAGCTGTCCAACGAACTAAAGCATTTAGCTCCTTCGGTCGGGAGTGTCGCGGATTTTAATATCGCGATCTAAAAATATGAGTTGCAAATTGTAGTAAAGATATCTACGTAATTTCCGCAAATAATGCTTATACTTCGGACTCTTTGTTTCCAAATTTATGCTTCTACATATTGAAACAATTTACATCGTTCTTTGTTAGCAATCCTTACAATCATGAGGATATCTACATTGTTCTTTGTTAGCTATCATAATCATGCGGTTATCTAATAAGCTCTTTATTAGCAACTGGTGCCCATGCAAGCACCTCCTCTCCTTTGTTTCGATCATTGTCTAACATCAATGTAGATTTATAACCATACTATTGTCAATTAGATCAGTTTTTAAATCATCCAATCCTCCGAATCAGTTTATTCAATTGTTGCCCAGATATTTAGCTGGCATCCAACACATCTCCCTGACATCAAACTTCTCCCCCGAATAACAATTTAACCAAATCATAAAGGTTTGTTTCCAAAAACATTTTTTTGCTTCCACTACAGGAGTTGCAAATAATTGTCGTTGGTGTTAAATTACTAATTGGTGTTAAATTACTAAAATTACTTAAATGAAATTGTTCGTATGTATTTCTTTCTCAATTATTGCATGAATAATATGAAATAAACTTTTGGAAAAGAATCTTCTTAATTACTACATATAATTTCATAAAGTTATATAATTATGCGATCTACAACAATGCGTCAAATTTATATCAGTGAGCGACTAATTGTAATCAATAAAGTATTACAGGTGAAAATCAGGAAGAGATTTATGAATTTGATTTAATTTAAAATTTTTACATGACATTTTTTAATTTCTTGATTAGATACGCACTCAGAATTTTTTTATATTTTTGAAGTTTGGATAATGGTAAAAATACCTATCCAGCTGTTTGTGTCGATTAAAATATTCTTAAAGCAATTAACTCTCACTTCCATCAATTATGTTAGCAAATGTCGTAAAAGTTTTTCAGCATATTTATTGAGATGATACTCATTGCATTTGTAAAGAAATCACAACGCAGCATGTATTTCATTTGATTTAATCTTTTTAATTTAATCACTTTATTTATTCCAATTTCTATGATTTACTTTTTTACATGCTGGAATTTTAAGTGTCAAACAACCTTGACATTTTATTAAAAAACAACCTATAACAACTCAATGTATCGAATTCTTTTAAGGACTAATTGATATAAAAATTTCAAACATTGTGATTTCTTTATTTGCTTCTAAATTTCTGTCAAAATTAATTAAAACAAACAGCCATACCAAAAAAATTAAATATATATAAAAAAGGAAAGTTGTACTACCATAGTATGCAGTTAAGTATATTTTGTAACAAATGCATTAATATAAAGAACAACCAATTCATATTCGACCGTTTAATGCACTGACATATTTAACTATAAAATTTTGATATAAATTAGCAATTTGTACGCAAATTATCACTTAATTCAAGATAGCGCATTTGTTCGCTAAGCGGATGAAACGCATTGCGTTCGCCATCATATTTACGAGAAATCCATTTAAAAATTACTGTCTTTTAATATAACGTAAAACGGCAAAGTCACATTATCGGTTACATCTCTGTCAAGTGTTCGGTCATACTTTTATTCTTCACTTTTTAGGTTTGTCTAAAATAGATCACAATGATCATTACAAACTGACAAGGAGAATATTATGAATGCCTTTTTATTGTTACGGCTGCGAAAGGCTTTTCAATTTATAGCAAATGATCGATTAACAAAATTTAATATTAATATAACCTATTAAACTATACATATATCCTCGCTTAAATTTTCCGATTTTTTGAAAATTAAAATTTTTTTTAGGAAATTTAAAATAAAGCATCTGAAAATTTACAGACATAGTTCAAACAAAATATTAGATGAAGTCATTTAGCGTATGTAAATCATCTACAACAATTGCAGGCGATGTAATTATGTAGTTTTTCCCTTCTAACCAATATTGCAAAGATTTGAAAATTTATAAAAATTGAATCGAAATAAAATTGTGCAAAAAACGTTGCAACTGCTTTGCATAAATTATTTCCAACAATGTAATATAGCAACTAAAATGAAACAATTCAATGCAAAGGATTAAACACTGACTGTTTTTATTATACTAATATAAATTCTCTTATTACTTATATTATTATACGTGGACATAAGTTCATCAATACGTATTTATGTATGAGAGACACATCGCTTTGGTTGGTGTGGCTCAGTCGGTAGAGCATCAGCTTGTGGTACTGAATGCGGCTAGTTCGGATCTGCTCACTCTCTTCAGGAAGATCGTCCCCTGCCTTATGATGAGTACTAAATTAGTGTGCAATTACACAGCCAGCAAAGGCTCCTTGAATAATCCGAGTGGGTGTGGCTCAGTTGGTAGGGCATCAGCTTGTGGCATTGAGTGCGGCTAGCTCGGCTCTGCTCGCTGCCCTCACTTAAAATCTCCTCTGCATTATTATGAGTCTTTAATCAGCCAAACCATCTAAGTGGGTATGTGTGCCTAGTTCGGTTCTGGTCGCTCTCCCAAATGAAATGTTGCCTTGCAAATCATCCGAAGTAAAAATTCCAATGAACCGATTGTTATGTTCTCAACCTACTGTCTTCATCAGATGCACCTCAACTTCTTGACTAAATTTAACGAAGTTGGTAAGGAATATAGCATTATCGTCAATAAACGCACAGGGCAGTTTATATATCTATGGTCTCTTTATTTAAAAGAAGCTTTTTTTGCCATCTTCATCTTCTATACCAAGCTTTTAGTTATTTTGTATATTTAATGCTCAGAAGTAAAATCTCTTACTCCTTTAGAATCTAATTCTTCTTTTTGCTTTCGGATAACTGATAGAATATTAAATCTTCAGTAAAGTCAGAAGCAGACGATACACCAATTAGTGCTGCAATTCTTTCTGAAAGTTGGAGAGCAGTGAGCAACATCAGGCGCCGTCTCATGCTTGAACCTATAATTATTTGCTTGCCGTTACGAGTTACTCTAACACAATTTTTTTGCCAATCACTCATCGTGTAATCAGTGTAATCAGCACCTGAATAACCAATAACCATGACCAAAGTAATCAAATAACACAAATGCTATATGAGTTTCTTGACAAAATTTTTAAATAGCAGCTGTTCTAATTCCATTCATATTGAGTGAAAATCCACCGAAAAGACTATGGAAGCTTTTTTTTTTTTTTCCTTTGTAGCTCACAATGTGCTATGCTATGTACTTACTGTCTTCATCAAGCAAAGTAATGCTGTAATCCATGTTATTTTGGTATAGCAATCTGACCATCACTTAGTTGACACTCAAGTAACCGATTAGATCTTCAATTTCCTGCGGATTGGAAATACCTACAAATGTCATATGCATACCTTTTATATAGGCTTTTGAACTCTTTGAGAAGGCAAATAATTCTTCATATCTCTCTCCACTTTTGATTCTTTTCAAGTATTGCTTTTGAGTAATAATCTACCACTGATATTGAGTAATAATCTACCACTGCTATCCATTTTTTTTTTAATGAATTGATATTTTAACATTTATTTCAATATTTTAACATTTATTTAAAATTAGTTTTTGATATTGCTGGGATTTATTTTGAAGATTAATATGCAAAATTAATGAATTTTCATAAAATTTAAATTTGAAATAAAAATCAATTATAATTTTAAAAATGAATTAAAACCGTCAAAAAATAAAAATTGAAATAGTTTTGCTAATCAAATATTGATTAAAACTTAACTATTAAAGTTTATTTTAATATTTATGCTGGTCAAATGACCACAATGTATGCGACCAGTACCTATGCAATGCACACAAATTAATCAATTAAGTTCAAAATAACCATTTTTTTTTTAATGAACTGATATTTTTCAATATTCTAACATTTTTTTTAAAACTAGTTTTTGATATTTACTACCATTTTTTTTTTTTTTTTTTTTTTTTGTAGATTAATATACAAAATTCTAGTAAATTAATGAATTTTCAGAAAATTTGATATTTAAATTTGAAATAAAAATTAATTTTAGCTGCAGAAATGAATTAAATATAGGACAAATTAAAAATTTTATTAATTTCACTTGTCAAATATTTATAAAAAACTCAATTATCAATGTTTATTTCATTATTTATGCTGGTCAAATGACCACAATGTACGTGACCAGTACCCATGCAATGCATAAAAATTATTCAATTAAGCTGAAAGCAAATATCTTTTTGAATGAATTACTATTTTTTAATAGTTTTGATTTCAATTAAAATAAAATTTGATGATAGTAGGACTTTTTTCCTAGTTCAATATGCAAAAACTCTTACAAATTGTGGGATTTTCATTGAAATAAAACTTAGTTTCAATTGTAAGAAATGATTTAAAACCGTGATAAATTAAAAATTTAATTAATTTTGCTACCGAAATATTGTTCAAAACCAAATTATTGATGTCTATTTAATTATTTATGCTGATCAAATGACCACAATGTGTGTGACCAGTACCTATGCAATGCACACAAATTAATCAATTTAGTTCAAAATATCCATTTTTTTTAATTAATTGATGATTTTCGATATTTTAACATTTAATTAAAATCAAAATTGATAAAACTAGAAATTATTTCCTCGTTTAATATACAAAAACTGTTGCAAATTATAAAATTTTCACCAAAATTGATTTTTAGATTTGAAATAATGCTTAAGCCTAAGCCTAAGTATACCCTAAGCCTAAGCCTAAGCATTATTTTACTATTTAAGATGTCAAATGACCACTATGTATGTGACCAGTTCCCGCACTATGCGTATATAATAATCATTTTTTTTTTTTTTATTAAATGATATTTTTTAATAGTTTTAACATCCTTTGAAATTAAATTTTGATAATAGTAGAACTTCTTACCTAGTTTTATATGCAAATACCCGTATAAATTATGGGATTTTTGTAAATGTGTTATTTAAATTTGAAATAAAAATTAATTTCAATTGCAAGAATTATTTAGAACAGTGGCAAATTTAAAGTTTAATTAATTTTGCTCCTAAAATATCATTCAGAACTCAATTTCTAGACTTGATTTTATTATTTTTGCTGTTCAAATGATCACAATGTATGCGATCAGTACCTATGCAATGCACACAAATTAATCAATTAAGTTCAAAATATCCATTTTTTTTAATTAATTGATAATTTTCGATATTTTAACATTTAATTAAAATCAAAATTGATAAAACTAGAAGTTATTTCCACGTTTAATATACAAAAACTCTTGCAAATTATAAAATTTTCACCAAAATCAATTTTTAGATTTGAAATAATGCTTAAGCCTAAGCCTAAGTACACCCTAAGCCTAAGCCTAAGCATTTTTTTATTATTTAAAATGTCAAATGACCGCGATGTATGTGACCAGTACTATTCAACGCTTATAAATTAATTAAGTTCAAAATATCTATTTTTTTAATGTTTTGATATTTCTTAATTTTTTAACATTTAATTAAGATTAAATTTGATAATAGTAGGGTTTATTTTCCAGTTTATTATGCAAAAATTCTTACAAATTATAGGATTTTCATAGAAATCAATTTTAAATTTAAATTAAAAATTAGCATTAATTGTAAAAATGAATTAGATCTATGACTAATTAAAAATTTTATTATTTTCGCCAGTGAAATTTTAATCAAAACTCAATTCTTAAAGTTTATTTAATTATTTATGCTGATCAAATGACCACGAGGTACGTGACCAGTACCTATGCAATGCACACAAATTAATCAATTAAGTTCAAAATACCACTTTTTTTTTTTTAAGAATTGATATTTATAAATATTTTAACGTATAATTAAAATAAATTCTGACAATACATGTATTCATTTCGCAAAATTGTACAAATTTCCTATATTTTGATACTTAAAATAGAAATAAAAATTAATTCTAACTGTAAGAATGAATTAAAGCCGTCATTAATTAAAAATTTAATTAATTTTGCTAATAAAAAATTGATTAAAGCTTAATTATTAAAGTTTATTTTATTATTTATGTTGCCAATTGACCACACCATAAATGACCAGTACCCATGCAACGCTTATAAATTAGTCAATTAAGCTCAAAATTTTCTTTACGAATTGATATTTTTTAATAGTTTTAACATTTTAATTAAATTGAAATTTGACAACACCGGCATTTATTTCATAGTTTATTATGCAAAAACTTTTACAAATTGCACAATTTTCTTAAATTATGGTATTTAAATTTGGAAAATAAATTAATTACAATTGTAAGAATGAAATAAAACCGTGACAAACAAAGAATTTAATTAATTTTGCTAATAAAATGTTGATTAAAAGTTATTTTTTAAAGTTTTTTTTAATATTTTATGCTGACCAATTGACCACACCGTGACTGACCAGTACCTATGCAACGCTTATAAATTAATCAATCAAGTTCAAATTATCTAATTTTTTTAATGATTTGATTTTTTTTTAATATTTTAACATTTAAATAAAATCAGTTTTTGATATTGCTAGAATTTATTTTATAGTTTAATATACAAAACTCTGACAAATTATTGAATTTTCATAAAATTTGATATTTAGATTTGAAATAAAAATTAATTTCAATTGTAAGAATGATTTAGAACAGTGGCAAGTTAAAAATTTAAATAATTTTGCAAATAAAACATTGTTTAAAACCTAATTTTGAATGATTATTTAATTATTTATGCCGATCAAATGACCAGTCGTAAATAACCAGTACCTATGCAATGCATATAAATTAATCATTTAAGCTCAAAATATCTAACTTTTTTAATGAATATATATTTTTTTAACAGTTTTAACATTTAATTAAAATTTTTTATTACTAGAAATTGTTTCGTAGTCTAATATACAAAAAATGTTTTGATTTATTGCAAATCATAAAATTTTCATAAAATTTGATCTTGAGATTTCAAATGAAAATTAATTTTAGCTGCAGAAATGAATTTAATCTACGACAAATTAAAAATTTTATTAATTTCACTTCTCAAATATTAAAAAAAAAACTAAGTTATTAAAGTTTATTTTCTTATTTATGTTGTCAATTGACCACACCGTAAGTGACTGGTACGTATGCAACGCATAAAATTTATGAATTGAATTCAAAATAACTAATTTTTTTTAATGAATTGATATTTTTTAATAGTTTTAATTGATATTTTTAATTGATATTTTAACAATTGAGTTCAAAATAATATTTGATATTTTTAATACTACGCTCTCTCATTGCAGAATACTTTGCTGTCATGTTTTACAGTTGCTGTATCAAGACTATCTTTATCGTTTTCGTGTGAAGCTGGGTTATTAGCTGGAATAGTTACAGTATTGTTAGCAGTTTTTTTGGTAATAGTGGAAACGGTTTGCTGCTCTATAGTTATTTTTATACTAAAAATATTAACAAAATATTTTCATCTTTAGCTGCTATTAAAAATTTTATCTCGATTCTCTCCTGGTATAATTAAGCGGAGTATAAGTTCCTATTGGTACCACCTGAAAATTTTACGGTCATTTTCTCGCTCAGCACTTCCTTTAAAAGCTCTTTTTTTTAGCTTCTTCTAAAAGATCTTTAACAGCCTTGATACTTTTATGGCATATGACAGGGTACAGCAGAGAAAACCCCTACTTTTCTTCTTGATCATTGAAAGATACCGTAATTATCAAAATTTTCTTTGCGTTGTTACCAGATTTCTTTAATATATTAGCAATATTTTCTTCTTTTTTTATTTTTTTTGCTAGCTCAAGAATTTTTTGTTTATTTTCATTTGTTAATTTACTCTCATTATTTACTAACTCATAAGCTATATTCTCTCTAGGATTTTCTATTTTTTCTAAAACATATTTCCTTTTCTATAACATCCGCTTCTATAAATTGATTATGTTAATAACCTATGGATGTCGATTAGAGCACTGATCTCACAACTATATGAATATTGTAATTTCAGGAATCCAAGTAGCTCATAGAAATGCAAAAATTACTTGACACATTTTGCTAGTTCTCTTATCATGAAAATGGAGTTATTTTATATAATTTTCTAATCTTAGCAGATTAATAAGCTGAAACTCGCTTATAAAGCACTTAAGGCATTACCCAACGTCAAAATTTTTAAAGTAAAGAGTTGATAACTAGCTACTCTGGATTTTTTTTGCCTTTTTTTCTGCTTGGTAAGTTCCTTAAATATTTGCAGCTAAAAGTTATACTAAAAATCAACTATGTCTTGCACCTCAAAAAATATCGGATTACACTAGCCTATCCGATAGGCCTTGAACGTACGAGTTTTGAATTTTAGAATATTATTTTTTTAACATTGCTGCAAGAGCTAAAAATCCTGTATATATTAAAGTCTGAGGAATGTTTTTAAATATGGAAGTTATTGCAGAAAATAGAAAAGCAAGGTTTGAATACTTTATCCTAGAAGAGTTTGAAGCAGGTATGGTCCTTTTAAGTAGTGAAGTTAAATCTCTTAGAGAAAGAAAAGTAAATATTTCTGATGCTTATGTCACTGAAAAAAATGGTGAAATATGGCTGCACAATATGCACATTGCAAAATATAAAGCTGCAAACAAAAAAAAACATAAGCCGAAAAGGGAACGTAAATTGCTTCTGCATAAAAAAGAGATAAATAAATTAATCAGTCAGATCAAGACTGCTGGAGTTACTATTGTGCCACTTTCAATTTATTTTAATGACAAAGGATTAGTAAAAACTAGAATTGCTATTGTGAAAGGAAAAAAACTTTATGACAAAAGAGAAACCATAAAGCAGAGAGAGTGGAATCGTGAAAAAAGTAGATTGTCTAAAAATAACCTATAGTAAAATATGTCTTTAAGTCCAGCAATTTTTAGCATCGGTCCTGTCTCTATACTTTAGGTATAGTCTTTGCATATTGGTATTTACATAAGTTGGACGAGCAAAAAATATTTACTAAGAATTTTTATGATTCACTGTTAACAGCACTATTATAGGTATTATTCTTGGAGGCAGACTTGGCTTTGTGTTAATATACGATCCAATCTCCTACATAAACAACCCTATTGAGATATTGAAGACTTGGAAAGGAGGAATGTCATTTCACGGTGGCGCTATAGGAGTTTCGTTTAGAAGATATAATATTCCTATATTTTACACACTGGATCTAATTTCTTGTGGAGTTCCCATAGGTTTGTTTTTAGGCCTCATAGGCAATTTTGTAAACGGAGAGTTGTTTGGCAGGGTTACAACTATGCCATGGGGCATGGTATTTCCAGAGAGTGGTGATAATTTACTGCGCCATCCAAGTCAGCTTTACGAGGCGTTTTTTGAAGGATTGTTATTTTTCGCAATTGCAAATTCACTGTTTTTTTTGACTAGAATAAGACTATATCACGGCACATTAACTTTAACTGGCATTGCAGTTATGGTACGGAACAGTGCGTTTTGTGGTTGAGTTTTTTCGTGAACCAGATTATCAAGTTGGTTATTTGTGGCTTGATTTAACCATGGGAGTTGCTTTCAATATTTATGATTCTGCTAGGAATAATCGTGTATTTGAGTGCATTAAATTCGAAATTTAATACTAAATCTGTCGCATAGGGAAAAGCAAATATTTGAGCAGTTACGGAAGTGAGCTGTAAATTATAACAAACGCAGTAGCGCAATCTCCATCGTCACTGAGAGAAAGATGAATCATGTGGTCTTTGAAGATGAAATTCTTGCTAACAGTAAGATGCGGCTTTCCTCTTACGTCATTGTATATTTCTATATTTTTCATTATAATGCCATGGCTGAATCCACCTAGTGCCTTAACAAAGGCTTCCTTTGCTGCAAAGCGTTTAGCACGATACTTTGCTTGCATTTCTTGGCTGTTGTATTTTCTGCTTATCTCTATTTCCTGCTCGGTATAGATTTTATTGAAGAATTTTTTCCCATATTTTTGTAATATTCTTAGTATTCTTGGTGTATATACTATGTCAGTACCGATACCACGTATCATTTTACGTTAAAGTAGTTTATTGCTTCTTCAATCTGCACTTCCTTTACCTTTCCAGTTGCTCTATTTTTTATTTCAATTATATTTTCACTTACTGCTTTCTTCCCAACAATTATTTGCCATGGCAAGCCTATGAGGTCCATCTTAGCAAATCTTACTCCTATACTTCCTTCTGTATCATTATGAAACACTTCGTCACTTTTTAAAGTACTGTATATTTTATTTGCAATCTCTACATATTCAGCCGTTTTTGTCTGTAAGTTGATTAACCCAACCCTGAAAGGAGCCACTGCTTTTGGCCAGGTAATTCCTTTATCATCATGGAAAGCTTCTATTATTGCACCAAAGAGCCTTGAAATCCCAACACCATACGAACCCTGGAGTAAGAATAGGACCTGGTGCTAAAATCGGTCCATTTACCAAATGCGAGGACACAACAATTGGCGATGGCACTTGCTTTTGAGATTGAACCAGGAAATTTCAATACTGAACTCGGTAAATTTAAAACATGTAAGCTTAAGCAAAATGGCAATAAATATATATTTAATCCAGAATATAAGTAAAAAAATCGTATAGAACTACATTCTGAGTATCTTAATATGTATCTCCCTAAATACTTTGAAAAACACAGTAAAAAAAGGACATACATTGAACTTTTTTCTCTAAAAGAAAACAGAATTAATGACGATATCATAATTCCATCAAGTGTACCTAAAGAAATAGACATATTTTTTTTTGAGAATTCTGTCGAATAAATCCTAAAAAGGCTATACAGAGAAAAATACCAGATTTTCGGAGGGATATATATCTGAAAGATTGCAAAAATGATGTAAAATTCCACCTTAATTCAAATAATACTATATTTCTTTCTGTGACATCAGGGAGGATGTCCTAATTAGAGGCAGGTTTGCTAATAATGTAAATAAGCATATTCACAAGCAACTTGAAGTAAAAGTGGACTCTGATTTTGAATGTGTTGAAATAGTTAAGTTGAGGAGGTAAGCTCGGCTTTAAAATAAGTTAGAGTCACACCAGGTAAGCAAACGCTTCAGAGCAAAGCATAACGTAGAGTACAAGAAGCCATGTCTGCAAATGTACTACCACAATTCTTATACTGTAATAGGTAAACTCACGTAGATTATTATAATTAGTCAAGCCTAAGCTACTTAATAACCTCTACGGATTATCCATGTTACTCTATTCCTCATGAAGTACTTTCTTTACTTTCTATGAGTATGCCAAGCTCTTCTGCTGCATTTTTGACTTCTAAAGTAAAGTTTTAAAGTTCTTTACAACCTTTTTAATTGTTAGTACACTTATGAAAGTCTTACTTTTTATACATTATTATAAAGATTTTTTAAATTTTTCTTTTTTATTCAATAAAACTTACAATCTGACATATCAGAGTGGTTATTCTTTTTTGCCTATCAAAAAGAGTTTTGTTATTTTTTGTAAGCACGGTGTTTGTCTCTTCCAGTCGTTTGCTTTTTTTTCTTTTTTCATAAATTCTTCTTTATGTTCTTGTATTTTTCTCTCCAATTCTGCTGTAGATTTTTCTGTTCTATCTAGATTATTTACTTGCTCTTGCAACTGTTTGTCTATATCATGCAATCTTTCTTAGTTTTCATTAATCTCGTTGATTGTTACTTTTCCCAATTTGTCTTTACATTGCAATATTTCAGCTATATAGTCTATTTTACCTTCCAATTTGTACTCTAAGAATTCTTTTTCCTTGCGAAGAACTGCGTTTTCAGTTCCACATTAGACTTTCCTTGAGCCAAATTCAACTGACTACTTAATTTTTCTGTATTCTTGTTTGAGGCACCCACAATTACAGCTATTTTGTCGTTTAACTCTATTATTTTATTCTCTAGCTTTTTGATTTTACCATCTCTATTACTTAACTCTTTATACAGTATTATCTAACTGTTGTTTTACACTAATTAGCTCTCTACTTTTCTGGTTTAATAGATTCTTCAACTTCTTCATTAGTTTGCTTGCGGCTTTCCCAGTTTCCTTCTCTAGAATTATTTTCTAGTTCTTGCCCTCCTTTAGTAACCTCATCTCTCTCAGTTCTCCTTTTCTTATTACTACTAGTTATTTTATGTGAAAGTATAGCTGCTAAAACAGACAACATAGCTAAAGTAAAGGCTAGAGGAAGAGGTACACTAGAAAATGCAGCAAATGTTACAGATGCAAGTAACGTAAGAGTAGCTAAAGAACTAGCTACAAGCTAAAATGCGTTAGCTTTGTTAAGTGAATTGCCCAATAACCTCTTTCCACAAACGAAATTTCAACTCCATTGTGCATATATTTATTAAAATTCTCTTTAATACTTGTATTTTTATTTGCTACCATGTTAATAACATCATGCTGTACTATACCCTATACTTTTACAAGCTATAAAATGAGAGAATTTGTAAAATTGGTGCTGGCAAAAATTTTTCACTGACCTGATTGAAATTCCAATTTTATTTCATAAGTTTACTTTAGTTCTCCTGTTAGTTCTGGGCTTGGTAATACCTTTCATGCAATTACTTGAGATGTACGAAATATGGTAATTTTACTCGTTTAACACAAAGGTTGTGAGAAGAATTTGCTTTCGGTATTATTAGTGCACTATGTTCTTGTCTAGATAGGAAACAGATGCCACACTTGAAATTGATATATGCAATACCTGTCTTTAAAAATTAAATACTGAACTGTTATATATGAGTAAAAAAGACTACTATAAGCTGCTGGGGGTAGATAGAAATGCTAGTACTGATGAGATAAAAAAAGCATATAAAAAATTAGCGTTAAAGTATCATCCAGATAGGAATCCTGGCAATAAAGAAGCAGAGGAGAAATTTAATGAAATAACAGCTGCGTATGAAGTCCTATCTGATTCTGAGAAAAGAGCAGGCTATGATCGTTATGGTCACGCTCTCCTATTTCAATAACATCTATTGAAATCTTTGCCTCTGCTTCGCGCAGCATCGACAGTACCGCTTCCATAATTTCTGGCCCGATACCCCTGCTTCTATTAGTTTCTGCTGTCTGTACGCCCGTGATACATGTGAGGGAGTGCATTTATCTTTATCGTCTGCATTAACATTTGCGCCTGCTTCTATTAGAGTCTCCGTTGCCTGTGCACCCTTGATACAATGTGAAGGAGTGCATTTATCTTCATCATCATCTACATTGACATTTCCTTCTAACGGATTTTTCACTATATCAATATGACTTCTTAACAGCCAAATGTATCTTTGTCCACTGCATTAATTAATATCAATTCCTTCCACCCAAATAAAGCTTTCACCACACTTTTTAGATTATTGTGAACAGCAAATGCAATAGTCCATTTTTCACTGCAAATAAGTGATTTACATCAAAATTAGTTTCCTTCCATATGTACTTAAATCCATTTTTTTTTAAATTCTCTTTTATTTTTGCAATTGCGTTATCTTTACTTAATTGTTTCCTTATCGATTGCACTTAATATTTCTTTCCATTCTTCATATTCCATTGTCATCCCTTTTTAAATAATGTTTTAATTATCGTGGATTACGACAAAAAAGCCAACTCATTTTTTTTTTCTTTTTTTGAGAGGAATTGTTATTTGAATGAATGCGTTGGTGAATTGTTACGCTACTTGAATGAATGCGGGACAAGCATCATGATAAAATTAGTTAAATTTTTAATCAAATGAAGAAGGCAAAAGAAACCCTGGGTTAATATCGAATAGATATTAATATCTATCAAATACACATCAACATTTCAGTCCAATCATCGCTCTCTGTTCCTGAGTGGATTTCTAAAAGCAATCAGTATTATTTGCTCCACCAGTAAATAAGAAATTTGTTTCTTTACGCTTGACTAATTTCTCTGATTTTAATAATTCATTTTCAATTTCAGAGAAAAACTCTTCATCGTTTTCATCAATAGTGGATTTCATTAAACTGATAGCATCGTTATAATCACTTTCTAGCTTTGAAAATGACTCTATATCATTCTTAATTTTAGAATATTCTTTTAAAATTCTTGTCCCTCTTGGCTGTTTTGCCATAGATTACCATCCACAGTTTGAGACTACAACTTTTCGAGGCGCAATTTTGACACCTCCTGACAACAGAAATAATCAGGAGGTGTCAAAAAAATTTTAGCTAAGTTCTGAAAATACTCAAGGATTTTTAGATAAATTTTCATTATGCTTTAATATATTTATTATTAGTATTTATTATTAGCGGCAATAACAGTACACAAAATAGAAATTTAACCATATAATAGTTAAATAATGATAAATAATTGAAGGAAATTTTAAATTATGAAAGGAAGATAGATCCTTCAGAAACCTAGTACCATTTTTAGGACTTGCAGGTTCTGATACTCTAGCTGGAGTGATATCTATGTGGCATGGTAATAGCTCTCATGCTGCAGTATTTGATAACAATAAAGATTTGATAGATTTTTCAAAAGCAAGAGCATTTGGCTTTGAAATGGCTAGCTTACTGAAAGATCCCGTTGCTCTGGGGTTGGTCTTGACTTATTATTTCACAGGATTAGTATATCTCTTGATGGCACTCCATCTATTATCGTCCTTAATGAGGTATGGACATTAATATATAATCCTCTTTTTGCATCTAAGATAAAGGACTGGTTGAAAGTGATGAGAAAATTAAATGCCTTTGTGGTTTTTGCTATTCAGAGCGTTGAAGATGCAAGCAAAAGTACTATTAGTAATATAAATGTACAGCAAACATCAACACAGATTTTTTTGTCAAATCTAAAAGCTACTAGTGTCTACCAAAATGTTTTCATGTTGACTGAACGCGAGTACATACTAATCAAGCACACAGATCCAAGTACTAGATTTTCCCTTGGTCAAACAAGGGATTAATGCTGTGGTGGCGAGAATAGACTTAAAAGGTTTAGATGATATAGTCAACACATTATGGACGTGCAGAGAGTGTCATACTGTTATATTAAAAGAAGTCGGGGAGGATCCAAAAGTATGGTTGGTTTTTTATTTTATCAGAAGTAAAAAATGTTTAAGACTGAGCTGTCATTACGGTATTTTTACTAGATATAGATTTTTCACTCTCATGTGCAGTACTTGCAGACAGAGTAAGTGGCACTGATAAGACGAAATTGTTAGCAGATTTAGTTCTGTTGCTAGCATTATCATGCCTCTAACCCTGACTGTCGGACTTTGAAAACAGTTGCAGCTATTGCAGGAATAGCAATTACCGTGGTTAAAATCCCTTCATATCTAGTTCAAAATTTCAAATATGATTTGTTAGCTACGTCCATAACGTTTCACGGTTCATGTACCATTTGCGAATTTCCTTCTTTTAAATTTTATGAAAACTGCTATCCTCTCTATGATTAGACTGATCGGAAAGCAGAGTTGACGGCGTAAGCGGACGTGAGCAGTTAAGTTAGAAAGTATAAATTCTACCGAAACTTCTTCGAACTAAAATAAAGACAAGCTTTAATCTCATTTACCTGAATAACAAAAAGGAAAGTACAGTTTCGGAAACAAAAATATTACTGTGAACTATGTTAATGTTATTTCTACATGTATTTCTATTAAACGACCATGACCAACGTCTCATTCTTATCGAAATCATCATCATCAATCATTCTTTTGTTTCTTTTTTGTGTCTTTTTGTTTTTATTTATTTATTTATTTTTTTTTTTTTTGCTTGGATCTCATGCAGTTATGGTTACCAATCGATTGGTTTTTGGCAATCGATATTCCTTCTCTTGGAATTTTCTAGAAAACTTTTCACAATAGGTTAAATTATTTGTTCTTTGTTTTCCTTAACACTTTGAAGCATAATCTTTTCGGATTTTTTTTCTGAAAGCTTTTTTCAAAAAACATGTAAAATAGTAATTTCAAGTTGGAGGATAATCGGTACTTGTAATAGTTATTACGGCGAAGTAAAGTTTTGAGAGAAGTATGTAATAGTTAAGTTTCATTATCTGAATCAATTGATATTATACGAAACATTTATAAGATGAAATTTAATGATTCATTGCCTAACTTTCCTCGGTTCACATTTTACGAAACATTCAGTTTTAAATCTAATATTAATACAGATTGAACTTTCTAGTAATAGTGGATTTTTTTGGCTGTTATGTTGCTTTGAATTGCAACTTAATTATTTAGGCGTAATGTTTGGCTGTATCACTTCAACTTTGATGAATTCAGCATCGGGGTGTTCAGCAAGGATTTAATTCAACTGTTTTACTCTTTGACTTTTAAAGTGTTGGATTTTTAATAATAATAATAATAATAATAGTATTTGTCGCTTCATTTATTTATACCTAGAATGTATTGCATTTTTAATTAGTTTATATTGCTTACTTTTTGACTCCTTCGTTTCATCTTCGATTTTAAAGTTTATTCTTAAATTTGGCATTGTTGATTGCATTCTCACTTTCTTTTATTTATTCGTTATTTCTTTCATAATGTAGCGTTGATTCCATTGTATTGTTTTTTAATGCAAAATATGCTGTCACTAAGATGATCCCTTATGATCTTTGGCATGTATCAAATTTATGAACTGATGAACTTGCCTGCAACTGGAGAAGTCATATGGTGGAGACAGTTCTGTTTTGTCTAGAGGTAAATAATTTTGTGCTCATCACTATGCGATTATGGAATGGTTCGACGAACAGATAAATGTAGCAGAATGTAGCAGTACAGCGATGGTAATCGATCGGAACAGATAGTGCTGTAGTGGGTTCATCGTAGCTAGACAGTACTGCCAGGGTGAGTATGCCAGCCAGCCAGTCAGCCAGCCATTGAGTCAGCAACGCACATTGTATTACGTGTCGCGGAGGCTTTATCTACCAGCAAACTATAGAAAATGAAGTCGCCCATGCCAAGACGAACTGATGCTGAAATTTGCATATTTACTAATTTTAGCTTAAATTTAACATCATATAGTACGCATTATTAAGCATTATGAATTGTGGGATGATTCGCTTGATGATTGTGGGATGACTGGTCAGTTACCGAGTTGGCAGGTCAAGAAGATGATTTGGCAAGAAAATAATTCCCAAAGAAATAAATATTTCACAGCTTAGATTTCCCATATCTTTCTGTCGCATTATGAAAATTAATTGAAGGAATTAATTAGATAAAGTTCTGAGCAGGTAATACTTATTTGATTGCTCTTATTTGAAAAAAATACTTACTGAAAGAAAAAAACATGTTAATCACATTGATAGCGGTGAAAAGAATGAAGCGTTCTGAAGGATTTGTAATCAGAATGAGATTTTCAATTTATTTTTTTATTTCTATTCAAAAATTAATCTCGTAAGTGCCAATCTCCCGATTCCTGTTCAACGAAAAAATTTCCACAAATACATCCATCATTCAGAGCATCGTAGATTTTAAATTTCGTTTCTTTCTTTTATTCTCGGATGTTCCAAGCTTTGTGCAAATTTTCCGGATCGTTTCATCACATATATTACTTTTGCGACCTAACGCTTTACGCTGTTGGATATGTTTGCTCTTTGCTTCCTGTAATTTAGACAAGTTCACTTCAAAATTTTTAGGACTCAAGACATGGATCTGTCGAAAGATAGGATATGATGTGCTAAATCGATGAATCCAGCTTTGTTGGAGCTTATTTTAGGCTTCTCCTCACTTTTTGTTGTTTTGGCTCGACAAGACATCTCTTGCTTGTCTGAATGATTAACTTTGAAAAAGCTGCTTTTGTTTCTTTTTCCATTCTGATGTTTTCAGTTATGTTGTAAATCTCATGTGAACGATTTGTAGAGATAAAGAATTTTATCAAAACTGGTCCACAAAGGCCTTTTTTCTTCTAAAAAATTTTTTCTTTTTTTTGTCTCTTTCGGGAAACGGATGGTAGCCAGCTGACAAGAGAAATAGAATTTACTACCACAGCAGAAAGCTCACTGCCTAAGAGAACTTACGATTTCTTCCCTCCGCTCATCATTTCTATTCTCAGCGTGAACATTAAAAATCGCAATACCTATAAGGAGTAAGCAGTTGTCGCAAATTATAATTGTAAGAATGAATTAAAACAGTGAATTTATTTAATTTTGCTACTGAAATATCATTCAGAACTCAATTATTAAAGTTTATTTAATTATTTGTGCTGACCAAATGACCACAATGTATATGACCAGTACCATGCAATGGATAAAAATTAATCAATTAAGTTCAAAATATCTTTTTTTTTTTAACGATCTAATATTTTTTAACATTTTAATATCTAATTAAAATAAATTTTGATCAACCCGGGATTTATTTCACAGTTTAATATACAAACACTTTTAAAAATTATACGATTTTCTTAAAATTTGATATTTATATTTGAAATAAAAATTATTTTTAATTGTTAGAATGAATTGAAAACGTGACAAATTAAAAATTTAATCAGTTTTACTAATCAAATATTGGTTAAAACTTAATTATTAAAGTTTATTTTAATATTTATGCTGGTCAAATGACCACAATGTATGTGACCAGTACCCATGCAATGCATAAAAATTACTCAGTTAAGTTCAAAATATCTACTTTTTTAAATGACTTGACATTTTTTTATATTTATATATATATATTAAAAATTAATTAAAATAAATTTTTGATATTGCTAGAATTTATTATGTAGATTAATATGCAAAATTCTAATAAATTGATGAATTTTCATAAAATTTAAATTTTAAATTTGAAATAAAAATTAATTATAATTGTGAGAATGAATTAAAACCGTCAAGAATTAAAAATTTAATTAGTTTTGCTAATCAAATATCGATTAAAACTCAATTATTAAAGCTTATTTTAATATTTCTGCTGATCAAATGACCACGATGTATGCGACCAGCACCTATGCAATGCACACAAATTAATCAATTATAAGAAAATAAACTTTAATAACTAAGTTCTTTTTTAATATTAGAGAAATGAAATTAATCAAAATTTTTTTTAATATTAGAGAAGTGAAATTAATTAAATTCAAATTAAGAATTAAAATTTTGTAATGAAGTTTTGCGCAAGAATTCATCAGCAAAATTAATAAAACTTTGAATTAGTAATGGTTTTAATTCAATTTAAGAATTAAAATTAAATTTTATTTCAAATTTAAATTTTGAATTTTTTAAAAATTTTAAAATTTGTGATAGTTTTCATACATTAAAAAAGGAAATTGGTTCTAAATTATCAATTTTTATTTTAATTAAGTGCCAAAACTACTAAAAATAGCAATATTTTGAACTTAATTGATTATGTTATATGCATTGCACCAGGGCGGTTCATATATGGTGTGGTCATTTTATAGTTTAAATATTAAAATACGTTTTTGTAATTAAGTTTTGCGCAAAAAATCATCAGCAAAATTAATAAAACTTTCAATTTAAGAATTAAAATTAAATTTTATTTCAAATTTAAATTTTGAATTTTTTAAAAATTTTAAAATTTGTAATAGTTTTCGTACATTTAACAAGGAAATTGGTTGTAAATTATCAATTTTAATTTTATTTAAGTGCCTCTAATTCAACTTTGTGGTTGCCAAATGCCATACTTGCAGCAAAAGGTGGACTATAGCTCAGCTATGTTTATCCAGGTGATACAATTCTTCTGGTATACCTCCAAAAATCTGTTGCAATTCTATAATTAGCATCTTCAGATTTTAGTTTTAACTTACCCATGCTGGCAAAAAAATCGACTATAATACCTGCCACTCAGGTAAAATCCTTTTGTTTCACTTGCGCCAGACTGTCGTGACAACAACAAAGTAAGAGTTGCTATTAACAATGTTTTTTATTAATTATATTCATTTCACTATTAAATAAATTATGCTAATTCTATTATCAGCTAAAAGCTAGACAAATAAAGAACTTTTAAGCTTACTCAAGAACTTATAAGTGCTATAGGCAACAAATCAATTTGCTTTCCTACTACTTTTGAGAATTGCTATTAGTTTAACATTGATTAACTGAAAATTGTTCAATATAACCTATATGGGAGAGGGAGAGAGAGAGAGAGAGAGAGAGAGAGAAGGAGGATTTTCTTTCTCTTTGCTTTCGTTATTAATATATCTTTCATTTCACTATATCTTGTCTTTTCATAACACCAAGACTTACTTCTTCATCTCTAAGTTTCAGAGTGTCCTCAGAAACTATGTCACAACTATGTACATTCTGTGACATACTGGTCCTACTTCGTCACTCATGCCTCATTTTGTCACCATGGCACGTGATAAGTCAGACGTTTGTTTTATATTCGAAGATGCATCGCTTATCTCTTCTGCTACCCTTCCACCCATGATGGCAACAGTTACATCTCTTTTCTCTTTTATGGCATACTCTACCCATCTGTTCCTACAATACTTTCATCTATTTGGTAAGAAGAAGATAAAGAATATGTTTTATTTGAATCACAAAGACTTATAAACTCATCAATAATCTCAAACTCATCATCATCTTCTATTATAGATTCTGTGATCCGATCGTTATTTTTTGAATTTGTACTGCCTGCAGTACTAAATCAATTGTGAGAGAAACTAAAATCCATACATTTAGAACTAAACAATATTACTTATACTATAAATTGATATTGGTGTCAGTAACTATTATTACTATTCTAGTAAATAATAAAATATTTTATTGTCTAATCATAGAAAAATTTTACTTCCATGGAATGAATATTGGGGTTATAACATGGGTGAAAAATGAAAAACCTCTATGCTAAATTTTAGTTAACGTGCATATTGGAGATATTAAAAAAGTTGTTTTTGAGGTATTGCATTTTGTTTTTGTTTTAGCTATAAGGCCAGAGGGTTGTTCCTATAGAATAGCAGTAGTTTCGGTAAAAAAATCTTATCCTGGACATGCGAAAAGAATTCAGAACTCTATGCAATGTTGCATTTTTTTCCATTGATGTACCATTTAAACTGCAATTCACATTCACATAGAGAAGAATTAGCTAAGTCATAACATCTGACTCTAACTTTTTTACCGTCACCACTCTCAATAACATAAACATTTGTAATTTTTCTGTCATCATTATCTAATATTGAAAAATCAGTGATTTTGTTATCTTTATAGAATTTACTATTTAAAAGTTCGCTTAGTTTATAGCCGTATCCTTATCTTGTAGTGTTATTCTTGCGTGAAAGCTACTATCCTCAGAAGCTTGCTTTACCAATATTACAAACTTACCAGCAAGAGAAGCTGCTAGCTCACTTGCCAAATCCAATTTTCTTATATTTTCCTCTTCTAGAAAGGAACGCTGCTCCTCCAGTTTTGCTATGCTTTCCTTGGTTGCTTACACTGCTTTCCTTTGTGGAAAAAGAAAATTACGTGCGTAGCCAGGCTTTACTTTCACAACCCAGATGCTAAGCTCGAGCTTCAGCTATGTAAAGTGAACTGTTGTAATCTCAGGCTAAACCATAGTATAAAAACCACTCTTCCGGTAAAAATATAAATAAGCACTTCACTTTACGTAGAATGTGGATATCATTTGAAATATTTTTTAAGAATAGATAATGTCACAGGTTGGGGTATAGATGTAGAAATCAAAAAACAAAGTTCTCTGTATGTAAGCAAATGCGTTTTAGCATAGGCCGTACAAATCTTTTAAGTACGCTGTCCAGAGTAAGTGGAGTGGTCGAAAGGCGTAATGCAATAGATATCTTGGCGTGTATAAATATTAAAGCACAACATGGCAGCATAAAATTAATGGCTACTGATCTTGATATTTCAATATTTGCTTCACTTGCTGCAGATGTGTCAACAGAAGGAGAAGTAAAAGTTTCAGCACATACTTTACACGATATAGTGAAGAAGTTGCCAGCTGATTTGAATGTCAATTTTGAGGCATATGGCTATCTTTTATATGCTCCATAATGCTTCAGCATATGCTCCAGCATATGGCTATCTTTTATATGCTCCATAATCTATCTCATCATTGACTCTTCTGCTGCATTCTTGCCAACATCAGGCAAAGCACCAGCACCAAGACCCTTAGTTAAATTAATACCTAACTGAATTTTCTTATCACATAATGATTTTTCTAGTGCTTGAGCATCGGTATTTGCTACAACAAAATTCACTCCTTGCAAAATAGACTGGATCATGTTGTTCACAGCTTTCCCACCAGCACCGCCCACTCGCAATAGTTAGTAATTTTTCAGCATTTCTTTCTTCAGCTGTATCACTGAGATTGGACGACCCTGTAATAACCTTGTGGTCATCATAATTAATATTCTATTATGAGCGATTTCTGGATTGTAATCAATCCAAATTGGTATTCCTTCTTCAAATAACTTGTGCATAACACTATGTCTTGAATGTGCTATGATTTATCTAGAATAATTTTAATATCAACGCTACGTTTTTTTGCTTCAACTAGAGAATTAGCCACTTTCTCAAGAGTAAATTTGTATTATTGAACCAAAATGGATTTCTCAGATTGATCTATTGTATTAATTACTTGCTGAGCATAATCTTCTCATGGAGTAAAGTAGACAGTAATTTTTGAATCTAAGAAAGACAACCTCATAATGCACACCATAAATAAATTCAAGTTATATATAGCTGCTGAATTTTGATGCATAGCAACCAAGAAACTTAGTGTGGTTACTGACAAAATTCATTGCAAAATGGCCATTTAACTACTTAAGAAAAAATATGCAATTAAAAAACAAACCTCGCTAGCCCCCTTATCCTGATACTGGAGGTATTAAGTTACCTTCAATCTGTGCAGATTAAAATAATAAAGTGTTATATAGTTAGCATCTTATGTTTAATTTTTTGCACTATATTACCTTATGTCTTCACAATATTTCTAATTTTTTACCTATATAAGTTGAAACTCGCTTATAAAGCGTTTAGGAGTATAATATGCTAATTTGCAGGATTAGAGAATAAATACTATCTACCACAATATATCTTTTGCCTTTTTTTGCCTAGTAAATTTCTAAAACATTTATGACTAAAGGTTAGTTGCAATAAAAAAAAACTAAGTCGCGATTATTAAGTATTTAAAACATAAAAAAACGCTAGTGTTTTTAAATAGATATTAACTAGGGCTTCTTTTGTCTTTTTCTTACTTGGTGGATTTCTTAAATATTTGTAGCTGAAGATTTACTGACAACAACTGCTTGTTAGCTGCCTTTCTCAAGAAAAGAATTTTACAGTTAACATAAAAATACAAAAGAAAATAGTGAATTATGTTACAACCGCTGCGAAACTAATAATTATGAAACTGTAAAAGAATTTATAAGTAATGCTTTGCATTAATTCCTCCTATAGGAGGATAAAAGCTGTAAATGCTGCAAAAAAATCGGTGATTAGAGTGTATTTACGTGAAGGTAGAACTTTGCACCATGATATTAAGGCTAAATTTTGCTCTGGTGAAATAGTTTTAAGAGCAGCTAGAGCTGGAACAGGCATTATTGCTGGGGGATCGATTGGTCGGTTTTTGAGGTGTTGGGCATAAAAGATGTAGTATCTAAATCTACTAGATCGAATAATCCTCATAACGTTATATGTGCAGTATTATATGTACAGGTCTTTGATAATATGTTATCTCCTCGTCAAGTAGCGAACAAAAGGAGTAAAAAGATTGGCGAGGTAGTCGGAAACAGGTAAAGTATGAATAATGTTATAAAGTTAAACTCTATATTTACTGAATTATCGAAGAAAAAAAAGCCTAAATTAATAGTTAGAGGTATTGGTTGTGGTAAAGGTAAAACATCTGGTAGGGGACATAAAGGGCAGAAGGCTACGCTTTGAAGAAGATGTCTCTAACAGTAAAATGGAGAGCCCTTCATCTACACCTGTTCTGAACCCAGGAAGAGAAAAAGGTGGTCGTGCCTCTAAAGCATGTGCAATAAATACTATGATAGCAATAACATCTTTGCTCAAATATTAAGGGGTGAGTTGCAAGAAGGTTTATGAGGATGAGGATGTCTTGGCATTTTACGATAAGTATCCTGATGCACCATTTCACATTTTAGTTGTAACGAAAAGTCAATATATTTCATATGATGATTTTATTTTTAAAGCTTCTGCGGAGGAAATAGTAGGCTTCTTTAAAACTGTAAGAGAGATAACTTATAAATATAACCTAGAAAAAAACAGGATATAGATTAGTTACTAACTGCGGTGAAACGGGGAACAAGTTGTGCCGCACTTTCATATGGATATTTTAGGTGATAAAAGATTAGGAAAGCATGTAAATTTGTAGTGTTGCTTTCTACGAGTTTTATTAAATGAGTGAATATTTAGCTATAGCAATTTTTATCTGCGTGTCAATTATACTATCTCTTGCTTTGGGTGTATTGCCTATGTTTCTTGCAATAAGCAAACCAGATAGTGAAAAACTTTCTACATATGAGTGCGGTTTTAACCCTTTATCAAGAGCAAGAAAAAATTTTGACATTAAGTTTTATTTAGTTTCAATATTATTTATGATATTTGACTTAGAAATTGCTTTTCTTTTTCCTTGCGCTATTTCTTTATCTAAAATAAGCTATTGTGGATTTTGGTCTATGATGATATTTCTTGCAATACTTACTGTAGGTTTTATCCATGAGTGGTGTAAAGGTGCATTAGAATGGGGCTTATGCTCGTTTAGAACTTGCATTGTTAGTAGAGTTTCATGCTTTACTTGGCTCAACAAAATAGACATTCGTTCAACCTCTGCTACTGCACTGGCTATAGTTATTACCATATTAGAGATTATTTTATTTATCTTTTCAATTAAACTTACTTTACACTTCGCAAAGTAATTCATTCGTTTTCCACATCAATTTTATTTTTTTTTTTTTTTTTAGTAAATAATTTTCAATGTTCAATTTGCTCTGACTAAAACTACGATTGTCCGCTGAAGAAGAGAATGCTTGTTTCATAACTTTGTGTTTATATATCAAATAATTGGAGCTTTCCTTAAGCAGCAATAATGCTTCCCTATGTGTACTAGCATCAAGTGTTCCATATGACTCATCTGCAACGCCCTCAACTACTTCATGTAGAAAGATCACCTCCTCTTTCCATTCTTTTATTCTCACACAGAAACACTTGACACTTTTCAAGTATTTGCTTACTTTAGTATAATGAGTTGCAGAGATAGCGCGGCACTTATTTACATTGTGAATATGTTCAATTACCGCCTGAGCAATAGATAAGCCATTATACACTCCTGTTCCTCTACCAATTTCATCAAGTATTACCAAGGAACGGTCTGTTGCTTGGTTGACTATGGTTGCTGTTTCAATCATCTCCACCATGAAGGTGGAATAACCAGCCGTTATATTATCCGTTGCGCCAACCCTGCTGAATATCTTATCATTCACTCCAATATGTGCACTATCTGCTGGCACAAATGAATCCATATGAGCTAAAATTGCGATGAGAGCGTTTTGCCTCAAGAAAGTGCTTTTTTCAGCCATATTAGGGCCAGTAATTAGATGTATACCAGACAAATTGATGCTATTTGCAATGAACTTATCGTTAACTTCAACAACTGGGTGTCTTTCATTGCAAATATTGAATTCCTTCTACTGTTTCTGGTTTTATCGGCTCATTTAGTAAATCAACCTTTGCTAATCAGGTCTCTGTTGTCGCTGGAGAGGGAAGTGAGATGAAGATTGGCTATGACTACGATATAGCATGTAACTTCGGTGATTTAAAATCGCCAGAGTTAATAGGGGAGCGTCCAAAAAACTTAACTGTTGAACAATTTTGTCTACTAGCGAATAATATGTAAATTACTTAATTTGTTGATAAAAATATTAAAAAAGTATTTTCAGTTTGCTATACAATTCAAAGGTACACCATTTCACAATAAAATAGGGAATTTTGCCCAAAGATAGAAATAGGCAAGGGTTTCTGTTTTTTTTCTCTGGTTGCTATTTCTACGCTGTGATTCAATTTGGCAAAAAGATTACATGTATACCTTCCGCAAATGGCAGTTTGGGCTTTTCAAAAAGCCAAAATTCTATATAATTTTAGTTATAAGTTATGGCTTATAGAAGAGGCTACCACAGATCTATTGCATATGCACAATTTTCTAAAAAAATAGTAGTATTGCCTTTGCATAGTATAAAGTATTCCTATGTAAATTCTATGTTATCCATATAATAAAGTTGAAGCTATTGCTAACGCAACGTATTTAAAAATGTTATGAACTTCGTAAGAGAAAAAAATACTCCTTTGATGGAGCAATATTTGAACCTAAAAGCTCAATATCAGGATCATCTGTTATTTTATAGGCTGGGAGATTTTTATGAGTTGTTTTTTGATGATGCTATTAAAGCTGCGAAGTTGCTGAATATAGTACTAACTAAGAGAGGTAATTTGTATGGGCAAGAGGTACCAATGTGTGGAGTTCCAGCGCATAGTAGTGAATCTTACCTTCATAAGTTAATAGATTTAGGATTCAAAGTAGCAATCTGCGATCAGTTAGAAACTGCTGATGAAGCAAAAAGCAGGGGCTATAAATCTATAGTAAAACGTGATGTAGTGCAAATTGTAACTCCAGGAACAATTGTTGAAGATTCGCTATTAGAGGATAAAAACAGCAATTATCTTGCGTCCATAGTTAAACAAAATGGGGAGTATGCTATTGGCTGGCTTGAATTATCAACAGGATGCATGTTTTACACGAGGGTTTTTGTGTTTGCAAACATATCTACCATGTAAAACTAGCCAGTGATGAGCATAGAGTAGGTATTTTTTTGGAACTACATTTAAAAGAGATTTCTCTGTTTTGAACACGTCTTTTTCTTTCACAAGGCCAATTTTATTGCTCACTCTAAAAACATGAGTATCAACTGCCAATGTTGGAATGCCAAGTCCCGAATTTAAAAATACATTAGCACTCTTTCTCCCAACTCCTGGCAAAGACACCAAGTCGTCAAAATTGGGAGACATAGTAATAAGAATAGTAAGAAGAGAGCCGAGTGTTCAGGTTACAGTATGTGATATAAATCAAAACATGCTAAGTAGAGGACGTAATAAAGCCATAAACTCAAATCAGCTTAATTTTAATTGGGTGTGTGCAAACGCAGAAAGTTTGCCATTTGAAGACTCTGAGTTCGACTGTTGCACAATAGCTTTGGTATTCGGATCCTCTCAGAGTCGTCACTAGAGACCGTCTTTCCAGCCCATCATTACGTGCATATTCAAAGCTACCCATAGTAACAGTCTTCTTATTTCTGCTCTTTCATTCACTAAATTTACTAGGTCACTACCCCCTCCCCTTCTCCCCCCCCCCCCAAAACCAGGTGTCCCTCACTGGTGCTATTGATATCTTCTTTATATATGTATTAAATATCTTCTTTATATCGGGCAAACAAATAGTAATGTGTGGATCAAAACAACCAGGTCTAAGCAGTGCATTACGAAACCTTCATAAATTTTAAAATAGTGCGTAACTTTAATTTTAGTACTTAATAATCTCTATATATTGCATTACAGTCAAGAAAAATAAACACTGAATACCTTTTCTACAGTCTTACAATTTAATTTTCTAATAAAATGCTAGATTTTCAGTAGAAAAATCCGGTAAAGGCACAATTTTTTATTGTGCTTTAAGTAAATATACTTTTAATATACTTTAAGTAAAAAAATGCTTTAAGTAAATACGTTATTATTAATCTGTTACGATATTAAACAGATATTTTCTAAAAAAAAAAATGAACAAATACGAAATTTTACAAGTTTCTATAAAAAGTATTACATAGATTGAAGAATACTGAGAATACACTATAAGTACTAGATCAGAGTCAACTAAGCGTAGAAGACAAAGTTGAACAAATGGGTCTTCTAGAAGAAATTAGACATGAGACTATCTCCCACAATATAATAAAAGAATCATTAGCATAAACACGTACTCCTAGTAACAAAAAGAAAGGTGATAGTTGACAGCTAAAGTTAATAGAGAGGATGCATAAAAGCAACAGTGCTATTTCCATTGACCGTAAAATCCTTTGTCCAAAGTTAAAATTGAGTGCCAAAATTTACGGAGGCTATCTTAATCTGAACCCAGTAGCTTAGAAAAACTAAAAGAACTTTTTTCCTTTTTTTTTTGCTGACTTAGTCAAACTCATTCGTGCAGTAGTTTCTATAAAATCGCAGCAAAAGAAATATTTCCTAAGTTAGGCAAATTTTTCAGCGACAATATAGATAGAATAATTGAAAAACAGAAGAAAGACAAGGTTACTAATACACAGAAGATTACTACTCAAAGCAGATTGAACTTGGCTCATTATGCTTGCAGCAAATAGGTTTTACGTCACACCATGCATACTTCTTATCAGCACCTATATCTGATTTCTGTTGTGGTTTAGTCATACTTTTGGTTCGGTGGTCATCAAATTTATCAAAAATGTCTATAAGTAGCTCATTTACAAGGTACAATCATGTGTGAAACTCAACGGAAAGAATGATTGGAACATGCAGGAAATTTACTGAGTTTATTCAACCATACATAAAAGAGAAACTCATTGTAAAGGTCAAAGTTAATGCAAGGATCAACAGTGTTGAGAATCTGCACTTCATTTTCAATAAAGTGAATCTTCCCTCTCCTTTAGAGAAGGCAGATGAATTTAGTCTATTGGTATTTAAATTTATTAAAACTTGTTTTAATAATTACACTGGCCAAATGACCACAATGTATGCAACCACTACCTATGCAATGCATAAAAATTAATCAATTAAGTTAAAAATACCTATTTTTTTTAATGAAATGAATCAATAAGTTAAAAATACCTATTTTTTTAATAAAACGAGATATTTTGAACTTAATTGGATAATTTATAAGCGTTCCATAGTAGTGGTCATTTATGGTGTGGTCATTTGAACAGCAAAAATAATAAAATCAAGTTTAGAAATTGAGTTCTGAATGATATTTTAGAAGCAAAATTAATTAAATTTTTAATTTGCCACTGTTCTAATTCATTCTTACAATTGAAATTAATTTTTATTTCAAATTTAAATATCAAATTTTATGAAAATTCAATAATTTGTCAACTTAATTGATTTATTTGTGTGCATTGCACAGGTACTGGTCACATACAGCATGGTCATTTGATCAACATAAATAATTAAATAAACTTTGAGAATTAAGTTTTGATTAAAATTTCACTTGTGAAAATAGTAAAATTTTTAATTAGTTTACAATTAATGTTAATTTTTAATTAATTTTTAATTTTTAATTTCTAGTTAATTTTTACAATTAATGCTAATTTTTCATTCAAATTTAAAATTGGTTTTTGTGAAAATGCTATAATTTGTAAGATTTTTTGCATAATAAACTGGAAAATAAACCCTACTATTATCAAATTTAATCTTAATTAAATGTTAAAAAATTAAGAAATATCAAATCAAATCATTAAAAAAATAGATATTTTGAACTTAATTAATTTATAAGCGTTGAATAGTATTGATCACATACATCGTGGTCATTTGACATTTTAAATAATAAAAAAATGCTTAGGCTTAGGCTTAGGGTGTACTTAGGCTTAGGGTTAAGCATTATTTCAAATCTAAAAATTGATTTTGGTGAAAATTTTATAATTTCCAAGAGCTTTTGTATATTAAAGGGAGAAGAAATCTCTAGTTCTTTTCAATTTTGATTTTAATTAAAATGTTAAAACTATTTAAAAAATATCAATTCATTAAAAAAAATTAGTTATTTTGAAGTCAATTGATTAAATTTATGCATTGCATGGGTAACGGTCAGTTACGGTGTGGTCAATTGACAACATAAATAAGAAAATATACTTCAATAACTAAACTTTTTTTAATGTTTGAGAAACAAAATTAATAAGATTTTTAATTTGTCGTAGATTTAATTCATTTCTGCAGCTAAAATTAATTTTTGTTTGAAATCTTAAGATAGAATTTTATGAAAGTTTTATGATTTGGAATGAATCAAAACCTTTTTTGTATATTAGACTTTTTTCTATAATTCCTAGTAATATCAAATTTTACATTAATTAAATGTAAAACTGTTAAAATATATATTTCATTAAATTAGTTATTTTGAAGTCAATTGATTAAATTTGTGTTCATTGCACAGGTACTGGTCGCATACATAGTGGTCATTTGACCAGCAGAAATATTAAAAGAAACTTTAATAATTAAGTTTTAATCGATATTTGAATAGCAAAACTAATTAAATTTTTAATTCATTCTCACAATTATAATTAATTTTTATTTCAAATTTAAAATTTAAATTTTATGAAAAAACAATAATTTATTAGAATTTTGCATGTTAAACTATAAAATAAATTCTAATAATACCAAAAATTTATTTCAATTAAATGATAATGTTGAAGTAATAATTAGTTCCATTAATAAATAATACTGAAATTGTTGGAAAATTTAAATGAAAATTTAAATCATTTTTGTATCTAGAAAGCAAGAAATTACGTAAGATTATCCATACTGAAAATTGTTTGATAGTATGACTCATGTGGTATAATCCTAAACACAGTACGGCTCACATAATACAACCGTAAACGCATTTTTCTCGAATAAAACATTCGTTAGTGTAAATATTACACTAACTTAACTCAAACCATTTACTTTATATCCATTATTTTAATCGTAATCAAGAAAAACCACTTAATGTAACATTTACTGCAAATCAGTGTTCAATCTTTTAAATTTTATTTTAACAAAACATGATAAAGTAAAAATATTAGTGCAAATTATTCTCAAAATTACCTCTCTGATTTCATTTTATTTTTAATTCACATTGAAATCACTTCCTCAAGAAATTATTCCTAAAATTACTACTCTTATTTCATTTTCATCCTTTAATTGCTCATCTTTTACAATGATAATTATTTACAATGTTTTTTCATTTCTAATATTTAAGTAATTGAGATATTAGGATGAAAAATGACTATTTATGAATAATCATGGTTATCACACACCACATACGGTTTCATTGAGTAATTTTTGAAATAATTTTATTTTTGTAATAACAAATGAAAACAACAGTAAAAAATTAGTGGTTTCGCATGAATATGTGAGCTTTTTTACAGATTACTTCATATTTTACGAATCAAAAATGAAATTATTTCGTCGTGAAATTTTTCAGCAATTTTGAACCTTAATAATTGCCACACGGGCTATTCATTACTCATACAATAATTCAATGACAGCAAAAACAGTGAAAAAATATTCAACATACACAAAAAAAAAAAAAATGTGGAATGTTCATTTAAAAAGCGGCAAGAGAAAAGAAAAACTAAAAAATTGGACTATCATCATTCAGATCCATATCTGTATCGCTTTGTTCCTGAAAAATGACCTTTAAAGGTTTCTCAGCAAATGTTAAAACTATTATACATTTCTAGCCGAACATATACATTGAAAGATGGTTCAAAAATATAAATAAATAAATGCATATATTTATTCATTTATTTATGTTTGTTTGTAAATTACAATTTTAAAAAATGATGTATCTTTCATAAATACTTCAATTAAGAAATGAACCTCTATAAGTTCCATATCACCGTTCCCATCTTCACCAGTTGCGGAACCCTGTTGTGAATCATCAGCACCAGAATCTGCTACTTCCATTTCCACTTCTTTCAGTTCTTCACCCTTAATCAGGATTTAATTTTGGAAAAAATAATTAAATGTATAGTTAATCGTCCAACTGATTTTTAAGAATTTTCACTTTCAAATTTCTCAATTTTGTAAGGAAATAATGTCTAGAAAATAAACACTATCATTTCAGATAGGAAAAAAGAAGCAAAAAGACACATCTAAATTTCTGCTCTTTAACAGTCCAATTTGAAATGCACTATCACAGTCGACACCAATCATCAATTGATGAACTGTTCTAATAAACTGCTCTGATGTTGCTCTCAGCTGAGGTAACAACTTCAGTAGTGATATGCATTTGGTACTCTGTAAAAGAATTTAATTGATAAAAAGGTAAGAAATTGCAGAGATATTTTTATTATTTTACAAAAAAAAAAAGATGAACATCCTATAAGGAGAATAATGTTCGAATTCAACTTGTTAAAAACGTGCAACAATTAAATCTATTTACAATTAATTGTATTCAAACAAAACAATTAGTGCTTATCTCATAAGGTTATGAACAACATAAATTTAGTTCAGCAAGCATCACTTAAACAGATAAAAGAAGTGCAGTAAAAAACTAAAATAACCTTTGCATGAGCACTCATATTCTGTAATGAACGATTACCAATCTGTACCGTTTTCAGAATGGCAGTTGCTTCTGCACCATATCTTGCAAATCTTGAAAATGCTGCTTGCTATTCTAACTTATCAGATGTATAATACAATTATGTTAGCTTATCAACTGCATAATATAACTAATTATTTAACAACTCCTATAATATCTATCCACAAAGGCAGTTGTACTATTCAACCGAACTTAAAAAAAATTTTCTTCATTGGATTAAAAAAAAGGGTGATACTGTATATTTTAAAACTGAAAGTTAAAAATCAAAAACAAACCTGGATTCATCAGATAGCAAATACATAAAAGAACTCTTGACAACAAAACTCTGCAAAAATGACCGTCCTTCACGTGCAGCAGTTAACAATACACTAGCATTCCGCAACTCCTAAATAAATGATAAAAAATAAAACAGAATTCTCTTGCTTAATTAATAAGAAATATTTCAGGAAAAAGTGAAAAATACACTAAGTTAACTCTACACAAACTCATAACTAAAACATATGGTATAACAAAAAAACTAGCATAAAACTTATTTACGCCCCATGTATTTAATTTGATTTTCATTGAATTAAAAAGAAAATCATCATGAAAAAATATCATGAAGATATTTATGCAATATGACTCAGCTTTCGTTTAGCTTTAGATTTTTAAAGATATATATAAAAAAATACCTTGACACGAATTAGTAGAGTTAATAAACAGAAACTACTAGTGGCAACCTTCCAAAATGCAAGGCATTCATCATGCTGTAATTTGCCCCTCTCAATCGCTTGCAATGACAAAACATTTTTGATAGTTTCATTCAGTGAACAGAACAAAACTTTATAAACGGAAGCAAAAGTAGTTCTGAAATAAAATAAACAGATATTACTCGTTATCAACTATTTAATCAATACTTAGAAGATTCAGCTGATGATGGATAGACTTATACTGATTAATATTTCATGAAGACATACTTGCTAAAACACATAAAAAGAGATCTTTCATCATCATTCAAATCCTTGTCGTGACATGATTCTAATGATGAAATTTTACTTCGTCGCCGCTCATCTTCTGGAACTAACTCAGATACTTTATTTGCTAACAGCCACTGAATCGCAGAAAGTCGCTCAGTTTGTTCCCGAAATGAAAGATATAATCTATAACACATTCATTTTTGATTCTAAAAAAGTTTCTTAGCATCATCTAAGTAAGCCAAATGCATGTTAATGCAGCATATGGATAACTAATTTCACTCATATTTACGCCTGGTCGTTCGATTCATCATATTAATTGCATAAACCGAAGCTAACATTTGCCAGTAAAAAAAAAAAAAAAAAAAAAAAAAAAAAAAAAAAAAGAATAAAAATTTTGACAACCTCAAAATATTTGCAACCGCTTGATTAAATATTGCACCTTTCACCGGTCTTTCCTCTACATCAGACCATTCTCTTTTTAAATACGCAAGTGCTGATTTTGCTGAAAACAACCATCCATACATAACTTTTGTTTATACCCCTTATTCTTTCTTTATAATTAAGATCAATTCTTATCTAAGTTTTTAAAAAATGGTCATACTCTAATACTTGAAAGCTGAAATCTGCTATTCTGAGAACATTCAATTTCCGAACACTTACCAACTTTGGATTTCTGTCGTTCATCAATGAAATCACAGGAAAGTAACTGAAGTAGAGAAACAGCACAGTCCAGTGTAGGAACAATCTCAGAAAAACTTATAAAATAGTTGGAAACAACATCCTAGAAAGAAAAAAGCCATAGATATAGTTTTAAAAAAATAGAATTTTCTATTCATTACACACAAAAAAAAAAGAATAGAATTCGTTTAATTCTTGATGAATTTAATTACGCTGATTGAAAAGGTGTCGTAGTTTATTTCAAGAAACTAAATTATGGATGAAACCTCTGCATCATCTACTCCTTGTGTATCTTCAACGACAGCAGCATCAATCATCGCTCTTTCCAACTTCTCCATAAGTGATTTTCGACGTTCCATTTTTAAATAATGAGATCTTTCTTCCCCTTCTGAACCATCTTTGGATGTTTTCATAAAATCCACACTGAAAGTAATCATTAACCAATTTCAGCTAATGATTCAAATATCTTAAATAGTATATTTACTCTGAGAACTATTTAATGCATCAAAATGGTACAATTAGTTAATATGATGAATAGGAAGATAAACATTTGGCTTTACAAATTTACCTTATCCAATTTTACAAAATAGTAAGCCAATAATTTGTGCAAAAAAAAAAAAAAAATCTTACGATGAAAATATATTATAAAAAAGGACTAGTGATGAATGCATGAGAGCGCTCATGTCAATGTAATAGGTGCGTTTGGTAGCATCGAAGACGAAGGATGTATTCATGATGTTTTTAAAATAGTCCACTGCACCGTTTAAAATAGCAAATAAGGTTGGAATAACGGATTGAATTAAATGCCAAATAATCTTTGGATTGTAATTCTCCAAAAACTTTTTTGTAGCAGTTTTTCGGGCTACCTAAACAATGCAGAACAGAATTCTGTGTTAAAATTTACTTGAATTTAAAGCAAACTGATAAAAATTTGAAATAATGCAATAGGAAAAACTTTGGATAGTTTTGGATATCAGATAAGGAAGAAATTAGCATGCTGATATTCCCAACAGATAGTTAGACATTAGCTAAATTAAACTATCAAAATAAAAATGAATTTTGTGCAGTTCATACCGTGTTAGGAAAACCTGTAGATAACGGCAACCACTAGTGGTTTGGTTACTAATAACCTATTAAAACAAAAATTTCGTTGTAATTGATACCACTAATATAACTCAACAAAAACTAATGTAATGGCAAAAGGTAGTAGGAATAAATAATTAGTAATATACTTTAAAATTAACGGATAATTAAGCAAGTTAAAGAAGAATTTAAAAAAACAATTTGGTAAAAGGTTTAACCTATCAGTTATCTCATTAATTGCACATAAATAAATACGTCAATATTTATGTGAGCGTTATTACTGAAAATGTGTTATTATCCAAAACCTACCAATAAGAGTGGTATTTTCTTGCTTTTTTTGGGTAAAATTTCTTCCAATAATCTGCCTAAAGTTTCTAGTAAAAACGTTGTTTGTTTCCTCTTCTTTGGCAACAACTAAAACACAACATTATTTTATAAATAAGCACAAATCTCAGCAGTTTTCCCTTCGCAACTGAACTAAATACATTTATTTTTCAAATTTCATATCTGAAAGATATCATAGTTATTTAACATCTAAGTCATAACATGAATAGTGTTGTTAAAAATTTGGGCTGAAAATAAGGTAGATTTCAATGTGACAGTATAGGGAACATATTTTTCTTCCACTTTAAAATTTCTTGGATCAGGAAGTAGTTACTGTAACACAGAGTTCAAAAAAAATGAAAAATAAACTTGAGCTTACTTCAATTAAGTGAATGATAGAAGCAAAACTAAGTGGCATGAGAAAAGACAACAACTGTGATTCAGCAACCAGCCTTTGTTGACCCATACTTTTAGTTATTCTCCGTTTAAGTTGCTCAATCTCAATAATTTTCCCTTCGTTAATTTTTGTTTGAGTAGTATTTCTTGGTAAATCTCCCTACAATATCAATCAAATTCATTACCAGTTCCCTATGTTCTCATTTTTTTCACACTTTTTTAATCAAAGAATTATCAGTTAATCAGTGTCCATTTATTTAAATATAGAGCAATTATGTCACTTATCCGTTCGATTAATGGGATTTATACTATGATTTTGATAAAATTTCACAAAAGTACTTAACTCTGCACAATTATGATTTCATCTTAATTCAATCAAATGTCAGACCTGTTTCTCAAACGAATATAACGAACGGATTTCCTCAACCTACGTTTTCTTTGTCCATCAGTTCATTTAGCTTGCTTTCTTCGTCATCCATATATTTCGCCCCATTGTCATCTTCATCATCCCTTTTTCCATCATCACTGACTGCATTTTTTCGACTTTTAATAGACGATGGCTTTTTAGGAGTATCGTAAAACACTATTAATTCAATTTGTTCAAAATTCAGCATACATGGCATCTTATACTCTCCGATTTCTAAAATAACTTTTAAACCGAACTGCTGATAATATTATTTGAATAGAATAATGGAATAATAACAAGAAGAAAAAGATTTAAAGAAATGAAGAACTTGTGACATTTTCTTCAATTTCTATAACTGCTATGTTGGAAAAAAATTTCCGGTCAATACTTACAACTGGGAAGTATTTATAGTCAATCATGAAACGTTTTCATTGTACATGCCAATTTGCAACATTATTAGTTCTTATAAAAATTTTATCTATCTCTAATTTTATCTTCAATTTCTTTATCTAAACATATACAAGCAGTCACTTCCTTCGTATAAAAAATTTATTCCAAAACATTCCAATTTAACTAACTTTGAATAGTGTATTTCAGACTCTTCTGACACTCCATCATTAATGCAAATCTTTTGCGTAATATGGCATTGATATATTCCTTATCTTCTAATATCTTGTTATCACTTTTAGCAAATGTATTTAACATCTAAAAATTCACGATATGAAGTACAAAGAGTCGGAAACTGGGCCTCTTTGTGAACATACAGTTGGAAAAATCACGATTTTTGCTTGCATTTGAATTTTGAGAAATTCAGCTCGAAATCATGCATATTAGTTTAATACTGACACCTGTTTTTAAGCATTATTGCGATTATTGCTAATCGTAGAACAGCTAAGATTTTTTTAAATTGGGATGGACCATTATAAGAGCACTGATGGTTTTATTTCCTATTTACAACTGGTCTATTTACAACTACAGAAATTGGGAGTATTGAGTGTTGCTAGTTTGGATATGATTTTGTATAAGACTTATTGCACAATTATGTCGGCTGAAGATTGAGCATTCATTTACATTCAGATCACCAAATCGAGCGGTTATTTTATGAACTATATAGCGGCTAACTATCAATGATCTAACGGATTAAAAAAAAAAAGAAAAGAAAACTAGCCAAACGGATCCACTGAATGCAGAAAAAAAAAATATCACAATTTGTAATTCTGTTCTGCTTGTCTTTCGTTTCCAGATCAATCTCAATCATTGAAATATTCGCTTCTGTAATATTATTTTTAATTCTGATTTGTGTAATCATATTTTTGAAATTATTATATTACTAACTTGTACCTTTGGATCAAACAGTATCTAACAGAGCTTTATTCAGATCAATCTACAATATTTTTGCATTTCTAACCGATAGTCTAACCGATAGTTTTAATAACAGTTGGCATTTTGTATTGAAGTTATGTACTGTTTACCTAATATAAAGCGAAGTTCCACAAGAAAACCATCACTATGTTGTTTATTGGACCATAAATACTTCAGGCCTGTAAGCGCTGAAAGAAGTTGAAAGTGAGCAACTGGTTCAAAAACTCGACTTTCTGAATCGGGCATTTTCGAGGAATGTTTCACCAATTCGCTTAGACAAAACCACTCTTTATGTAGTGAATTAGTATAGCGTTCATCTTCCAAGCGGCTGAAACAAAAAATCAGTAAATGTCTTAGCTTCGTGAAATTTTATAAACACAAAATTTCGTCCACAAATTGAATATTACGGTTTAGAAGGGTATAGTTCGCACAAATTGATTTTTAGTCCTTAATGCAGCATACATCTGATTCAGATAACTAAAATCTTTTTATTTCCTTTTTGTATGAAAAAATAATATATTGCAGCAGATCAATACAAAAAATGCATATTCTGAAAATAATAATATTAATAACAACTACCATTGCGTAGAATTTCGTTCAAGTTGCTTTAGATAATCTCGCCTGAATTCTAAACATAGTCTTTCAGCCCAGACAACCTGAAGTAAACACAACGAAATGTGTTGACCCGACGGTTACTTCTAATCCAGTGTGATCAATGAAAAAAAATTTCGATGCTATAATTTATAAAAATGTACTTGAAATTAAACAGAATTTAATTCACTTCATATTAAGGTAAATGAGCAATTAATAGAATGAAAAATATTGCTGTAAAATCATGTACGATATAGGCTATTTTGAAGATTAATTTAATCATGAATATAAATATTATTATTAACCAAAACAGTGCTGTGTCCAATTGAGGTACTGGTATTCAGGATCCTTGCAAAATGATGATAGAAACAAGTGCGCAAATAACTATTATGTTTTGTTCGTTCATCCAGCAATGTTAACTTTTGTTTCAGCATGCTTTCACGATCTTCGATGTTTAATCTGTGTAACAGCACTTTCTTTAATTTCAAGTTAATATTGATTAATGGCTTTTACATGAAAAGAAAAACCGAAAGAAAGTCATAAATGCGCATTCCAATAATATCGTTATTTCTATTAAATCTATACAAAACCCATATAGGAAACTAATAGGTCGAAACACAAAGAACTTACGCTGTCCTCCGTATTTAACTAACTATTAGATGATTTTCAGGGAACTTTTTCGACAACAGAATTAATTTTCAAAAAAAAAAAAATTCTATTCATCTCAAATTTTGGAAATATATAGGTATATGAAAGTATATGAAGATACCTCTTATTCATAAGATATTGTTGCAACTGCATTAAGATACCAAGAATTCCCCATACTTTCTCCCTAATCAAAGAAGAAGATATCATCTGCTCAATTTCGAACTCCAATCCCTTGTGCTGCATTAAAAAGCATTTTCATTATTCGTTTCCGAACGTCATTAACGTAACTTTGCATTTCAAATACAAGAATTTCATTTTTTTTTTCTTGAGAATCAGTCGGAAATTGAAGAGCCGTTAAAAAAAAAAAAAAAAAAAAAAAAAAAAAAAAAAAAAAAAAAAAAAAAAACATCTGGAAATGCGGAAGATGTCAATGACTAAAGATAACGACTACATTGACTGATTATCCTAATGATATGTAGTAAGGCCTTATTCTTGGAACACCAAACCTACTTTTTCAGTAATTTGTGACTGTTCGGCAGTTCGTTCCACCAAAAGCAATATATTAAAAAATCGACATACATTATCGAAAGAAAAATTAATTAGACATGGTATTTTTTTCTGAAAGGAAAAACTTGGAGAAAAAAAAATTAATATTAGAAACATTGTTTCAATTGGATTTATAAATCAACCACGTAATGGTAGCTTTTCCAGAGTGAACGTATGTGCAATCACACCATGGATTATTAATTAGTTGGACGGTCTGAGTTATCATCCATCCCAAAATAATTTTTCTTTTCAAAATTTATGTCAAAACTGGAAAAACTGAATCCTTCAAAAGCTTGAAATTGAAAGCCTACACTAAGGACAAGAGAGAACTTGGCCATTTCTCCAGCATGATTTTCCGCGATATTCTGCAACATTGAAAGCGTTGTGGTGATTTCTTCTTCCGTTCCATTTAAATGTTGAATAATGTGATCGAAAATCTGAAAATTAAGAAAAAAAATCGGAAAAAATTCTATTTATGTGCACTTCTTGCTTTTTCATCAAAAAATATCCAACGTTTTAAATTCCCGACTTTAAAATTAGTAAAATAAGTTCAGATCTCATATCAAAAAGCGATCAAAATACACTATACCCTTGATTGCTCCGACGGAAGTTTTAAAAACAGTGTTTTATATCCATGAGCTCCAAATTGCATATAAACTGTCATCGGAGACCACATCAAATTTTCAAAAAAATTACAGACTGATTGAAAAAAATGCATGATAAACTGAAATTCTTAAATTTTAAATACTGAAATCCATGAACTCAAATGCTAAAAAAAATTGTTCGCGTAAGAAATACCAAATATGAATTGTCAAAAGACAAATGATTCACTCAGAGTTACAGATGATTTAAATTGCATTTAATTCCGTGTACAGTCCATGTTTTCACCGAGCAAAATATTGAAAAAAAAAAAAAAAAAAAAAAAAAAAAAAAAAAAAGGCTATTAAAGTCATTTAAACTACAGAAGAGGTACCTCCGTGTATTCAAAAGCTAATATAACAAGTTGTTCCAACTGAAAATGTTGATTGCATAAAATTTGTTGTTTGAAGATATTATGGATTGTATGGCTCCAATTACTCACATCCATCAAAGCAAAATAAAATAAAACATCAAAAAGAACCGGCACCTAAAATGACATTAAAAAATTAATAAATGTTAACTCAGAGATTATAAAAGTTATGAACGATTATAAAGTTATAATATGACACACAAATAGCTCGAAGCCATTTGCGAAATGCAGAAATCGGTCGAGGTCATTCAATCCGAACTTTTTTTATTTCAGATACGTCTTTTAAAAATGAACCTTTTTTGCAATTGGAACAAGATCTTCCATAGATTCGTCAATATCACCTCTTTCATCTTTCTCATCATTTTGCTCTTGTTTTTCGATGGTTAACATAACCACTGTGTCCTTCCAATAACGTCCATCACTGCTCTTCATCTTCTTTAAAATTATTTCGAAGATTTCGGTTAGTACTTGGCCAACCGTTTTCTTACTGAAATCTGAAGATGTGATTAAAGAAAGAGAAAAAAGTAGAAAATAGGATTAAGAAATAGAAATATAAGACTAAAAATAAAACTCTAGAAAATTCCCAAAGAAAGAAAACTAGAATAAAAAAAAAAAAAAATAAGTAAGCATAGACCAGTAAATAAAGTATGAGCACTCGAAATAGGACTTCTTTAAAATTTTTAGGTTTACAGGTGGCAAAATGTAGTACCCTGTTCCTGTTTCTGTACTTTTTAAATTTTCTATCTGCAGATGTACTCGAAGACTGCAGAGGATGTTTCGGAAGGCAAATTTTTCATTTTTTTGAATACTGTCCAAGCAATATGCTACCAATTCCGGCAAAATTTCCATGTTCAATTTCATTAGGTTTTGCAACATGATTCCACGAATCTACAAACAATGGAATATAGCAGTGCATTTTCTAGAAGCTCTTAGAAGGTTTTAAATTCAAAATAAATTACAAATAATACCGGAGCGAAAAAAAGGAGACAAATATAGAATCTCAAGTGAAATAACAATAAAAAAAATAGCTTGTTAGGCCTGAAAATAAACTGAATTTTAAAATAGAAACTACTCTATTTGTTGTTTGTTCATCAGTACGAAGTAAAAGGAGTGTCTGAAGGATAGTGACTCGGAAGGCTAGTAAATTGTCACTGACTCTCCTCAGGAACATTTGTTGCAAATTATTTGCAGTATCTGCAAAGGAACGACATTTTGAAACAAATAATACAAATGGATTTTAATAAAGGTAAATTATCTATGACAGCACTGTAAACTATGAAGATGGTAACCCAGGACAAAGCATGACCAGATTAAATTATAATTTTAATTCATTCTTACTAATAAAATACTAATAATGGTAATTCAGAAATTTAATAAATGAAATCATCGAGAGAATCGACCTTGCTGAACAATGTGACTAGGTAGAATTTCCGGTAGAACTTGTATCAAAGCATCACGTGGTGCACAACGCCAACTCTCCAAATCACAATCAAAAACTGAATTAAAAATCCGTTCACAGTCATATATACTATCCAAATAACGAAACTGTGCAATACAGGCAAGTGCAAGGCGGTCATTCTCCATGAAATCACCAGTAACGCTAAAATTGAATTAGCTGGAAACAGCAAATATCCTAGAACTTTGTTTTTGCTTTCTTTTGCAGAAAATAAAAGAAAAAACTTTAACAACAAATGAAAATATAAGATGCTACTGAAGTATCGTACAATGAACAGGAACAACTTTAATATTACTTTGGTGTTGCAATATTTTCAAACCAAAGGAAAGAGAGAGAGAGAGAGAAAAAAAAAAAGCAAACGAATTACATGATGCAATATAATAGTTCTACTCATAAAAGAATTCTGCAGTTTTACCTTTTTGCATAAGCCTCAATCCTTCTAAGCATTAAATCGAATGTGACGGCTTGTGATGAATTTGACAGTAACAGGGCTCGCATAAATGTATCCTATAAATGCTTTAAAAATCAAAAAATCCTAACTACTGATAATTAGAGAGAAAGTTAATTATAAACAAAAATTACTAATAATAGTTTGGTTAACGTTTTTCAAACTTTAAACGATCCATATAATGCGTTGCATGAAAGAAATCTTTCAGGGGTCTTATTATGCACAAAAATTTGACTAAAAAGGATTACTGACCACATATCCCTCTTCGGTAGCGGAAGGTGATAAATACATTCTAAGTTTAGATTGTTCAACAATTTCATTCTCGAAAAGATTGAAGAAATTCGTTCTTTTCTATAACATTTTATGAGATAAATGTAAGTAGAAAGTTTTTGATGATAAATATAAGGAAGAAGTATACAAGTATAATGTAAAAAATATATTGATTATAAGATAACTGTCTTACATTGTCTTCTTCGCAATATACATCCAATTTCATTACCAGATCATGAAAACTATTTGCTGTAAAAAATATAATATTCAAATCAATTATCAATTGCAAATCATTATCATAATGATATGTGTGACTACAATTATTAATTATGTTGCTCACAACAATTAAATGTGCGGATGGAATTTACAGGAAAAAAGGAAACCACTCAGTTAATCTAACCTATAAATAATATTTTGTATGTCAGAAGTAAAGGTCACATAAACTTAGCATGACCACGCTAACTTATGCGAGCAACTCTGCTTAGTTAATACTAGTTATGAGAAGAGATGAAACTTACCAGAAGCAAACTTTCAAGAACATTAATTCTAACCTAGATATATTGATATCTCATCACCACCACTTGTGCAGATTTCAATTCCCATTTCTTCTAACAAATTCTCGAACGCAGTACGTGCAGGTATTTTACTAAAATTTAATTTACATACATTCCCATTTTGCGACTGCGTATAACACCGATCAAGAGCTCGACGAAACTCCCTTTCATCGACTATTGGATAATCATTTTCGAATGCATCATCCGCTATGGATGATACTTGAAATGATGCTAAAATATATGCTAATGACATTTCCAAATAAATTCTACCATTAATAAATTAAATTCAGATGGATTAAACCAGAAGTAATCGCTCAAATCAAAGCACCAAATATTTAAATAACTCCTCCAATTTAAATTGTTGAATTTAACTGAAGAAATCTTTGGAACTGAGAAATATATATATAGACAGATAGATCTGCTCCACTCACTGATATAAGCTGTTTATTCCATTTTATTTTATAATTCAAAGATGATCGTTTTAAACAATGATAAACTAACCATTTATAGGAGGTGGAGTAGCAGAAATGGTTTCTGAGCTATCCATCGGCAATTTATTAGAATTTTCTTTGGTTGCTAATACGTTTCGATCTTTTTTTCGTCGAAACATCTTTTTCTATGTTCTTTGAAATATGGAAAATTTAATTGATAAAAAAAAGCACTTCAAACACTTCCATTATAAATGTATTTCATCCTAAATGTCAACTAGCATCTAAAAATATTCAAAAATTTGCTTCCTTTCACAAATGCTTCCCTTTCTTCCTGTTCCTCTTTTTTTTTTTTTAAACTATGAACTATTTAGTGTACAAAATCCAAATGCGCCAAACATAATTTACCTATCAGTGAAGCATTCTTCTACTTTCTAATGTAATCCGAAAACATCTTTGATATTGTTCAAATGTTTAATTTTTCTTTTTTTGAATGTATTTCCCGCTCAGATGTCACGTCATGCAACGCATACTTCCCAGAAATAGATTGCTCACATCAGTCAAAATATTATTTAGACTTCACTGTCATCTCGAAATGTTTCTTATTCTAAATGTAAGCAATTAAGATTATCTTTTGCTAAATTCATTTAATAAAGATGTCATCAATAAATTTGAGATATCAAAGCTTTTATCACAGTTATTAACTAATGCAAATCCATAATGAAATAAATAATCACACAAATTACACAGAATTTACATATTGCATATCAAATCTTTTCATATCACTAACATTACTAGAGAGATATGTTTCAAGTCTGCTTAATATTTTCCATTTGCTTTTGTATTTCATATGCACTTTCCAACTGTATAAAACGAGCCAAGAGTAACGGTAATGGCACCGTTGCTAAGTGAAATAATGAATGTGAATCAATAATCCAATATAATGGAACAAAATCTAAGACCTGAAATTGCCAAATAAATGAAATTGTAGAGAGAAGAACAAAAATAATATTCGACTACTACATTTCTTTGCCCATTTCGGCAATGCAAAAAGAAACACTATAAAAAGAACATCTCAGAACTTTTGCAGAAGTCAAATTTTTCTTCGTTGAATTTTTTGCCATTAGAATTCTATATTATAAATTTAGCTATCTGCAGTGTTATCAATAGATCTGATACAGATAATATTACTTAATGCTTGATAATTCCTAATACTTCTCGAACAAAAAAAAAAAAAAAAAAAAATTTGAAGATTTAAAGAGTATTTTTTTCTACATTAATTACAGGAGGGAAAGGAAAAAAAAAATACTTCATTAATCGGTACATTAAATTCTTTCACAAATTAAATCAAAGGTTAAAACTCTCATACCTCCAACAGGACGGATAACAAGCCCCAGGTGACAACTACAGCTAAATATGATAACGATCGTCTACTTGAACGATCTCTTAGGTTCCATTGTTGCACCAGCCATACATAGTAAATAAAAGATGTAAAGAATGAACATGCAATACACATTTTCATATTGTAACCGTAGTCGAAATATATCTGTAATATATGAAAATTCTGCAATATATGGATTCGCAAACGAAAATTTAAACTACAATTCCCCAGGAAGAACCTTTTATATTCTAAGTGAAATGTAATCATTTGAATAATCGATCGATAATTCTTATATTCTTCTAGGACAATATTTGTAAGAAATGTTTTGAAAAAAGACAATTACTAACCATAAGATTGTATATATGATTTGCATACAGATATAAGAAAGTGATAAATAAGAAGAACCACCTAAATTGAAACAAATTGAGACACTTTTTGGTCTTAAAACAACAGCGAACAATGATGATCATTCAATTCCATCTATTATATTGGTTTCATTTGAATAAACAAATATTAATGGGCAATTGATGACAAAAATAAGTATTCGCTTACAATATCCTTCCTTGGTAACAATTTTGAAGTGACTTAATGGTAAATGAAATGCTAGCAAAAAGGGCAAATACAATGAATGCGCATGCAGTGAAGTAATCCAAATATTCGGTTAACCAAAAGTCCGCCCAATGAAAAATGACTGAACATGTCCTGAAAAAAAATTTTTGATATTACACAGCAGAGCTGATTTAGATATTTAGAAATCGAGATTCATAACGGCAAATAGAACACTAAGATAATACATTTGCCCTCTCTATAAACAGAACCGGTCTTAATTCTTAAATTCTTAAAAAAAAAAAAAATGAACACTGAATCTTTGAGTCTAACCAATCCTCAAATTTTCAATATCTCTCAATTTTCAAACACATACACACACACACTAAAAAAAAAAAAAGAAAAAAACATCTATTTACCACATTACAATTCCAATCATCGAATTAACAATCCAAACGATTTTTAAACGATTTGAATTACGAAGACGTTTAACTGTACGATACATAGATAACGTCGTGAGTAAATTCATTATTGAAAATATAACAGAAGCAAATTCCTGGAAAGAAAACAGTGTATTGTTTTGGTAACTGAAAAAAAAAAAAAGTGTAAAATAAATGAAATGGATGGAAATGAGGAAAAAGAGCAGAAGAAAGAGAGAAAAAGTGAATAATTAAAGATAAAAACAAAAACAAAAAAAAAAAAAAAAAGGACAAAATATTTCCTAATAAATAAACGGTAGAAAACTAACTTGTATTGGAAGAGGTACAATGAATGGAAGCCAAATAGCTAAAAATGGCCATTTACCATAAAACTGTGGCACAGATTGATGTAAGACATCATTAAAATATTCCACAGTTTTCCATTTACAACTATAACGACACCTGCAATTAACACTTTTAAATTAGAAAAACAAAAACAATAGCAATTAAATATTTACTATAATAATATCAGTCAAGGAACAAGAATGTTAGATAATTTCGAAAATTTTAAAAGATAACTCATAATATATTATGCAGTAAATCTTTAATTAAATAATCCATCTATCAAATTAATTTATAATTTATACTTACTTGAAACATTCACCAAATATCCAACCAATCTCATCATATTTTCGTGGACAGTTATATCTTCTTATACACGTTTCTATACATGTCAGAAAGACTTGATGCCTATCACCAGTTGACCCATCCGTTGCTTTTGCTAATAATGTCAATGCAAATAAACCACTTGTTGTTGCTACTACAGCCATATATTACTCTTCATCTGTATGTTTGAAAGTTTCTTTCTTCCTTTTTTTCGTTCGCTTAAAGGATTTTCTTTTTTCACAAAAAATTTCCTAATTTCACGAAACATTCATAATATACGTACAATTTTCTAGCTGATATATTTATATTAGCAAAAATTTGAATAATTTCAAGAACATCTTTCTAATAATGATTTATTATAATGATTAGAAATGACTACTCCTGAGAAATCATAACACATTCATTTGAGTACAACACATATTTTTACTGCATTTTACGCGTTTTCCCATGATGATCTTATTGTATGATGTTTATGGAATACTTTATGACACGAATTAAAGTTTATCGAACAATATTTACTAAGTTACGTGGAAACGAGGAATAAATTCCTGAAGAAATGAAATCCATAAATTTATTCTATTGCTCATTTTTCAAACATAACCAATATAAAATAACGACATCAAAAATAAGGAGAACAAATATTTATTACAACAAATTTCTTTTCTTTCTCCTGTTTTAAACCCTCTTTCATCGCCCTATTTATTTCATTACTATTCTGCTTTATAAAACTTCTACTAAATATTTTACAAAATTGAAAATAAGACTATCTCTACACTATTCCTATTTGTCCAAAAACAAAATTGGAATCTTCACATTAAGTATCTGTTAAAAGCAATCTTATAATAAGCTCGAAATCTTAGAATATACAGCCGAAAATAAATGGGAGAAATATGTTAAGGCAACCAGTACATTCAGGTACATACTAAAATAACTACAATTCAGCATTTAAAATTACTATAAGGATGAACTGTTTTTACTCTACCTAGAATCAGGCCAAAGCTTAATCTTCCAAGCACTTGTCCTCATCGAAAACACACGAGTATGATACTCGCAAAAGAGTTTCAATATAACAAGACAATTTAAAATGAACATGGAAGCATTTTGTTCAAGCGTTCTGGCGTTCACGTTTTTAGAACGTCAGGACTGGCGAAGTACACACCAATCACAATGTCAAATAAGAGATCAACGTCTCATTCCAGTTTACAGCAGTATTCACCTGCTCATAATAATGAACAGTTCCCAAATGGGAAAAAAATATCTGAAAAGAAAAAGTGAAACCCGAGCAGTGTAAATGTCATAAAAACTCCTACAGCATTTGTACCTTCGATTGACGAATCAATATAAGTAGAAAGAAAGCCCGTGAACTAATAAAATTACATCTTGCATTTATAGTAAAAAAAGAAATATTCGATGAACGACAACTTCAACCTAATTTCTATTAGAATATAGACATTAGTTAGATACCTAAGATAAATATTTCGATTAAAAAAAAAAAAAAAATCATTAAATTTCTTTCAAATGAAAGTGATGTTATGAACATGGAAGAATTTTTTCTAAATAAATTTGACCGCAAAACAGTTTGTGCACAACCAAAAAAAAAAAAAGGCATATAATAAATAAAGTACTAGAAAGCGCTATGTACATGTTCTGGATCAGTAATGCCAACAGTCACAAGGTAGAATAGCGATGGTAATGGTACAAGAAGAACTGCAAATAAAGATATAAGTGTTCCACTAGCTGTTATACGATTTAAAGTTAACGTTAAGATGGAGAAGCCAAACAGAGCCATATGAACAATGAGGATAAAGAGATTACGCGGTTTGTATATCATTTCGTAATACAGTTTACATATCGATTTTTCTCGTTTAAGTGCCATATGAAGTGCATTCAAACTCAGGCTACATACCAAAGCTACATAACCAAAGCTGTAGTAGAGCAGACCTGCCTGCAACATATTCATCAAAATATCTAGTTAGAGCATTAATATCGAGCACATATGAATTAAATTCATGAAAACTAAAAGAGTAAGAGTTACTCAATTTAAATATTGCTTGACTATGAATTGTGAAGTAACAAAAACAGGAGATTAAAAATCAGACAGATTTGAAATAGAGAATTCGTTGTTGTAAAAATTAATCCGAAATATCAAAATCAAGTTTAATAAAAAAATTAAATTAAAAATTGAAAACTTACAAAAAGTGCATGAAAGAGGGCTATCACTGGGATGGCAAAAAGTGCAGCATAATATGGGTCACTGGCGATATAGCTATTCTTGAGTACTGTTAAGTAAAGAATTGAGCGAAAAATAATCAAACACATCAAACAGAGTGCCAAATAAATGAAAGGCAAGGAATATCTAAAATGATCAAATTAATATTTTCACTCAAACCTGAAACAATATCAAATACAAAGTCACACAGATAAAACATGTAGGAACCTGCAAATCTCCAGAATTCAAATTAGCGTATTCCGACTGAGAACCGCAATCATCGATTAATGAATTCCAACGCACAAACTCAAAACACGATATTCTATTTTTATTGCATTAAGTAACTACTTTTTCATTTGGATCAGCTGATAGGATAGTTTCAAAACGATCAGCTTTAATCAAAAAGAAAAAAACTTACAGTGGAAAGACTATTTCCTGTGTACATCGCAAAGTATATGTATGATTAACGACAGGATTGTAAAATACCGGATACCAGTCCCGCAATGAATTCTTAATGCAACCATAAAGAATTGGAGTGCCACGTGGTGGCATTACAAGAACAGAGAATAGGGCGGATAGGGTGCATTCCAATAAGCAACATAAATGTTGTAAGAATAGGTGCTGCCGAGTACTGAAACAACATTGAGATTTCGTTTTATTAAGGAAAAAAATCTTTACAGTATTATTTTCTCTTGACTTATTCGGACAAAAAAAACAGAGACAATATATTAAATGCATTAAATCTAAAATAAAATATTCATATAAAATATGTCCACAATTGAATCGACAATACTGAATCTGTTGCAGTATGAAATGTTAAAATTTAAGCTTTGTAATCTTGTAAAACACAAGTAAGTTGCAATAATGAGTCCATAACTAAGCTTATGACAATTAAAAGAAGACGGAATAGAATGGTTATGTTATTAATTCTTTTCTATGTTATTAACAATTTATTTATTTCCGTTTTTGCAGTAACTTTAATCCAAGTTAATACCAACAGATACAAAACTGAGACTGAAGACCATTAAGTTTTGTGTCTGTGGAAATATAAAAAATGCAAGTATATTCATGTATGAAGTAAAAATTGCTTATATTTAGCGTGGTTGAAGACTGATACTCTTCACTATATGATTAGAATGAGAAATAAATACATATCATGTTAAATGCTTTCTCAATGAAGCAGTCTCTGTTAATCATTATTAGAATTGTACATGAAAAAAATGAACATTTTGCTGCTTATTTACTCTTACATCATCAACACTACAAAAATTCTTTCGGTTGCAGTGTAACATTACATATATTTGTTTCTTTTTTTCTTTAATTTGTATTATATACTTTTGTTCTCGTTCAATGAACAAAATTAGGAAATGGACAAGTTACATGATGCTTACCTTTTAGAAAAAGCCATATTTATTATATTTCTTTTTTTTAAGTGTTATTCCTCTAATTTTCATTTCCTCCTTAATTAAACAGTAAGAAGGGAAAGAGTATGTAATAAGTGAGTTGAACAATGCAAAATGGTACAGCTGACCTTTTAGGAGGAGCATACAGTTGCACGAAGAACGAATTCAATAGCAAAGGGACTAGAGCAATAAAAAGAAGATAAAGCCAATCGTAGAGAGGTAAGAGATCATCACATGAAGAGCAAAGAAACTTCTCGACACTTCGATGACCCCAGCTACAAGCCTGTAAGCATTCCATCCAGTATATATAGTTTCACATAAAGATTATAAACCATATAGTGATCCTCCTTTCGACTAATATTATCATTAATGCATTGACTTTAATGTAAAATCATAACATACTTATTGTTCTTATTATTTTGTTTATATCTTACATCTTCTTAATATTTGTACCATATTACTGCTTATCAATTGTAGCTTTCACAGATGAGTAAACATATATTTAAACAAAGTTCGTGGTTAAAAATAGCAAAGATTCATTTTGACAAAATTACAACACAAACGGACCTGACAATTGGAATAAGTGACATTTCCAGATGACGATGTGGTTGCCTGACGACCACAAAAGCCGGGGCAACTATTGACGGTAGCTAGTCGTGACACCCCCGACCCATCATCTACCATTTTATGTCATACCTGAAAATTGCAATAACACATAACCAAACCGATGATTCTCATACTATTTGAAAGAAAATTATACAAAAGAATGCCGAGATAAAATAGTCAAAAAAAAAAAGAAGGGAATTCCCTCTGCTAAAATTCATACACATCAAATAACCAATCATGCATCTACTAAGCATTGAGCTAATTAAAGCTGATTTGTATGAGAACAAATGATTTACAGTTTAGCTAATCTGGTGATACATATATTGTTATTTCGATAAACCTCTGCTACCATGCATTTTACAGCACCACAAACTGAGCCAAATAACACTTCTAACTTGAAATTCCACGCAACTTTCTGACTCCTTCAACAGAACCCTCGTCACACTTTTAGCGGCCCTATGTGAAAACATCACGTCTACACTTCAGCATTGTAGCGAAAATTCAAACGCAAATTTATTGCAAATATTAACCAGCGAATCAAACAATAACAATGTCATTTCACATTCAAAGAGAGTTTTGTAATAATGATAGGCTAATCAGAATATACGATACTTCTATTACATCATTTTAATGAAAGTTATTAAAAGTTATGAGAGTGATTAGGCGGAAGGATTTTTAGCAACAATTCAAATCAGTTAAATCGTGCAAGGTATTTAAAAGTATTCCGAATTAAAGTGCTATCAAGTATGGTATTGAAATGATGAAAAAATAAACAACTATATTTGATTATTCTGAGATTTTTCAAAAATTAGAGTAACGAGATAATAACAGACGAGAGCTTTTAAAAATGACAACTGTTTTCCGTCTTCTCAAGTTGAAGAAAATAAAATAAAATTTGTTATGAAATTATGAAAACGAGTAGAAAACCACAGAAGTCCAGTGAGGAGCAACCTTTTCGAAGTTATAGATACTCGTAGAGGACTTTTGAATCATTGCTTTAATTCTTTATTTCGTTGTCGTCGATGCAGAGAATTTTCTAAAGCTTTATCTGAACTCCTTCTTAAATCATTCCAAGTGAGGAATGTCACATCATCGGCTATTTCTGATCTCTTCAGCTCCTTCAACTCTAAGTTATGCTTTGTAATAGTCCTTTGAAGGATTGTGATATGCAAAACTGAATAATACCAACTTTTTACTCCCTAATTCATATTCTTGAATTGGAATGAATATTGGTAAAGCTACTGTGATTTGATTTTCTCAAGCACATAAAAACTGCTGAATGCGTTGTAGAGAAAACTGGTCCTGAATCTTCATCAGCAATCCAAAGATTTTAACACCAGTTTAAAAGCACTAAACAATTTCTATACATACTTAAATGCCATGAACAAGTGAAATATAAATTAGTTTAAACCTTAGATGGTGCTCTTTCAGTGTACACTTCCGGCTGGACAAATAATCTGTTTGTCTCGCCCACTGAGTCAATGCTGCATAAGTTAGACTATGCGAAGAAACCAAAAAGAGTCTGTATTATCCAATAAAGAGCAATTCCCGTTAGGCACATGAAATATGCAAAGATGATGATCAGTAAGGAAGAAATTATTGGATAATCGTGAAGAAAGACACGTAATAAACCAAAACGAACCCTGAATGAGAGTTTTCCTGATTCCACCTGAAATGGAATTATTGGATATTCGTGAAGAAAGATTCGAATATTCAAAAAATACTTCGAATTCATCATTCTTTTATGCTTTACGATACGTTAAGGAATACCTCAATAAAGCGATTTTGAAGTTGTACATAAAGTAATGCGGTGTTATCTAGATCACTGTCAACCAAATGATTGGTGAATGAGACTTCTAATTTACGATTATCTGACATAGTCAACAATCCAAGAAAATAAGCAGGAAAGAATAGTGTTTGGCATGCCTGAAAGAAATTATAGTCGTTTAGATCCCTATAAAATATCACAAATTATTGTTTCCTTTAATATCTAAAAACTAGGCAGTATTAGATATTCACTTTTTTGAAACCTGTTTCCCTGAAGTTGAAGCTTAAATTTAAAGGAGTTACCGATAACCATGCATGAAATGTGTATATTAGTGCATATAAATGTTAGTAAAGACAAAACTTATTTTTGATGGCTGATTTTTGTCTATTTCTATTAGAAAATATGATTTCTTCGAATCTCAGAAAGATTTTCTGGCAAAAGCAACATATTCATTCAAAAGAAGTACTATTCGTTTCAGATAATTTTTTATTTAAGATTAATGTAACGTAAGTATCAGCTCGTGCTGATAACTGAAAACTGATCCGTAACTTTTACTGGGAATTTTAATTGAATTCTAATTCTAATTATTTATTCAACTTTAACCACATTTAGTTTCAACTATATGAGCAACTATTCAATAACAAGTGACTAAAGGATCAATGAAAAATGAAGAACTGATCCTAAGCTTGCGAATAACACTGATGTTGTAGACTCTGAGTACTTGATTAATGATAATGATAAAATAATTTAAAAGATTTTAATAGTTATGGAAAAAGATAATTTATAAGCTTTATTCAACCAATGACTAACCAAATTCCACCATCCTTGAACTATGCGATATATCAAACTATGATTTCTATTCACAAAACACGACTTCCGAAATGTCCTTTTCATATTTCTTGGGTCATTTGGATCCACCAACTCAACAACGGCTTGAAAAATGCCAACATTTGAGGCGATCGTTGATTCTGATAGAATAATTTCAATGCTAATTTCATAATTTTCTCCCGGTGATAATTTCAGCTTTTCCTGCAAATGATAAATGGGTTATTTCAATTTTGGCTATTACCTTCTCTCCTACTGTTGACATAACGGTCTTTCGACAATTACTTCTTCTGAATTGTGCAAAAGAAAGGCTTACCACCGAGAAATCAACCACAGCAATTGGAAATGAACAAACACCAGCAAGTTGTTCACGACATGTCTCAAAATTGAAATGCAATGGTACTGTATATTCCACTAATGAAGGAAGCAGAAGTTGTCTGAAAATATTTACAATAAGAACTGTTTAGTGTTTCTCATTCTTGCATAAATTCAAATTTACTTAAACTAACTAAACTTGATAACATCAAAGTAACAGCAATATGAAGGATGTAAAAATTAACACCAATAGTAACAAATAATATAAAAAAAGACAAAACAAAAAATATCAAATTCAAACAAAAAGGACAACAAAAAGAAAAAAACAAGAAGAAAACAGAATAGAATGTATTTATATGCTGCAAAATTCTGTAAGTAGTAACCTGAGAAGAAAAGGCGAAATAACAGCTACAACAAAAGCACCAAACAACTGGATTATTGCAGTGATAATGTGATAAATTGTAAACCTATCACGTATCCATGAACTGATCTTTTCCACCACAAGCATTCATCTATTCCTTCAATTACACTCAAATTAAAAAAAAAAATCAGTTAGGCGACCGAACGACTGTATCGGATTGGGACAATCTTGAGAAAACTCCAAGCACAGTGTTAAAACACCTGGATGAATTCAGTGGAAAAATGTGTTATACAGAAAATCATGTTTCTCTGGGATTCTGTCTTTCCCTGACAGCGTACCACACTACCTTTCAGCGATTAAAATTAGTGCCGTGTAGTTCGGTGGAAACCTAATTCTATACAGCATTGAATAATTAATAATAATTAACAACAATTATTGCCGTCATTAATTAGTAATGATCATTAACTGTAATACTGATAATAATAATTAATAATGGTAACAATAACTGATAGCAGTAATAATTAACAATAATAACAATAATAGTAATAAATAATAATTAATAATAATAATCAATGATAATAACAATAATAATAATAATAATAATAATAATAAGATAACAATAAATAAATATATAATAATAAATAAATAATAATAATAGTAATAAAAATTAATAATTGATAAACGTACTGCCATGTGCACTAACGTAAATTTTCGCTTAAACTGAACACTGAGAAAGGAGGAAGTAATAAGCATTATCAATTAGCATTGTAAGATAAGGCGCTCTCTGCATGGCTTATTATGTGTCGAGGAGCAAAAGAGCTGAAGCAAACGAAAAGAGTGATCGAGTAGATTTTATATCTGTGAATCAATTTAGTAATGAAAGTTTTTCCAATTGATACTTACAAAAATATAGCATAGATAGAACGAAAAATATGTAATGAATCTTAAGCTCTAATGAAGGTAAAAATAAAACTTTAGAGAGCCACAAATGTTGTCGTGAAACCTCAAACTTGGGTAATTAAACCTTTATTTAACATGAAGCAAATAATAGCGCTTTATACATATCGTACGGATGCTACACCGATTAACAAACGCGTAACGAAAGATATAATTATAAAACATTAAAATGATATCAAAACCACCCCAAAATGCAGAATGAACCACCGTATGGAGGACGATGGTTTATATGCAGAACTGAGCTGACCAGATATCCGGCAGAGGATATTTAACTGATGTGAAACAAAGACTGCTAATAAAGGGTTTTGCTAACAAAGGGTTTGCTAACGAAGGGTTTTTGTTGTGTGAGGAAAAGGAATAGATAAGAGGAATTTGTTAGTTTTGGATATAATAATTTAAATATTTCGTCTTTCACGACAAATGTTGTAAATTTTTCGAAATGAAAACATTACGGATAAAAATAAATGGAAATGAATCTTTGATTAATTGAATTTCAATTAATTCTTAACACTGTCTTAATTACGAAGATACATGGGGCAGAGAGAGCGAGGGAGAGAGAGAGAGAGGGAGAGGGAAAGGGAAAGAGAGAGAGAGGGTACATCCCTGAAATAACTCCTTGCAATCAGTTCTACTCGATCTTTTGTCTAAACTGGGAACATTATGCAAATGTTACATTTCATGGATTTAATGAAAGATGAAAATTATGGTAGATCATTGTTTTAGCAATAAGCTACACATTTATTATGAAATAAACTTTTAAATAATGCAATAATACATTTAATTAATTGTAAAGAAAGAGAGAGGGAGGGGAAAAGAGTGAAAGAGAGAGAGAGAGAGAGAGAAGGTAAGAGAGGGAGAAAAAAAATTTCTTTTTATAAAAAGAAATATAATTGATTGATACTTATTTCATCTATTCATTTTTATTGATTTATATAAGAAAATTTGCATATTATGAAAAAGAGCAATCAAATTGTTATTGTGAGAAAAATTTTTTGCTATTTAAATTGTAAAAATTATTTTTTGATAGTAGTTTGTTATTTGATTATTTGCTCCTAAAGTTTATTCTTTTGCTATTATTAATCATCGTACAAGCGGACATAAATTTAATCGTTAATTAAAAAAGAAAAAAAAAAGGCGAAGAATAATTAAAAGAAAAAAATTAATAAGAAATGGTAGAATTTGATGGTGCACACTCACTGTCATCTTCCGCATCACAAACATTTGAAGATCAAAATCGTTTACCGCAAATTGATGATATTGTTAAATCATCAAATCGTACCTATCATTTGATTGCTATTTTAGGTGAGGGTGGATATGGGAAGGTATTTCATGCAGTACAAAATGGCAAGTGAGTCATTAAAGGTTAAAATTAGAAATATAAATTTTTTTCTTTTCGACTTTTAAAAATTTTTTCATTACAATTAATCAAATATTTATAATGTCTCTAATATTTAATATTGATATAATTTGATCATTTGAAATTTAGTTTAAATTGTTTCAAATTAAAATTATGTTACTATTAATTATTTATTAATTTATTATCATTATTATTGTCATTAATTATTGAATTTCAAATATGATAAAATTCTTATTTATATTTAAATTTTACATAAATATTAAATATCCAACATATACATATTGACATTTAATTTATTCTTATCAAAGATTTATTTATTTATTATTATTATTATAATAAATGAATGAATGGAAAAGAAGATAAAATCTTACAATGATTTATAAATTATTTAATTACATTCAATTTTTAGAAGTTATGCATTAAAAGCAGAGAAATATAAAAGTTCAATGCTTCATATTGAAATTGCTGTGCTAAAAACAGCACTGAAACGAGGAGCTGAGCATATTTGTGAATTGCATGATTATGTAAGGTTTTTTGTTTTTAAATTTAAATTTTAAACTATAAGTAGCAAAATTAATTAATTAATTTTAGCAATTGAATCTTATTGTTTATAGTTATATTAAATGAATGAAACAAAATTTTAAGAGTTTAAGTGATTATAATTTTATCATAAAAGAGAGAAATGATTAAAAAAAATTATCATTTTTTTTTTTTGTCATTTATGTATTATTAATAAATTTAATGAGTGGAAGATATTTTTGAAAAGAATAATTTTCTATGCTCTCCTCTCTCTTTCTCCCTCTCTCTCTCTCTCTCTCTCTCTTCTAAGATATATTGTTTAATTATTGAAATAGAGTAGAAATTATAATAGTTTTTGATAAAAATGCTGTAAAAATTACGAATTCTAATAATAATTAATATTTTTCAATTTTTTCTTTTCTGTTTTAGGGTGCAGTGAAACCAGACTTTGTATTTATGGTAGTAACACTTCTGGGTAAAGACTTATACAAATTACGTAACGAGCAACCTGATCGACATTTCTCGATCAGTTCTGCAGTTCGTGTTGGTATACATACCTGTAAAGCTATTGAAGAATTGCACAGGTAAGCTAGTAGATACATAATAATTGTTAAAAAAACCGTTTGTGCTAGTTTTTGTTTTTCAAAATAATTTTTGAAAATGATTTTAATTTATTAGTCATAATTAGCAAAATTTTAATTCTTTGCTTTTTGTTTTTAGATTTCTAAAAATATTTTTCAAGTATGTTTTTTTTAATTTAATAATCTTATTTAATAAAATCTAATTTGTTGTTGTTGTTGTTGTTTTTTTTGTAATCAACAAATATTCGTTGTGTATTTTGAAATATTTTATCTTTTTGTTTTTAATTTAAATTTTTGTAAATTTTTTAATTTAAGCTAAGTTCCAAATTTACAATTTTAGCAAATAAACAAAAAAAATTATTACTTTAAGGATTATATATATATTTTTTATTTTCATACACACAAATTACTTTTATTTTTTCAGTTGTGCATTTCTTTCACGTGATATCAAACCAGGAAATTATGCAGTTGGATTGGAAATTAATAAACAACATAAAAGATTTTTCTTATTTGATTTTGGTCTTGCAAGACGATACCTTGATAAAGTAAGGTTTAATTTTACTTAAATACATTATTAAATTAATTGGATTAAATATATTGTTAAGATTAATTCATATTTCAAATTTTTCATTGGTTGCGAATGATTGCAAATGAATTTTAAAATGATAAAATACAATGAAAACTTTCTAATCATAAAATGAAAAAATTTTTTCTTTTTTTTTTTTTTCCTCGAGATTTACTATATTTTTTTTGCGGTTTTTTTTTTTTTTTGGAGTAATATTCCATATTACTTTTATAATTCTTATTTTTTCGTTCTCATAATTTTTAGCTCTCATAATTCCTACTTTTTCTTTTTTAATTATTTATTTTTATAACAATGATAAGAAAAACGAAAGAGAATTAAATAAATTTTTTGATTAACAAGATAATTGTTTTGGTTGTAGAATGGTAAGCATCAAAAATCGAGAGGTGAAATTGGTTGGCGTGGTACCACTCGATATGGTTCACTGAAAGCTCATCAAAAGCAAGATCTGGGAAGACGAGATGATCTTGAATCGTGGTTTTATTGTTTGGTAGAAATTACCTGTGGTATGTTACCATGGCGACATGTTGCTGGTATAACTTTTATTTATTTATTTTTTTTTTTTTGTTAATTTTTGATCCTAGAAAATTTGCTTAATTATATTTGCCTATTATTAATTACCACATTTTTAAGCCTAATAACTGTTAATTATTAATTACTATATTTTTGAGTCTAGACCATATAAATTTTGCTTATTAATTATTACATTTTTTTGAGACTAGATAATATAACATTTACTTGTTAATTAGTATTAATTACTACATTTTTGATCCTAGAAAATTTGCATAATTATATTTGCTTACTATACAGATTAAGATAGATCAAACATCAATTCTCAGATTTCAAAATTTTTGCTTAAATTGAATAATAAGAATTATGAGATTGAGAAATTGTGCGAACTATGAAAAAGATTTAAATTTTTACAAACTTATAAAATATCTCACTAATTCGATATATTAAAAAGATAAAGTAAGGTTGTAATGATTTTTTTTTTTTTAAATAATAAATAAAAAAACAATGAAATGAGATTGTACAAGTTAACGTATATGAATCATATTTTTATAGAATATAAATATATTTTTTTTCCAAAAAATTATATTGTATTTTAGGAAAAACTGAAGAAAAAAAGATTTTTTGCAAAAAAAAAATTGCAAACAAAGAAATTATAATTGTTATCATTTTCACTATGCTTTTTCGAAGTTTAAATGGAAGATTCTGAAAAAGTTTTAAGTGAAAAAAATTTTATTCAAAAAGAAATCAAAAAAAATTACTGTTTGAGAAATAATTCACAGAAGAATGTCAATTTTATACACAAAAGAAAGAAAGAAAAAAATAACTAAAATTAAAACTTATATGATGAAATAAGTAAGTAAGGATATCTTAAGTATAAGTAAGTAACGAATATCTTAGGAGTAAGATAAGTAAGTAAGGAGTAACTTAAGAGTAAGGATATCTTAAGTAAGAATATCTATCCAATGTTGTTGTTGTTTTTTTTGTTAAATTAGAAGTTAATTGAGAAAGCGAAAGATAAATCGTAGAAGAAGGAGGGAGAGAAAGAGAAAGAGAGAGAGAGAGAAAAAGAGAAAAAAATTGCCATTTTATTAAAGATAATTTAAAATTTTATTGTTTTAGATCGTGATATTGCATATCAAGGTAAGATGAAGGCGCGAAAGGAAGGACGAAAAGAATTTCTAATGAACTGTCCAAAGCAATATGACTTTATTATGGCGCTTATTGATCGTTTGAATTTTGCAGATCAGCCGAATTACAATGATATATACAAGCTTCTAGATCAGGTTTACTTTCAAGTAATTAATTACTTTACTGCTAATTACGACATTTCTTTAGCTCAATATGAAGACATTTTCTGGAAGAACTAAAAGACAGTCATTTCGAGATGATATTAAAGAGTACTGTCCTCTGATACCTGTCGCTAACGCTGTTATTGTTTGATTGACTTTTACTGTACAAAGTAAAGAGAGTAAGAGTAATTTTGCAATCAATAATTTAAGTGAAATTAAATTCTGAAGCTTATGCTCAGATGATACAGATACGGGAAGAACACAGTGTGCTGATGGATGAGCAGTACGACTGGGAAGAAGATGAGACGACAAGTCCGCAACAGTTGAATGGTGCGCAAGTGACAGAGTAAAGCGTAAAAGAAAAGTGTTCAAACAAATATTAAATTGTAAAAAATTGAACTTTTATGAGTGTTTCAGAGTTCTGATGAATGGTTAATATGAATAATAATGTGCTTTTGTTATTTTAAAACTGAACGATATTTCTTACAACTTTTTGCGGTTGTTATTTCTTACGTACGTTTAATAGACTTAAACGTGTGATTATTACGCATCATTGCAACACTAATTTTATTTATTATCGATTAAGTACAGTTGACAAGTATTACTGTCACAATGCATATTTTAAAAGTAACATTGAATTTTTAGAAAAATAAAAATTCTATCTAATGAATTGATCTCTCAGTTATTTACAACACTTTCGTTTACTTTTACTTTTGACATTTTTTTTAGTATAACCTAGCGATTATATTGTAAAATAGTTTTATAATAAAAATATCATTCATTACTTTTAGATTTTTGAATGAATTTCTCTTATTCTTCTTTAATATTTGAAAAAAATTTTTTAAAAATTAGCTAATTTTTCTAAAAAAAAAAAAGCACTGTTTATTGCTTTATGTTTGAATATGAATTATTTGATCAGTTGAATAATTTCAAATTGCAATTTGAGGATATTTTGTTTGAAATACATTAATAGAATGATTAGAATATTTTTGAGCAATGATTAATTATGTTAATATATTCATAAAAGATAAATGTAATTATTTCTAGATGCTTATTTTTGAAAATTAAAATAGTTAAATTTAAAAAATCGAAGACCAAAATGGATATTTATTGAAAAAATATTATTGTATTTTACAGCATTAAATTAACTTTTTCGTCATTTTTTTTAATTCTTTTATATCAGATAGTCCGATAATTTCAATTTTTTGTAATTTCTTATCATTTATAATCATCGAATTGTTTATTTGTTCGTTCCTTTTTTTTCTGACTAATTCTCTTTTCTAATAAATAAAAGAGTGCTAGGAGAATTATTTTTAGGTATATAAAAATGACATTATTTTTCTTTTTTAAATATTCAAAAAAAAAAATTTTTAAAAAAAATTAATATAAAATTTAATTTAATATCCAAAAAATTTAAAGCGAAGGTTAAAAAAAAAACGAAAGTTAAAAAAGTTGAAAGTAAAACAGACAGTTGCAAATCTTTTCCTTTCTTGTTTTTTTTTTTTTAATTTTACATTTTCGTTTTTGACTAAATAATATTTTTTTCAGTTTTTCAATTTTAACTTTTATTTTGATTAAATATTTATGTTTTTTTTTTCAGTCTAAAGTATGCCTAATTAATGCTAAAATTTACAAATTTTAAAAAATAAAAATTTACAAAAAGTTAGTTTAAAAAGTTTAAAAAAAGTCAGAAAAAAATTTTTATGCCATTTTCTTTTTTAAAAAATCTTTCCAAAATAACAAACTAAAATCCTCTTATAGTTCAAAAAAAAAAAATTCTAGAAAAATCATTCAAAATTCCTTGAACACTTTCATGCAAATTTATTTTCTTAAAAGATTTGAATGATATGATAAAAATGATAATAATTAGCTTCAAAAGAGCTAATAGAATGATTGATATTAAATTTTTAGCTATTTGAAAATTCTTTAAAAAAAAAAAAATAAATGATAGCGATAGATATACTGTACTTTTTATAAGTGTTTCAAAATTTTTTCAATTTTTTTTTTTTTCTTTATGACTTTCAACTGATCTTTCCATTTTGAACACAACCAGTAATTGAAATTTCATCATTTATGACACTTATTTTTACTTTTACTTTACATCATTACTTTATTACTTTGATCGTTCATCAAAGTTATTTATTGATTATTTTTTGAGAAAGATAGAGAAAGAGAAAGAGAGGGAGAGGGAGAGAAAAGTATGGAACAGAGAGAGAAAATATATTATTTGATTAAATGAAAATCAAAATTGTAAAGTAAAAAACAAAATGTAATGAAAGATTAAAAGAATTTTTAATACAAACTAATATAACTTTATTGAAGCTCTTATGGAGTGTTTCAATGAATGGAAGTCTTCTGTAATAGATAAATTTTTTGCAATTAACTAATTTTGAATTATATTTCTTTTAATGTTTTCAAATAATTAATTATCTTATCGTTAATTACAAGCAGTTTAAGTTTAACAAACTTAGATGTGATCACGTACCGTTTTTGCAACACTAATTTGCTTATTATTGGCCAAGTATAGTTGACACAATGCATCTTCTAAACGTAACATTGAATTTTTAGAAAGATGAAAATTCTATCTAATGAATCGATCTCTCAGTTAATTACAGCACTTTTGCTTACTTTTACATTTGACATCTTTTTAACATAACTTTGCGATTATATTGTAAAATATTATGATAAATATCAGCTCCCCGCTTTACGTGCTTCACGTCACGTTTCACTTTTACCTCCCATCACGTCACGTTCCACTTTTACTTCCCATCGTGTATTAGACAATTGCCCATCAATGCTATTCATCTTCCTAGTCAATTAATTCATTGCGCAGTTAATTTAAAGAAACTTTTTGAATTTGTTCGATCAGTTAATCACACCCAAATTCTTAAAGGCGGAAATTTCCTATTGTTTCTATTAGCGCTTGCTTTCTCAGTAGTGTGCATCTATCTATCTATCCACATTATGAGAAAGAATTGAAATTGAAATCTGTTCATTTAATTTCCTTAATCTTTTCTTACTGTGTTATCATTTTAATTATGAAATAAAAAAAAAAAAAAGAAAAGAAAAATCTTTAAGCAAAAAAAAAAAAAAGAAAAAAATAATAAATCGCTGAGAATTAATATTTAATAACAAATATCTAACAATTAGCAGTAATTGTACTAAGTGCTCTTTATAATATGAATTGATAAATTATTTTGATGATAGAATGTATTATTTGCCAATATTTCTTTTTTCTTTTTACTCTGTGAAGAAAGAAAGTAAAATCGAACTCTGCGAATTAATTTGCGTTGGTCAAAACGAAAGAGATGTTAGTATCACTTTGGCTAACTTACCTTTTTATTCATTTAGCAACTTTTATGTAATCAATAATATAAACATTAGAAATTCATCTTGTTAATAAACAAATCAGAAAAAAGTTAGCATTTTGTCCTTTTTTGAAGAACAGGTAAAATTACGATAGCTAATACAATGCTAATTATAATACTGTAGCCAGTGCAGTGATAATTATTGCACGGTGGTTAATAACAATGCTAATTAAAATACGATTGCTAATACAATGCTTGTTATTATTACTTTATTTGTATGACTTTCAGAAATGCTAATTGTTCAATTATTAATGCTAATTATTACATTAATCTTAATCATAAGATATGGAAGTGAAATTAGACAAAAGATAAAAGAAAAATGGCGCTTCATCAGATTAGTCAATCAATTACCAGGACCTACTTTATTAGAAATGCTTGGAGAAGTATTACGATTTAAAATGGACAGCGAACGTAAATTTAAATTATAATTAATGCAAATTGTCATTTGTATACTGTAATAAAAAACAATTGATAATTAATAAGTTAGATTTTTGTATATGAACACACTTTATTAATTAGTTTAGTTAGATTAACTTGTTTATTACATCTGAATTATTAATATGAGCTTGACTATATGAACATTAATTAGTCCAAATGTTAATAGTGAATAGAAAATTGGATAAAAAACTTTTGTTTCGTTTAAATATCGTAGCTTATAAATAGTGATTATGAGAATTTGATGAAAAATTCTGATATAATAATACATTAATATAATTGCTAAATATATTATTTGTTCAGAATTTACTTATCAAATGGAAGCTATCTTTCGAAAGTATGCTTATCAGAATGATCACGGAATAGTATGCTTTTGGTTTGGATTAAGACCAATGTTATTTTTGGCTAGATCGACAAGTGCTAAGGTTTTATTATTTTCTTCAATTTTTTAATTTGCAAAATTTCATCTATAAAATTTTTCAAAAATACAGGAATTGATTCTTTAAATATGCAATAAAAGATAATAGTTATTATTATTATTTTTGAATTATTAGTTATAACATTTATATGATTTTTACTTTATTTAACTTCCTTTATTACTTATTCGTTTCAATTCATTCATTGTAGGTAATATTTGAAAATACAAAATTGACCAGTAAATCAGATGATTATGATATTTTTAAGCGATTAGTAGGTGATGGATTGTTATCTGCGTAAGTTTTTTCACAAATCGATCATAAAATTTTTAAAGATAATTTTCAAAATAGCAAAATCAACAAAAATCAAAAAAAAAAAAAAAAAAAAAAAAGAAATGAATACATCATAAACCAAAATAACAAATTTAGCTTCAGATTAAAGATTAAAGGTATATGGATTGAAAAGATAAACATTCATAATGCTAAGAAATAATAATTGAAATGATAATTTGAAATGTGAAACTTATCAAAATTTTATAGATCAGGTGAAACGTGGTTCAAAGCAAGACGAATGCTAACATCGGCATTTCACTTCAATATTTTACGAAAGCATGTGGAAATATTTAATGAACAAACAAAGATTTGTTTTCTTTTTTCTTTTTTTGAAGTGATATTGATGATAAGATTAGTGATAAGGAAATGAGAAGGCGATAAAACATAAATGAAGTGACATATGGATGATAGCATTTGTTTTTTTTTTTTTTTTTTTTAACCTAATAATATGAAAATATTTTACTGCACTAGAAGTTTTTTTTTTTTTTTAAATGAAATTTAAATTTAATTTAAATAAATGATTTTAGAATTTGCTAGAAAAATTAGATAAGTATTGTGATACGAATGAAACTTTTGATTTGTTACCATATTTGAGACGTTATGGAATGGATGTTGTTGCTGGTTTGTTTTTGTTTTTTTATAAACAAAAAAAAAACTTTACTAAAATTATAATTTTAACATTTCGTATTATTTTAACATTAGACAAGAGAATAAATAAATGGTGCATTTGATTGATATGCAGAAATATCTATTTCAATTTAATTTTTAATTAAATTAGCAAAATATTCTTATCATATTAATAATACTTTTATAATTAATAATGTAAATTTAAGAAGCATTTTATCAATTTATCAACTTCATGCTAATATTTTAATATTTAAAATTTAATTTTCATCTTTTTTTTTTCTTTCAAATGTAATTTTTGTGATCTATTTTAGAAACAACAATGGGTATTAGTATTGATGCACAAAACTGTTGTAATAATGATCAGTACTATGAAGCGTTAGAGATGGTTTTTAATTTAATGTGGGCAAGAATTCGATATCCATTGTATTGGTTTGCAGCTATTCGTTGGCTTTCTGGTTATGATCAAAAATTAGAGTATTATTGTAATATATGCAAAAAGTTAACAAGTCAAGTATGGCTAATACTTTAATTAATATTATTTTAAATTTAAAAATTTAATTTTTTTTCAAATAGAACCAAAATGAAGTATTAAATTTATTATACTAACTTTTTTGAATCTAATTTTTTATCCTTTTTTTTGCTGACTAAATTGCTAATTAATTGATTTTGACATATCATATAATATTATTTAAATTTAAAAGTTTAATTTTTCATTTTTTTTTTCACTTTGAAATTTAAAAAATTTTTTCAAGTAGAATCAAGAATGAAGCATTAATTTGATTACATTAACTTTTTTAAATCTGATTTTTCTTCTTTCTTTTGACTAAATATGTTTTTTGTTAAAGAAAAAAAAAAAAAAAAAAAACTAAATATGTTTGTTAAAGAAAAGAAAAAGAAAAAAATATTATTATATGATTTTTGTAGTATTATTAAATTAGTAAAATTACTTTAATCGATAAGACTAAAAGTTAATTTATTCTTCTAGCATTTTGAAAATGTGTGTTTTTAAGCAAATTTTTTGCTCCAAATAAGTGTTAAACTGAAAATTTTTGATAAGCATTTGAATTTGCTCTATTTTAATATTTTTTTATTTTAATTTTTTTTTTTTTTTTTTTTTTTTTTAAGAAAAATTTAATACTTTTTTAGATAATAGCAGCAAAAAAAAAGGAATGGGAAGAATTTAATAATCAGCCATCTATTGAGGAATTATCAGCTAGTGGTAAGAAGCAATTAACATTTCTGGATCTACTCTTCAGTGTTCGTGATAAGTATAACTTAACTGATGAAGATATCCGTGGACAAGTAGATATGTTTATGGTTGCTGGTAACAAATTTTTGATTAATATTTTAATTTAAAATAAAAAATTTTCTAAGGTTAATTAATAAAATTAAATGAAAGAAATGCTGTAATAATTGAATCAAAAATGATATATTTAATGTTATTTTGTTCTTTTTTTTTTTTTGTTTTCTTATTGTTATTATTATACATATTCTGATTGATTATATATTAATCTATCATTTTCATTTATGATATAATTTAGTGTTTGAATTAAAATTTTAAATCTATTATTAGGAAGTGATTCAGTATCAGCACAAATTGGTTTTAATCTATTTGCATTAGGACATCGACAACATTATCAGGAAAAAGTTTATCAAGAAATCAAAAATGTTATTGGTGCATTATCATTATCATTCATCACTTTCTTTTTTGTTATTATTTATTCATTTTATTTTTATTATTATTAAAAATTTTTTTGGTTGAAATAATCATAGCGATGTTATCAGTGATCTTATCAATTATTTTTTGTTGATAAGATTGATATTCTATCTTTTTTCCATTGATAAGAATTTATTAAATGAATATTAACTCACAGGTGATACCGGACGTGACATTACAATGGATGATTTCAACGAACTCAAATATCTTTTCCAATGTATATGTGAGACAGGTCGTATCACACCAAATATCATTGTTATAGCCAGGAAAATCGATATCGAAATTGATCTCTGTATGCTTTAAATCACTTTTTTTTCACTTAAATTATAAATTAGTGACTTAAATTGCTTAGCCAATAATTAATTTGCTTAATGTTACAGTAAAACATTATCTTCAGGTGGTTATACGATACCAGCAGGTATTACCTGCTGTATATCACCGTTTGCTATCATGCGAGACCCAAAGGTAAGTATTTGAATGAGACATATGCGGAATGAATGCGGATTCCGTACAATATTATCAAAGCTAAAATGACTACTTCATAAATTATTCCGCAATGATACCGCAATGATTCCTTCATACAACGATGGCGTGATATGTGCACGTGTGAAGACGTGATGTGTAGATGAGATGACGTGATATATGCATGAGATTATTTAAAACTTCCGTGTATACCAAACAGTTGCTATCATTTGATAATAACTGTTTCATTACTTCAGCATTATGATAATCCAGAGGAATACGATCCCGAGCATTTTGCGCCGGATAAAGTGAGAAAACGTGATCCGTTCGCATTTGTACCATTTTCTGCAGGTGTTCGAAACTGTATAGGTAAAATATAATTTAATCAAATTAAATTGAAATTCATTTATTCTATACTTTTTTCATATCAAATATACTGAATATAAAATTTTTGACTAATAAAAGTAACTGTAGCTTTTATTATGTTTGTTTTTTAAAACTATAATTTTTATCTTATATCTGAACAGACTGTTAATCTTTTCTTAGTATCACATATTTTAAAGAAAGCAAAAAAAAAAATCTTTTTTTTGGATCTGTAAATTATTTGTTGATATATAATAAATTGTTTTTAATTCAGGTAGTAAATTTGCTAATTTGGAGTTGGTTGTAACTTTGGCCCATATTTTGCGACGTTATCGAGTTATTTCAATGTTACCGGAAGTGCAAAATCGACCAATACCGGAATTTACACTAAAACCAAGTAAAGGTTTTCCGATTCGCTTAGAAAGACGATGATAATTATTTTTTCCTTTTTTTTTTGCTTTTTACATTTTTGTATTTAACTCATTTGAAATTATTGTAATCTTTTAAATTAATTGATAAAGCATATCTATAAATGATTACCTGTTGTGATGGTATTAATTAAAATAAGCATTGAATTAAATGGTTATTAGTTATCAAAAGATAAAAATAAAAAAAAAAAACTTTTCGAAAAGATTTATTGGCTTAATCAATTGAAGTAATAGTCGCTTTTTCGAGTAAACACTTGTAAGTTAGTATAACAAATGTTAGCTTTCTGACTTTTTCAATTACATTTTTACTTTCCATTGTTGAATTACTTCATAGTATCCATTCATGTCATATTTCATTGCTATTAATTAGATAATTAAATTCATTTTTTTTTTTTTAATGTTAATTCATTTGGGAAAGATATTTGAATTTAACTGATCAATGAACATTTGAATTTATCAGATTATTGCTACATTAAAAGAGAAAAAATGCCGTTAAGTTGCAATTACTCACTCTTTTATAGAATGTTTCATTTAAATTAAAAAAATTTTTTTTTTTATTTTTAATTTTGAGGAAGCGAAGTAATAACTAAAAAGACTAATACACTAAAATACGTAGTAGCTATAAAACTAATACATCAAGTAAATACCAACTATAAGACTAATATGCTAAGTACATGTCAAACGTCAAGTACGTAACAATACGTCAAAATGTACAAATTATAAAACTAATATACGTCATATTCTATAGAATAATTTGAATAAAAGTATTAATTTAATGTGATCTCATTAACGTGTAACAAATATCAGTTGAAATGAAAAGGTAAGAATAGAAATTTAGAAAATTTATAGCGTATGCATATTTTCTTCTTTTTTTTTTTAACAAAAGGCTCAATAGTATGTGTAAATAATATATTATTTAAAAATAGAGAATATTAAATTAACAAATTATGTTGTAGAAAAATGGTAATAAACTATAAGAAAATGATAAAAATAAACATACATTTAATTAAGAATATATTTATATAAATATATTTAATAATTAATAAACATTTAGCTAAGAAAATTAGTCATTTTCATCTTTGTTTCATTCTTATATTTTATAAAAAATTTGATTCAAAAAAAAAAAAATTTCTTTTTCGTTTTTTTTTTTTTTTTTTTTTTTTTTTTTTTTTTTTAAATGCTAAACTATTTATGTTATTTTTTGAGATAAAAATTTATTTATCGAAAAATACAAGAAAATATTACAAATGATATTTATGATACAAATAAAATGAAATAATTGCATTAGATAATAAATTTTATATGATTTAAATACAAAAATAAAATAGTATGTTTATATACACATATATTATATATACATATGAATTAATAATAAAATAAAAAAATGCTTTAAAAATTAAAAAAGAAAAATTATTGACAGCAATAAGCAAATATTTCTTGTTGAAAACAATTACTATTTTCTGGACAGAATTGATCACTGCAACTCTTTCCAAGTAATGTTATATTAAAACTATCATCAGTACTTGTAAATTTCACCAAATTTCCATTTGTACACGATGGATTGAAATTTTTTGCAAACATTTCTGCAATAAATTTTTATTTTTCATTATTAATACTTAATATTGTTCAAGAACAAAAATTTTTATACAAAAAAAAAAAAACTTAATAATATTTCTAATCTTTTCTTTTTTAAATTATAATAATATTATTTTAAAAAAGAAAATAAATTTGTTATTTCACTTTAATTACCTTCAGTTTTTTTTGGACAACAAATTCCAAAGAATGCCAGATGTCTGCAAATGTATTTCTCAGGACATTGATCGGAACTTGGCCCAGAACAGATCACCGTACTACTCTCATTATCCTCATAAGCTTTTCCTTTCATTGCGCACCATCCATAATCTTCTGAAATTGTCAGTTGTTGTTGCTTCGATTTGCATAAAGTTGCACTGATAAGCCTAGCAAGCCAAATATCGCATCGTCCAATTAATCTAAAGAAATTACTTAAATATCAATAAAATGATCAACTTTTTTTATTGCTTATGTAAGTAATTTCTAATATATACATTATATCATTTATTAATTATTTTAATTTAATTCGAAAAAAAAAAATTTCTTTTTTTTTAAGAAGAAATCAAAAATTTTACTAAAAAAAAAAAAAAAAAAAAACACTTACGTGGAATACAATTTATTCTACACGTTTCAATATTTGAAAAACGATTTTCATTGCCACCACAACCTTCGTATAAAAATGGTAAGCACTGTTCTGTTTCATTATCAAAATAGAACTAAAAACTTTTTTTTGTTTCTTTTCTTTTCTCCTTTTATTTTTATTGACATTTAATTACATAACACTAATAGATATAATTTAAAAAATTGAAAAAATAAGTATTATAATTATTTAAAAAACTTTTATTACAAACAAAAATATCATTGTTTACCATAATTTTTGATTCTGTATCATTTTCACAACGATATCCACGATCTTTTATAGCCATACAATCATTTGGAAAGCTAAAAAAAAAATTTCAAAAAAAAAAAAAAGAATTCCAGGAATAATGATTTATGATTCAAATAGATTTTATTATTATTAATTAAATTATCAGTTAGAGAGAATGATAATGTCTATATAATAAAAGCTAAGATTTATTATTAATAAGAAAGAATATTGTCGACCATTGATTTGTTTGATTTAAAAACAATTTGAATTAATTTAAAATTATTCTTTTCAGTTATCGTAATTTTTTGATAATAGAACTAAAACTAACATTCGTTAATAATATCTCACTTTTAACATTATTTCAGTATAAAAATCATATTTATGCATCACAAAAAAAAGTTCTAACAATATATTTTAGGCAACATTCTTTTTCCTTTTTTTTGTAAATAATAAGTAGAAAATTACAATTATATAAATTAATTACCAATTATTGCCAATTATCCAAATTAATATAAACAAAAAGCAAAATTTCATATGTTTATAATCCATAATTTTCAACATTTCTACCATTACGCTACAATATACTTTACTTATTGATCCTGAAAAAAATTTTTGATAAAAAAATAGAAAATTTAATTGATGCAATTAGAAATGAAATAGAAAAGTAATCAGAAAAAGAGAAAAAAATGAATAATCTAACTGTAAGACACATTGTTTCATTTCATTTTTCAAACATTTTGAAAGGAAAAAAAAACATCAAATTGTGATGAGAAAAGTTTGTTTGAGATGACTAATAGCATCAAATTAAAATGTTTAATTTGAAAAATGCAAAAAGAAAAAAAAATTTCTGATGAATAATGATAACTAACAATTATTTCACATATTTATATAACATAATTTTAATATTTGTATTTAATCAATTCGAAATAACATTAAATCGTTAAGTGTTCATTAAATTTGATAAATTTGCCATCTTTTCTTTTCTTTTTAATACATAAATATATGAATTATTAGATATAGAAAGCATAAATATGTTAATTAAAAAAAATTGCATAACTATTCAATTGTACATAAATACATAATTATTAATAAATATTAAAAAAAAAAACAAATACATAAATATTAATAAATATTATTAAATAAGAAATAGATGAAAATAAAATAAAAAAAAAAAAAAAAACTTGACAACAATTCTTTGTTTATTGACTAAAATATAAAGAATTCAATTAGTACTAAGCATACTACTACTACTACTCAGCTAATTCAATGAAAAAAAAGAAAAGAATACTAGCTTATAACTTATAATAATTACACAACTGTTAAAAATGTTAAAATTTAGGATCAGGTAAACAAGAATGACAGTTTTTCTCTCCTAGATTACATAATCTAATCTTCTCTCTGTCCCTCTCTCTCTCTCTCTTCTCTTTCTCTGTTCTTTTTATCTAATATAAAGTAGAATTTGTCAATATTATTGAATAAATGAGAAAATAAAGAAATTACACATAACTATATAATAAAAAAGTTAAAACTTTGCAAATGTAATAAAATGAAATAAAAATTTTAATAATTTAATAAATATGCAAAAATTTTTATTATAACTAATCAATATATTATTATCAATTATCATTCTATTTCTCAATTAAATTAGTTAAAATTTTCAATGGTCAGTTAAAATAGAAAGAAAAAATGATATATATTATTTCTTTTTTTCAAAAAAAAGAAAAACATTTATTATAATGAAAATTGATGCAATGATGATAGATTGGTAATATTTTAGAAATTGTTTGAATTAATAGATGGGTAAAATATTTTGGTAGCAATAAAAATACTTACCTTTCAAACTGGCTTTTTCATTTTTAAAAAAAATACACAATCATTTCACTTTTTTTTTAACACACCCATCACAACATATATATCAAAAAATTATTTTTACATCAACTCTAATGCAAAATTGTCACATTAACTTTTATCAAGTGAATAGTTGAATTCATTAACAATTTCATTGATTAGAAGAAAAAAAAATGAAGTTAATTTTAATTACTTCAATATTAATTTGATATCGAAATATGAATCATTCAAGTATATACACATATATGTCATCATGTGTCACATCTGTCACCATTATTCGTGCATATTTTCAAGTATACATGTTTTCAACTATGAAATATAGATAATGTCAAGATAGGATGAACATTTTATGCTATCTTTGAGCATTTTATTTATGCTAGCTTAGCTTGCTATTAGCAAAATTTAATAGCTAATTAATTAATTTATTGTGTAAAAATGTCATTATCATAAACGAAGATAAAATTTCAATTTTTTTTCTTTTTTCTTTTGCATCAATAAATATAATTGATATTTAAGGAAATGAAAATAAAAAAATGTATATATAAAATAAATGCATACACGAATAAATAAAAATAAATCATTAATGGTAATTAACTAATAATTAAATTTCAAACCTTTTAGGTAAATTTTGAACAACAAAAATTCTTCCAATATGCATATTTTTTTTCTCCCCGAAAAAGTGTTATAATTTTCCATAAAAATCTGAATAGATTGGCATAATGAAAGAGAAATAAGAAGAGATAGTAGGATTTAATTTTATATTTAAAATTAAATTTTTACTCCTATCAGCAATGAGCTGATTCATTATACTTTCATATATGCATTTCTTTTTTCTTTTTCTTTTGCTCTTTCTCTTACTTCTGCCTCTCTTTACATCATTTTCTATTAAAAATGAAATAAATAAAAATTAAAAGTTGCAAGAAATAATGATCAAATATCAATTGTTTATTATGAAAGAAAAGAGAATTTAAACAAGAGGTAAAAAAAAATAAAAAAAGTAAAAAAAAAAATTGTAATGAAATAAATCAATAAAGAAAAGAGCAAATAAATGTGAGAAAGAAAAATTGTAGGAAATCATCATGTATAACAAATGCATTGAAACAATGTGAAATTTTGGAATCCTAACAAATTTCAAAATAAAATAATTAAAAATTTTCTAGAAAGAAAAACATTTGTTTCAGCTTTTTTTTTTTTTAAAAAAAAAAATTCAACAATCTCTCAACTTTTTCTGAATATATCTGTTATATTCATATTCAAATTTAAGAAGTGTTTGAAATTTGCAAATAATGCAATCGCAATCATTTTATTCATACTGAAAGAATAAATGGATCTAAATATATTATGAAACAAATGTGAGAAATATAAGATTTAAAAAAGTTCAATAGATAAATATAAAAAAGTTAATAGATACATTCAAGTTTTGCAATACAATTTATTAATAGAAGTAAACGGAACATTGTCACACAGATACAGTTGACAAATCGTACCGATTGCCTTTTGGTCACAAATAAACATGAAAAAGCAAAAACCTATGGCAGTGATAAATGGAAAAATAAAATAAAAATTAATTTTCAATTGAAACAATAAAATCTAAAACTCGAAATGCTTTCATACAACGCAGAAATGCATGGAAATGTAACAAAAAAAAAAAAAAAAAAGAAAAATTCATAAAACAATTATGAAGTATTCTTAAAACATACAGCGATGCCTTCCAAAATTTATAGCATATCACAGTTATTCCTTCTTTCGAATATTTTCGAATTTTTTTAAAAACAGATTTAGCCTATACAGATCAAAGATGATTTTTACAAGTAACGGTAATTCAACATTATATTCTAAAGAGGATTAACAAGAAAAAAAAAAAAAAAAATCGGGACAAATAATAACATGTTACGTGCGCTGTACGTCATAATAAAGGAATGTAATGGAAAAAACTGCATTTCAGATATTTAACTAAAATATCATTATACTCCAGATAGGAAGATAAGCTAAAGAAGCTAATTTTGTTATACTTACTTATATCGTATCAGCGTCACTTCACATAACATTGCCAGTTACAACAGTATGTTTTAGATTTGAATTCGGTAAATGTTGAACAGACTGTCCACAATGAGAGCATGTTTGAAGTTCAGCGTTTTCTACTTGATAATTAATAGCTTCAGTCTGAAATAAAAGAAAAAAAAAATTAATTCCGAATTAAAATATATGCCTGTAAAAGCTAAGTATGAAAAACAATTTGAAATTGATGAAATTTAAACATTTATCATTTAATCACAAATGCCATATAAAAAGAAAACGTACTGATAAAGCACATTGCAAAATAATGATCAATTTATAGCTAACTTGTTTTTTTACTAATATTTCTTTTTTTTTTTTTTTTGTTTTTTACTTTACTGTTTTCTACTACTATATACCTGATATTCTGGAAGTGATATATTTCTAGATGCAGCAGCATATGGTGGTGGAGGAGAACTGTTGTATGATTGATAAACATGAAATTTCGGTTCACTACGTCGTCTTGGCACTGATACTGTGATGTTAGGCCATGAATTATTTTCTGACACTGTTAAGCCATGTTCCAAAGATCTAGAAATTAAAGTTTGTTAATTTTGAAATTAATATAAATTAAATGACTAATAGAGATTATACCTTCTCAAATTCTCTACGCGATCTCGAGTTACTGGAGATCCACGGTAAATCATATGGCGCACATCTTGATTTGATACTGCCGGTACCATTTCAATTATTTCACGTTGACAACTAAAAATAGCCTGACAACTCCGTGCAAAATCTTGATAAGCATCCGCTATACCCTGCAAAACAAAAAATGATCCATGAGAAAAAGGAAGCTACAGAATATGCAATTAAAGTAATATGCTAGCTTCATAATCTATTGCTCATTTATATTTGTTAGGAATAAATCCACAATTCTGAGTGATTTTTGATAAGTTTTTCTGTCTCATATCATTTAATCATTATTGCATAGTTTGTACTCCTGCTAGTTAACTTTCAATCTTCGAAAAGTTCAACAAAAACAAAAAACAATAGTTGCTCTAACCTGCATACCATTCCTAAATCTGAACATTTTTACAACTTCCATTTCAGCTCGAAGATCGGATAAAATTTGCTCAGATCGTTCCCTCGAAGCTTTAACCTGAAAAGACACTCAAAAATAAAAGAAAGAATCATCTTCAGATTTTTTTCGAGAATTTTAACAAAAACAAACACCTTTCTATACTTTACACTTTTCTATATTATTGCTAACGATGGCATTTTTCTTGATAAAAAAAAAAAAACCATTAGTTTAAATATGAAATGAACCAGCAATCACCTCTTCAAGTTTCTGCTTCAGCAAATAAATGTCACCACCACGACGTTGTCTGAAGAACGAAACGCCTTTTCCAATTTCACGTTTTAACTTCTTTTCTTTTTCTTCCAAATCTATCACATTTTCTTTTGCGTCTTTTACCGCTCGCTCTGCATCCGCTATTTTTTGCAGTTGCTGAGAATTTATCAAAAACATAAGTGCGGATTTATTCATAAAACAAAAAAGAAGCATAAATTTTTGTGAATCGTAGAACATTTTAGAATTTCACTTATGATTATCGCTGATAACTATCGTCACTACACTCTACTCTCATTAACATTGTCTCACTATTCTTCCAGAATTAACTTTTTTAAACAATTTTCACATAAACTATTTGAATTAACCTTTTGTGATATGTCTTGCATTTTCCTCTTCCAAGATACTCTCAGGATTTCTAATGATTATATAGAAATACTAGATCATATGTAAGTTTAATTTGCTATCCAGTATTGAACAAATCAAATAAAGCAATTCAATTATAAAAACTGATATACCTGCACATAATGCATATATTGGCGAGCAAACTGCAATTCTTTATCAGTGAATATTTCATATAATTCTCTAGTTTGCTGCATAACATCATCAATTGCTGCATTACCTGCATTATGCGCCCATGTAGCCAATGATTCCACAGCACGACGTTGTGACTCAGCAATTTTTGTCATTAATTTTCTAGAATAAATTTTATCGATGTCTTAGTTTTGCAATTATTTTAAAATGAAAACAACACCAAAAACATTTGATCATTCAATACTGAATGCTTTCAATAATAGCATAAATTGTTTCCATCAAATCCATATTTTACTTTTTTTTGCCTTTCAATCAAGCATTGTATGATGAAAAAACACCCAGTCTTTATCGATTCATATCCTACATTTGTTCATTTTGGCTTAAATAAAATCAAATCACAAAAAAAATATTTAAATAAAACAAAAGCATAATGCTTGTTATTGATATTTATTTGCAGCAAAGAATTGCAAATACTAATTCAATAGGAACAAAGCATATACCCTGTAGTGGATAAATCTAGCAATGCTGATTGAACTGATCCTGAATCACCAAGAATGCTGCCAGTTTGCAAAAACTGTGATAATTTGCCAAATGATGTAGTTCGGCGTCCTCAAAAGTTTTCACTCAAGAAAAAAAAATCTTAATGAAACTCTAACTTGAAAAAAAAATATAAATTTCAAAAGTAGCTAGAAAAGATAAAATTCAAACAAACTTCGAAATGATCTATCTGTTTTATCAGTATTATCTCTACTGCTACTGCTGCTACTGTTGTTGCTACTATTATTCATTGGTGGTAAAGCGGAACATGAATGCCTGAATAAAAATTGATGATAAATTTTTAAACTGCATTAAATTTTATTTAGATCAAAGAAAATAGAAAATTTGGGAGGGATGAACACAGGTAAATCTGAGCACTGATACCTAATAAAATATACAGAAATTACTTTCCTTTTTTCTACTCTATAAAAAGTCCCATTTTTTTTTTTCTCTTTTATCAAAGATAACTTCATCAATTTAACACTTTACCTTTCCATTTTTACAACTATGAAAAGAGAAAAAAATTTTCTCTCTTTACAATAAAAAATAAATCATAATAAAATGTGACAAATGTAATTTCTTAAAATTTTATCATATTACTCTACAATTAGTACAGTAGTTGATAGTATAATAATATATTTTCTTCCTAATAAAATTTGAAAAAAAAAAACCTTTGAGAACGTCGCATCATTAATTGTATAAATAATTCTTTCAGTGAATGATTCAGCAATATATCTTCGTCAAATTGAATAATATGAACACAATGTAATTCTCTGCAAAGAAACGAATTAAAAAAATATATTAACAATTTTAAGCGTTAGTCACGTATGTTTCACGTACGTTAACAATATAATAGAAAAAGACATATTCACAACAACTAAAGAAATTAGAGATTTAGAGTGGAGGAAAGACAGTGAAAAATTGGTTAACATAATGACCCTTTGTCGTTGCGACTCATCAATATTCAAATACTACCAAGCATGTGGTCCACTTGTTTCGATGACCCTGTCCATTTGACGAGAGAGAGAGAGAGAGAGAGAGGGAAAGGGAGAGGGAGAGGGAAATAGAAAGAGGGAAACAATGATATATAAGGAAGAGTAGGGGAAAGAAAATATTGGACATTACACTAGATGTAATCTTCACAGGATTATGTAAATGTTAATTTTAAAATTTATTAGAAATATTAGATTCAAATTTTAGAACATGAAAAATCCAATTCAGCAATTAATTTTAAAAAAGTCAATAGAAATGAATTCTTCGTATATTTAATTCTAAAATCTAAATGTAACTAACATTAAAATAAATTATCCAAGCGGAATCTGTCAAATTAGTCGAAAAGAAATTACAGACTGAGATACTGAAGTGTTATCACCTTAGATCTTTGAGATACAATCATAAAATTTGTTAGAGGATTAGTGATTACACTTGTTATTAGTTAACTAAGAACAGAGAATTGCTAACATCAAATGCTTATAATAATTTACTTTTTCATAAATTTTAGATATTATTTTTATGTTATTTCAGAAATTTTGAACGTTATTGCATATACTATCTTATTTTATGTGTGTTGCTTAAAGAGATATACTGAAATAATGAATAAACCGAATTATTACTTCATATCTCTCTATTAATTACTTCACTCATCATTTATCCACTAATTCCTTACCAGTTATATTATTTCTGAAAGATTTTAAGCATTCAGTTTGTTATCATCAAAAAATTGAAATGCTTTTAACGCCTGTCATTTTGCAAGTTCTAACTGCTGAATTGCAAAAAAAAATTCTCCAATCAGATGATCATAAAACGAATTGTCATAGGTTTTGAATTTCACGAAGTGAATTCAATTTGTTACGTATCGATGTAAATGAAATGTGCTAAAATATTTACATGTAATTATTTTGTTGTTAACATAATGTGACAATGTATGATTCATTTCTAATGCTCAACAAAATAGAAAAAAAAAAGAAAAATCACATTACAAAATCTACAAAATTCTACAATATATCGAAGTTGAGCAAAATGAAAAAGAATATTTGATATGTACTAAAAGTGAACAATAGCTGTGTGAATTAATGAATAAGGCCACAATCTGAAGATGAATAAAAGCTGTATTTTGAACATTGTGGTTTCGGGATAAAGTTTTTTTGTATTATTAGTGTCAAAGGTATGCTTTCTCCTAAATTATACTTAAGAAAAAAGCAAGGAAGCATGAGCAACACAAATACTTTTCATCACAAATTCATACCAGATTTATGCATACTTCCAAAAATATCTCTAAGAAAAACAAAAGAACTCTCTTTAACAAAAGAGTGAAATTTAACAAGTGAAATTATTTTTATGAAAAGTTTGAAATATCATTGCGACTGGAATTTTCCGTTTCAAGCCAGTCCTTTTCTCCATTTTACTTTAAAGCTGCTGATACCTTTTCACGCATTTCCTAAAAGTATAAAATGCGAAAATATCTGTCTTAGTTCAGTGGAAGTATCTCAGAAAAAACAGAAATAAAATCAAAGAAGCAACTACTGCGTGATTCTGTTAGCATTTTCCGTAGAAATTTTCCTGGATAGAGCTTAAGATTACTGTTAGCGAGTCAATTTTAGGAAAAAGTGAATTGGAAAATAAAAGCGAAGAAATGAAATCATTGGAGACTAGATAAACTGAAGTATTTCAGTTTTTACCATTTCTTGATTTCATAAACAACATATTATCATGCTTGTAAATTGCTTTTGCTTTTAAAAAAATTATGGAAAAAAAAAACGGACAGCGATTGCTGTTGCTGGATTGGGAGCTTTAAGAATTCCTGTTCCTGACACGATTACATTAGCACCAGCTTTTGCGCAAATATCCACATTATCCAAATTAACACCACCATCAACTTGAATATTTAAGAATGGATGTGTAGAGCGAAGAATCCGAACTTTCTCCATCATATCTGACATGAACTTTTGACCTGAAAGAAGCGACAAAAATCCATATGGACAATTCATTAAGATATGTTTAGAAATACTAGCTAATTGTAAATAACAACTGATAGATTAATGTTAATAAAACTGCATGCACCTTCCTTCGTCAGTATGAAATTAGAAATAGACTAAGCGTACACTTTTATGTTTTATAATTCACAACATTTTGCCCGCGATCCATCACAATATTGTGAAGTACTTCTAGCAAACTTGTTATCATATTGCTTAGCATTATCACAACATAAAAATTGCCATTTTTACAAACAAAACTTTTGTATATTCTGTCATTACAGACTTTATTTTTTTTACTATACAAAATGAGTATACCTTTCTTTTCGGGTTAAAATCCCTACGTAGTGTGTCAAATAAAGGAACGCATGCTGCATGCAATTTGCAAAAGAAATGCTATCATTCTTACAAGTAAATAAATGCAGCCAATCGATAACCTCCAAATCCAGGTTCAACGGTCATTACTAGAATCATATCCATTCCAATAAGTGTCTCTATCTTCTCTATTGGCGTACCTGGTTTTATTGCTACACCAACCTATAAAACAAAAGTAAATGAACAATTTTGGCACATTTAAGCTTTCTTAATATTGCTGCAATTTTAATCATAAAAATGCAACAAGTAAACTTTGTGTGTAACCATCAATTATTTTAACAAAATGACTCATTAGACAAAATAATGACTACAACAATATTTTCAACTCAAACATTTCAAACCAAAAAAAGCCATACATAAAGTAGAATTTAGTGTACAATACAACAATACTACAATTGAAAATACCTTTTTTTACTCATGAACATGGAGAAATTTTTCATTTTTAATCATTCTTCGTCAAGAGAGATGACAAAGAAAGATAACATAGACAACTGTAAACAGAGAAAATGTGAAAGTGAACTAATGATAACTAAAATCTATCTTTAAATATTCATTAAAAGTTTCAACATCTATCTCAAGTTTAGTCGCACGGAGTCCAGTAATCAGTAATCACTGAACATCGAATGATATGACATCTTGAAATTAGCAATGGTACATTTTTCGTAACCTTTATTGAACTCTTTTTTTACTTTTCGTGCGATGCAAAATTTTAAAATCTAAACTTTGTTCTATCAACGAAGTACAGTCATGTTTATCACTTATTAATGATACTTTATACATCTGCAAAATCTACTGTACATCAAAAATAGTAGCGTATTTCCGTTACAGCTCTATTACTTGACAAGAAAAAAAAAAGATCTAACCTTCATGCCAGAACGTTTAATTCTGTCAATAAGCATCTGGCAGCTTTTATTTGACTCCACAGCTTCCACGTGAAACACAAATTGGCTTGCACCAGCCTAAATTTACGATAATGCTTTTCAATTCATGACGCATTTATTCCTAACGACATCATCCTTTTACAGCGACCATGATGACAGCTATGATTCAAATAAATATATAAATAAAATTGGAAAAGTAAACAAAGAAGAACCTTTTTCATCGGTTCCACCCACTGCTCCGGATTAACAACCATCATATGAACGTCAAAAAATGGTTCTGATCCTAGATTTCGTCGCAAACAATCAATGACTGAAAAAAAAAAAATCATAAAAATATAAAAAAACAAATTAACCTAGATCACCACATACAAAATTAGAAGGTAGCATGAAAAAAGGTACCGTATAGTAATAATCATTGTATGATAATACACAGATTATGCATATGATCCAGAATGATGGACTACAATGGCTATCACGCAGCAATAAATACTATCCGGAATAACCAAAAAAAATAATGGTAATTCGGAAGAGAGGAAGAAATAAACGTACTGATTAAGTAATCAAATCTTACCTGGATGTCCAAATGTTAAATTGGGCACAAATTGACCATCCATCACGTCAAGATGAAGATAATCAGCTCCAAATTGCAATAAGCTTCGACATTCGTCCGCAAGTTTAGACAGATCGGAATTTAAAATTGATGGACATATTATAGGCCTTAAAGTATTTATGCTAGACATTTCCTGAAATAGAAATTGATAGAGCATAAAAATGAAATGCATAAAGTTCATCGGTTTTGATTTCATCTTATATTAATTATGCTTCTTTAGCTTTTACAATACGCATTTTACTTTCAAATATTTTAGCTTCGTAATAATTCAACTACATTTAATATATTAATTTGCTATTCATCAACTATTTAACAACTAGTTAAGCCTTTTAAAAATATTTTAGCTCTACAATATTTCAATTACATTTAATACATTAAATTATTATAATGTAAACTAGCTGAGAACAGAACAGATTATTTCAAAACTAGAAATTCACAACTTTCAACTTCGATCAATAAACTACTCATAAACAAATCACGAAACATCATAAATATCAATCAAATATTACGCTTCCTATCATTTCCATCACGATTGTTTGGAAGAAAAGAGAAGAATAAAAAATTGAGAAATAATATTTAAGAATTAAAACGGTCCATATCTAAATGTAAACATCGCGCTATGAAAAGTAAGATTCAGCAAGTGTTAGAAATTATGATGCATTTATTAATTCAATTAAAATTATGCGAGATTAACATATGTATGTTTATTTAGCATTAAATTAAGTTAACGAATAATAGTGATTTTGTTTTTCTTTTTTTTTATTGGCTTTCGAATTATAATTTGCTACTACTTATTATATATATATATATTATTTTAAGGTTACATTTAACGTCTTATTGTCAACATAATTTT